AACTGAACTGAACTGAACTGAACTGAACTGAACTGAACTGAATTGACCTGCCTGCCTGCCAGCCAGTCTTGACTACTAGTAGTCAGTCAGACCGATCCGCCTGCCAGGTGACTCTTAACTTGGATGCCATCGCCTGGAGAGTCGCCACTTCGCTAGATCTCCGGCGTAGATGACGATGGCTCGGTCGGGAACATTGTTGCTCTTGCTGTTGCTATTGCATTCGCTGTCGCAACTGCGGTTGTCAGAAGGCGTGGTCGACGACGTCCGGTGTCCGTGGGCCTGTCCTCCGGCCAAAAGTCCTTCTGTGCCGTCGTCCTTCCAGGACTCGATTAGAGCATCTTTTTCTTTTTTATCAAACCGTTTCATCGCTTCCTCATGAACTCGACCTGCTTGTTCCGTGTCGCCCACTTCCATGACCAGTAGCTTCGCCCCAAGACCATCCATCATATCCATAAGTGGGCGGTAGAATAAGTCACCCAGGTTAGTTGTTGCTGTTGCTGTTGCTGTTGCTGACTTTCGGTCTGTAGTCGCTACAGACCCTGCTGGTGGTGGTGATGGAACGAGTGCCAGTTTCGGCTCGTACTTGCGCACACTTGACTCGGTTTTACCACCAGGTCGGAAATCCTCAGGCGAGATATATGGCGGATTCGAGATGATGATGTCCCATTCGTTGTAATCATTTGCATGGGAGTCAACGGCCGTGTCCGAGTCATAGTCATGAGACTTGACGACTTGACGATTGAGATGCCTACGCATTTCGCACTTGTCAAGTTTGGCTAGGCTCAAGATATCCAGCTGGTGGAACGAAATTTCCTTGACGGCATCCCTGTGAATTAAGCCTTGAGCCATGTTGTGGTGCAGGTTTTTCCTGCTGAGACGGATCGCGTCCGGACTGATATCAATGCCGGCAATCTCGATATCCATATCTAGGTCAGCAATATTGTCGTCGCGGAAGCCGGCACTGGCACTGGCATTGGCATAGGTCTCAGGCGGCTTGAGAAGAGAGTGTAAGAGCAGCGCAATGCAACCTGTTCCGGAACACAAGTCTAATATTCGCAACGGTGTGGGTTTGCCCTGGGGCTTTGACTGGGCCTTGCTACTGGTAGGTGTATCTGTATCATGAAGCCATGAAAGTATCATCCGAGCAGCGTGCTCGGTATACGTCTCGGTTTCGGGTCTAGGGATGAGGACTTTGTTGTGTGTCAGAATCTCGAGATTGCCAAATGGTTGGCTGCCGAGGATGTATTGTAGAGGCACACCCCTTGCTCTTCTAGCGACGTTCCTGGCCAGCATTCTGAGGGTCTGATACCTGCCATGGTCATGATTATGGGCAGGGTTGGCTTTCGGTCGGCGTGCAGGACGTTGACCGCCGCAGAGACGACTTGGACGGACGGAGGTCTTGTCGGTTCGAGATATGCTCCAGAGACGATGTCGCTTCTTGTTGTTGGCATGAGGTCTAGGTATCGATGGGTAAATACTTTCAGGGCTGCCTCGAGTGTCTTGTTTCGATGATCCTGCTCCTGCTCCTGCTCCATCGCTGGGGCGCTGGTTTCCACCCCTAAGTGTGCATGATTTTGAACCACGAGTCTCCGGTCTGGCTCGTGGGCGGGTTTTACCACTATCCCGAGCGTGTTCCTGTAGCCATCGAAGCTCGTTCTGAGCAGACCCAATGTCACGACATGTCCGGAGTAGAAGAGGAAGGTAACGGTTCTGTGTGGCAGCCTGGCGGATCAAGGCTGGATGCAGTCGTGGCATCTGTTGGCCATATTGCCCGGAATGCGACTGGCACCACAGAAATGATGCGCGGGTAGCTGCGAGGTATTGCGAGAGGGATTCAATGCAACCGTTCAGCAGATGTTGGGCAGTTCAAGTTCTCAAGGAAGAAACAGTGGTTGCGGAAATATCTCGTCTGACCGATCGGTTGGTCAAAACTTGTGGTGAAGTCGAGGCATTATGCATGACAGACTACCTGATTTTTGACTACAGATCAACAAGGTACCTCTCTACAATGTACAGCGGGCTTCCAAGGTTTGTACCTAAACACCAATGTCTTCCATTACTCCCTCCTCGCCTAGGTACCTGAGGTAGGTGGTATGGTTGACTCGGATAATTGTGCGCTTCAGCAAGTACACGTAACGCACCACATGACGCCAGACATGTAGCAACGTTGATATCGTCCCACAGGGCGCCTTTATCAGCACGGCCGACTTATGAGTCGTGCAATAAACCCAGGATGGCCTTTACTTCTGGCCCAGCTCTACGACGCCCATTCAGGCTTCCAACTCGATGAAGGAATGATGATTGTCTCTGGTTGAATTGACACTAAGAGCGATCCGAGCCCTGAAAGAATGACGGAGCTTCTTCTATGTCTTCGACGGCATGGCTCTGAGTCGAGCGACAAGCCACACGAACGCAGCTCAAGGCAGCATGGATAAGTCTATGGCTTTTGATTGAGGTGATCCTGCACATGCAAAGTAGCGTTATTGGACGGAGAGAGGGAGCTGTGTCGCCTGCCCCGTCTATTCAGGTATACGTCCATTCAGGCACGTCTCCATGGTGTTGAGACACTTATATTGGCTTCATACTGGCAAGCCATCACCAAACCCTCTCCCTGGCCCCGCTCTCAACTCGGCCCGAAATCTGAACTCTGACGACCAGTGCAGGTCGATCGAGGGGCGCAATCATGTGCTGAAGAAACCGGAAGTTGTGCTGTGTCGAACCTGCCCAACTTGATCTTTTCGACGTCAAGAAAGTCCGATTGACACAACCGATCAAGCGTTGACGACACTTCCCGACATTATGAAGCCATTGCGAGCATTCGATTTGAAATGGCAATAAACCTATCATAACACGCATGGTAAACCGTTCGTGTCCCGCTGCAACCCTCGAAATATCATACATGTCGGAAGGTGAACGGAGTGCTGGAGTACAGATCCAGGAGAGGGCAACAATTATGTCCTTGATTTGGCCAAGAGACAAGGCATCGTATGGTAATGCGTGGTGAAGCGAGGCAATGTTGCCCTCTCCCTGTCATTCCCTGGAATTCCTTCACTACTGTATGCCAGTGCATTGTCAGGATTTGATATCGCAATGGAGGTGGAGACTGTGTAGTCTCAAGTTGACTGACTTTCACTGCATAGAGTCAAGCAAGATGGTAGACGCATGTGCCACTCTGGCTATCCAACCACGCATATCTCAACCGTACCTGACATGGATCTTCCGCAGGTCTAACCCTGCAGACCGTATGGCTTTCTATCGGAAACGCACACTATCGGCTAGCTTCAACGTCTGATTGATGGCTACATCCGTTGCGGCTCTTCAGCCGGTCGGATTGTGGTGGTGGCCTCGATCTGAGGTGTTACTCTATCGCCATCGTCAACCTCATTGACCCATAGGTCTGCCCTGGTCGTGGCTATGATCGAACACACGTCTTAAGTTCTCCAAAATGCGGCTTAGAGTTGAGGATGTCAAAAAAGCCACGACTGTTGCCTGAGGTAGCAAAATGGTACGGCTGGGTTCAGCTCTGCCTGGGACCGGACTCGGCAGTAGTCGACCGGGGAGTTCGGATTTGGCGCCTGTCAGCCTCTCTCACCGACTTTCCGGACCTCAGCATTCTTCTTGGTGCCCTCAACACCGCCAACTGGACAACATCTGCAAACAACGCTGCTACACTGGAACTTTCCATCCGTCAGGCTAATCATGCGTTACTGAAACATGTCCCAGGATTCCGGCGTGCCACAGATCGCGTGAAAAAAGCTCCCCGTCCTACGCCAGGAGACACTGCATAGCTATGGACACCGGAGCAGCTCAGCCATCCCCCCGCGACACCGACATTTTGGTTTCGCCTTACCTGTACCTCCTAGTAACTGATAATGTGAGGCAAATACACTTTTGATCTCTTGCATTTCCCTTTTTGCATGCATTGTGCATCGCATTGCAGCTCATGGTAGGTTTGGGCTTGTCGACGGTACGGCCGGTTTCATTTCAAACCACACCGACCGCTGTTTTAGGACCCCGGTTACCTAAAAACAGGCCCACGATCTATCTGGTCACCGCATTTTCTTCGACAGGCTGATGTGATGCAGTGCAGCCTCGAAGAGTCACGAGCAAGTTGATCGACCCAAAGTCTCCTCCGCTTGGTAGGACAGATCTGAGTGAGACCGGCGGCCCTGCGTGCGCGCCTAACCGATTGACTAGATGCATACCCCAACATGCAAAAGCCTCGTCCCCGTCTCACCGAGTGAGTGAGTGCTGTTATACGAGGAAGTCAGATTCGATGATACAAGCATAAAAGGATTGACTCTCACTCATCAAAGTCAACGGTTCCCTCTCACTACGGCATCAACGATTTTCCTGACTGTCACCTCACCTCCTTCGTCTTAACAAAGAGTATTGTACATTGCAACCAAAAGCTCGACAACAGTCAAAAAGCCACCCTTCCTCAACAGCATTTCATACCACCTGATATCACCTACGAAAAGACAAAGACACAGAACGATGGAATCCCCAATCAACTGTGGTCGAGGCCACTATGATGTCGCCGGCGTCCTGAGACCCATGGGCCCACAAAGACCATCTCCCAAGTAAACCTGGACTTCGAAAAGAGCTATCAAACCTCGGGTACGCCGTGGTCCTGCATGGCCGTCTCGTCCTCTCGAGCCATCATTGATCCGATCCTCTCTGAACAGACTTCAGACACGGAGAAAGAACCCGGGTGTTTTGCTCAACTCTACTACTTTGCTACTAGCGGTACTACGACACCGCAAGGCCAGACTTCATTCATCCTCGAAGATGAAAATGAATGCATCTCCCGCCCTCAAAAGGGACAGCTCTCTACCGCATGAATAAACCTCAACCAAGCTCAACCAACCATGTCTTCTGGCGAAATGCCTTGGGATGAGGACTACGCGATGACCATACACCCAACCTGAAAAGCCACGTCTGCTTGCTTGCTTGGCCCCGTTCATGCTATATCTGCACGGCATTATTCAGGTGGTCAAGATTGACGATCGAGACCAGATGGACCATGTAACTCGTCCGGGGGCCCGTGTACATAGGTATATATACATAGATAACATACCATACCTCATCCTCATGGCCCTCTGAATGAATGGATGGTTGGCATAGGTTACTACAGGCGCCGGGGTAGTTGTCGAGACAGCAAAGACAGTATTTCCATTCCATTCCATTGATCATGATCCGATTTGGCATAAAATAGATATGAATCATTATAGTAGGCAATTTTGTACAGAGTGACAGTCCTGTGCAAGAGGTCTCCATTTGGACATATCACACTGGGCCCTTCTCATGCCATCCGGTGCCCAACTTGGGACGCTGTAGAATTCCAGATACTAGAACTCGTTCCAGGCGGACAAGGTAAGAAGCCCCAAAAGATACGTTATGGCCATCATAACAGTACCATCTACATATCTATCTGTATCTGTTCCCTGGGTATCCAAGGAACATTCTACCCAAACGTGACGCAGACCAGGCCGCACTGGCATCGCAAATACTGTACGATCAATTACATGGCCAAAGTCTCTTTCAAGTGCCATGCATTTTGAGACATCTCATCCCTCTAACCTGCGAATCTCGCTGTCGAGCACGGCAACCAGACTCTCAGTCGCGGCCTCGATTTTACTCCGCTCGAGCTGCGTCAACTGGCCCAGAACCCAAGCACTAACATCATGACTGTCGCGCGACGGAGGCCGCGAGATACCGATTCCAATCTTGATGAATCTCTCATTTCCCAAAGCCGCAAGCATCCCCGCGGCCCTTAGGGACTGCTGGATGGATTTGATGCCGTTATGGCCTCTGGGACTGGACTCGCCGCGCCGCAGCTTGACGGTGCCCGTGGGCGATTCGAGCTCGTCGTGCAGAATGACTAGGGCGGTGATTGCTGACGATGTGTTACTGGCATCAGTGTTGCCGTTGATGTTGTTGAACAGTTTCCACGCTTTGACGGTCCCCACGCCAGACACGTTCATCATGCTCCCGCTCTGCCAGAGCGTGTATTCGGGTCGGTCGGTGTCGGCGCCCATACTTACACTGCCGGACCCGAGAATCTTGGATTTTGTTACTGGTGGTAGATTTAACCTTGTTGCTAGGGATTTGAGGACTAGGTGGCCTGCTGAGTGGCGGGTCGTGTGGTAGGGTGGTGGGTTGCCGATTGATGCGATTAGGAGCCGCACCGGCTTGTGTGCAGAGGAGGGAGGCATCGCGGATAGATTTGGTTTGCGGATGCGTAAGGGAGATGGTAGCACGGGGGAGAGAGCCGTGTTGAACTCGGAGTCGGAGTCGGAGTCGGTAGAGGAGGAAGAATATGGCTGCGCTGCTGTTGCGCCTAGACGCCTGAGCCCTGTAGTAGGTGTAGTTGTGGCAATCGCCGTAGTGGTGCCAGTGGTTGAGGTTATTGAATTGACCGGTCGTCGTTTGATGGTTGACCCAGAGCCAGATCCAGAGCCATTATTGGTATGAGTAGTATTCTGCTGCCGCCATCTGTTCTGCGGGTGTTGCACTCGTTCTTGGGACAATCGAGACTGGTGATGGTGACGCTCAGGATGCGAATGGTGGACGCCGCGGTAGGAGCACGTTTGCTGGGCTAGGCCGGTGGTCTGCTGTTCGATCGGCTCGGGCCAAAACAGGTCTTGCTGCTCGTCGTGGTATTGTACGTAGTTGTAGTGCAGCGTATGGTTGTCGGTGTCGTGCGAGTATGATTGGAAACCGGAGCCTGAACCTCCGTAATGCTGCTGCGCTTCACCAGAGTTAGCCATGACCTCGGCGCTATCACAACGAACGGAACTGGCGAAGCGGACACAAGAGAGTCAAGTCCTGGGGCCCTTACCTTTCTCAGAAAATGAACGACTATGGGTCAATCCTTTTAAGACTTTGTTCTTTGTTCGCGGTGAATGGGACTGAGTTGCTTTGTCCGCGTCGAGGAATTGAAAAGTGCAACAAAGAAGTTTGCGACCTTCGAAATTCCGGCTGCGCTGCGTCATTGTGTCCGCGTTGCCGAATCAGGTTTAGCGGCTGGATAGGCCGGACTCGGGAATGTCATGACTCGTGAGACTGTCATTAGCGTCTCAGCAGCATGAACATGACTCGTGCAAGGATCCATTGTTCTGGGTGCAACTGGAATGGGTTGTCATTGTATGGCACCACTGCACCGGCAGGCAGCCCTATGGCACTGCTGTATGCTGGGGCACTGATTCACTGTTTCATCCGTGAAATAATCCGAGGTCGGATGGCGTCTGTTGTCACTGCACAAGTATATGTCCACAGAAACGGACGACATAGGTAGGGTGAAGAAGAATCATTCGGCAGTGGCAGATCATCAGCGCTGCATCACCCTTCATATCTCCGCCGCGTGATATCCGGCAAGCTGATTTCCTCGTCATCCAAAGGGTAAAGGCGATCCAGAGTCCAATCCGTCTTCTTTATCGGCGTTGCCGTTATTGCGCCGCCGCTGTCGCTACTAGAAGCCGGCGTTGGCTTTTGTGCAACATTCTCAGCATGCTCATCCATCGCAGTGCCAGTGCCCTCCCGCAAGATTGTGTTGGAATAACTGCCAGTGACTTCGTGATGCCAGCGCGATCTCCAAAACTTGGACATCTTCCCACCAGCAGCAGCATGTTGATGCGAACTCGAGCGACTCTGACTCTGCAACGTGGCGGCGCCGGCGCTAGCAGTGGCACTGTACCCATGCAACTGTCTAGGGTGGCCACCCTGCATTTCCTCCGCGGTAGAATCACCAAAGAAAGACCTCAAATTGAAGATTCTCCGGATCAAGGCCCAACTATACGGCATATTGGACACAATCATAGCGGTACTAGCCTCGCGACAGTACCAAAACACCCATTCGGAGCTGTACGGATGCGTAAAGCTGAGTTGCTTGCTGAGGATGGCACAAAGAATAGTAAACAGGCCCAAACTGAAGGGAAACACGAGGAGCAGCTTGCGTTTCACCTCGAGATGACCTTTCAGAAAAAGCGGGAGCGGGATCGACATGATCAAAATGTCGCTGCTCAAATTGAACACGAGGTTGGTGATGAGGTGATGTAGCGCCGTGCTGCATTGCTGGTTGTCCGTAGGCACGGCCCAGTATTCGTGGAACGGCCGACACCATACGCCAAAATACAGAATCTCCATGACGAGATACGTCAATCCGACGTACAGCGCGGCGCCCTTGACGATGAGGCCTTGCTTCAGGTTGCGTGTCAAGCGCCAGTACAGGAGCAGCAAACAGGATTTGGTGCCCCATTGAACTGCGCACATGCATTGCTCAACCAGCAGGACTGTCTTGGAGCCCCATGCTCGGTGGGATTTTTCGGCTGGTGTCAAGTCGACCGGATGCGCTGGGTCGATCAGGTTCGTCGAGACTTTCAGGTCAATATTGAGAAAGACTATCAGGATTGTATACAAGCACTGGAAATGTTAGTTTTTGTCCGGTGAACGGTTTGTCCTGGCCGCGGCACAACGTACTGTCAACAACACCATGAGAAAGTCTTCGATTTGAAGTCGCAGTATGGATTTGAAATGCAGAAGACGTGCGACTCTGACCAGGACTGGGGGTTAGTTGTGCGCAACACGCTTTGTGACTTGATTGTATGCTTTGCTTACATCCGCGCAATGACCATGGAGATGGTCACCGCATACCATATCCAGGACTCGACTTTGAAAGAGGTCATCCCGCCCGCAAGGCCCCGCGCGGAGGCGTAGAGATTGCGGCTCGTCGAGACGTTCGGCGCCTCATTCGAAGTAATTCAGTTGCGTGCATGAATATGTGGCTGACATTGACATATTGTCCCAATGTCGTTCAAGCAGACAAGATTTCACGACGAAGCGCCCATGAATGGAACTGGTGCTCTTTCCAAGGCTATCAATACCTGCAGAAAGCGGCAGTATGTATTATTGGTAGAGTTGTAAAGCATGGCCTTCCCACTACCACATATTACTGTAGAAGCACTGCAGCAGAAGCAATTGTAATGCACACTGGCAGCTGTACGCCAACAACATTTTCAGAGGGTTCTAATCCTCGGGCTAAGGCGCCCGAGAGAAGGCGAGTCCCGGCAGCGTGGGATGCTGCCAGTGCCCATGCCCACTGTCAGTGCACAGCTGAGCCCGAGCACGAGAGTCGATCGCGACATCGAATCTTGGTACCGGGACGGGATCCACGGGCCTTGGGTCCTCAAGGAACCTACCGATAAGCATCCCGTGCGTGGGAGAAAAAGCTCCAAATCAAAAGCTGATACTAACGGAACCAGCCCCGTCGCTGATGACATTTCAAGTGGGCACTGAGCGGACTTGACATCAACCACCTTCATCTGCTTTCTGCTTCCAGTCTTTGGAGGGTACATTATTATCGCTCATTCTCCAGATGCTGTGTGGTTCAAGATTAAGCCATAATCATCATTACATATTGTATATATATTTTAAAGCCAGGGGTATCATGTTCAAGTAAGAAGTGGAGAAAAAAAACCAAAGCTCGTGATCCAGGTCCAGGTTTTTTGACGTCTAGAAGAACGTCTCTCTCCGCCAAAAGGAGAAGCAATGAGCGGGCCTGTGAACTTGACCCTCAGTCGTGTATATATGGTGCCCTTATTTCTGGGCGCGTTTTCCTCTTATCCGGCCATCACCATCACCATTTGAAAGTTTTCAATTCTCATCATTGCTTCGCTGTAGAAGTTGCATTGCACAGGTCCTCCAAAATAAGCGCCGTCGCCGGAGCCGAAGGAGTGTACTGTATATATGTTCTGTATGTGTAAACTGTAAGTATCCAGGGCACAAACTTGTCCCCCCAGTGGCGTCAAATTACTGTAAATCCTCGTTGAAGACCAGATCAAAAAGGACCACCACCACTGCCGGTGACATTTTGGTTGCTGGAGGAGCGTAATAGCTTTTTATTCGCATTGGCCTGCATTTTACGCATTGCTTCGCGATGCAGCTCTTGCATATCCGGCCGCCTCATGGCTTGGTCAATGGCAAGTTGTTTTTCTCGCTTCGCAGCCCGTTCGTATTCTTCTTTTAGTCTTTGGTTTTCTTTTTCGGCTCGCATCATGGCCCGACCAGCATCTGCTGACGCTGAAACCGAGGCTCCATTGAGTCCCAGACCGCTGCTGGTGGCCCGGTAATGTTGCGATAGTCGCCACTCTGCTAGGAGAGACTGGCGGCGGTCGATATCGCTGCGTCGGGATGTATCTGCATCCTGTTGTTTTCTTCGCGGTTGTTGTCGAGAGTAGTCGTAGGACGCCGCCCTATCTTGTTGAGTCAACGGTCTATTGATTTGCACGAAATTTTCGTTGGTTCCGGTATACGTGCTGGCGCTTGCCCTGCCATGAGCAGTATAAGGTCGCGTTTCGAGAGTGCTGTTCGGTAGTGGAGCTGTCGACCGTCTTTGCGAAGGAGCAATGTACCGTGGCCCTGCTGATGCACGGCGATTTGGATTGGAGATACTATTGTGTGGATGGAACTCACTAGGCGCGTTCTCGTCAATGGGTGTCGTCACCAGCGACTCTGGATGAAAACTGTGACGACTGCTTCTGCTGTTGTCCCGAAGAGGAAGAGATTGAATCGATCCAGACCGGATTGGTCCACCACTGCTTCTGCGTTTCTCCTGGGAGGACCTTCGTTTGATTGGGTCTGCTACGCTAGTAATTCCAACCCCAGTGCTACCAGCTTTGACCGGCGGCGCCATTGAAAGTCCTGAAACATGGGATTTGGTGTTGGGATCTTTCCCTGTTTCAACGTCTGGTGCCGAGGAAGCTAAATGAACAGCGGGCTCGTCATCATCAACAGCATCAAGTGTGTCCGGCTCGTCACAGATTGGAATGTCAGCGACTCCAATATGTTTCGCCCATTCATTTGTTCGGTAGGACAAGACGACATTCGATAACTGGCTTGGAATCTGGGCAAGCGCAGTTCGGGTCAGAGACTCCGCACTTGAGCCTGTGGCCTCTGATGCTTGAGACCGTGACTTGCCACTGCCACTGCCGGCGTCCTCTAATTTTGATTTCTTCTCGCTGGGAGATGTGCTCCCGCTGCGCAGACTTGCCGTGACCGAGGCTGCACTGGACTGCTGAAGGGGAGGCACATCCTCAAGTGATGCTTCAGACGTACTTTGGAAATTGGATATCTCCTCTTCGACAACTGGGTCCTGTTGGTGGCGTGGTGACAGTTGGGTCACAGTCCAATTCGCTTTGGGCGTGGGCGTGGCCGGTGAGACGATAATCTCTGGCGGCGTGTCTGGGGTGCGTCTGCCATCTTCGACGCCGTCATCCAGCGTGCTCACGTCCAAGTCTTCATTGTCCGTATCCACAGTCGCCGCGGCTGAGGATGCTCTGCTCTGTGGTCTTTCGGCATTGGCGCTCAACAAGTACTCCCGTGATTTGGAAGCCATGTTGTTGGTCGGGCTAAGGCGTTTGGTTAGGCCAGACATTGCTGACCGAGACAGTCGCTTTACTCGGGAAGGGTCCTCAACCTCGACAGGGTCAACAGCGATACCGACTCCGGAATACCCCTCGCCATCGTTCGGTTGCTTGGGATCCCGTAAAGGAGTACTGGGCTCAGATGGTCGCTCTCCTTCAGGTGGAGGATCACGTTCCTCAAGAGCCTCAAGTGCTTTCTGGCGTTCTTTCGCAGCATTCTCTTCCGGATCTTCCTCCACTTCCTCGATGACATCCACAATGACCGAGCGGTGACGATTGCGTTTCGACCCAGAAGACGAGACAGTCTTCGACTTAATGACCTCCATTTCCACATCTTCAGGAGGAGTGGTTGGTCCTGGCGGAACTGTTACTACTGACACAAGTGGATGCTGCTTTTCCGGGTGAGCATTTTGCCAGAGAATGGTGTTGCGTTGGCTTTGGAGTCGGTCGCCGTACTGTCGCTCCCATACCGACTTCTCCCTCTCGTTCTGCCGTTGGAGGTGACGACCCAGGGCAGCCTCAATGGCATCATTATTGAGGTCGTCATCTCGCCGCAGGACCTCCAGTTCCTTTTGTCTGGACTTGATGACTTTCCAAAGTTTGATCTGTGATAGTAGGCCGATAATGGTGCCGATAACCACGACAGCGATCTCAACCCGCATGCCACGCGTCTGAGGATAGGTATCGGTGTTGAGAGGAAAGAGGTTGTCATTAAGATCCCAAATATAGATCCAAAACTCCTTCATCCCAGCTTTGGTGAAGCAATCGATCCCAAGTATGAAGGCGGTGGCTCCTCCAAATGAGGTAGACCCGATCAAACCGTAAGGTCGAGTATATCGGGTCCAGGAGACAGCCCAGGCAATGAGACAAAATATACCGATGAATACGCCTTTTCCAATCGCGCTCGTAATAAGCCCGCCAGGCTTCAGGGTGAGAAGCCACATACTGAAGCAATAACCCCCAAGAAGACAGCCCAAGCCTTCAGTGAATTCTTTGAAGACGAGAGCACCGGCTCCGAAAATGACCCCTGTCATGACAATTGCCACGAAGTAGCCGCCTTGGATGGTGTTCTTGACCGGAGGGTCCATCACATACACCAGAAGGGCTGTTGTTGCAATACTGGCCAGGAACCCCGCGGAGAGAGATATCTGCACCCATTTGCTCTTGACTCCCACCAAAGCATACACCGAGCCCAAAATAATGAGCAACACCCCAGCAATCCCGAACGCCGGGGTAATTTCTGGCTTCAGAGGTAACTCTTCGTGGTGTTTGGATGTTGTGGCTGCCGCCGTGGCATGCGAGTTTGCAGGGGATGAAGTCGATAGGATGGACGTAGTGACCGGGGACGCCTTCGTTGCCGATGTTGTCGGCTGGCTGGTTGGCGTGGCTGATGCAGGCAGATCCGATGAGCGGCCATCGTCTGTGGAGGTCTTATCGGCGCCGCCGCTCGACGTGCTGCTCTCAGATGATATTACTGTGTCGGTGGACGAAGGAGGCGCATCGGTCGTGAGGCTCGGAAAGCTGGCTGTAGCTGTAGCGGTGTCTTGTTTCTTGATGAGCTCAACAGCATCAAGTCCCGAGGCTTCCACAGCCAGGGCCCATCCCAGCAGTATCACGGCCAGTAGGTAGGTTGATCTCATCATTGGCCGTTATGTTTTGTGGAAGTATGTTGTCAGGCTATACTTTCACCACCCGAGACGTCCTCCACAGTGAACGAGATAGAGAGCTTACACCTCCACGTCAGGACTGCAGCATTTCGGTCGGGTCAAAAACGAAGACATTAGCGTCGGCCTGCGACAGATATTGTAGATTCCGAGAGCGGCTTTTATCCAAATGCCAGACGACGACAACAACAGGAGGGCTGACAGCTATTGAGCAGACACCAGGCTGCGCACATCAAAGAGATAGCTGTAACGATAACGATAGCAACAAATTCAGAGCAATGAACACATGGGGAAGCACTTGCGGTGTCAATGCGACGAATGTCGCCTTAAGACTGGGGTCATGGCGAGCACGAGGCAAGGTTTGCTGGTGACGAAACGCAGCAACTGAGCAGCTCCATTCGACCTACCTTTTCGGACATGATGAGCTCAAGGGTGATCGCCTGCAAGTGGTAAGCAAGAACAATCCGCTTGAAAAGGTGCAAACTAGTCTTCGGAGAGGAGCTGCGGCTAGGGTAACGGCCATGCATGGCGCTGCTAAAGGTACCAGTGGCGCCCTCAGCGAGCGCGGCAGCACATGGAGCATCGACCAGGGAAATTTGCTTCGAAACCGGCCTGGGGATCGCCAACGAGAGGGCCGAAGTGGATGGCTCAGGACGTGTTCGCCAGTCATTTGGCCTTGAAGGACGAAACAATGCCGTGGTGGTGAACCTGTGGTGACTATTCCCGTCTGAAGAGATGACGGAGTTTGCCCGATAGCTGCATACAACTATATCATGCATCAAGAGGACTTGGTGATCTTCCTGTTGACGCGTGGAGGACAGCGGGAGTGTTTCTCACTGGTTCTGTCCGTGCGGTAGACCTGGGGTACACAGGCTGTGTCCGCCGGAGCAAGGCGCTGGGGAAAATTCCCATGGTGCATGGTGGCTCAGATTGTGCATCTTCCTTAGCGGACAAGTCGCCCATCCTTGCAGATTGGATGGTGAAGGCGAGCGGTTCAGGTAACCGGGTGATTGCACTGATTCCCAATCAACGGCAGCGTGCTGGAGGCGCTGATTTTCCGGGCTCCTCTTGATAAATTGGAAAGCCGCTTTAGCCACGAAGCGACTGGCTCCACGATGGAGTTGGCCAGGCCGGACTCGGCAGGATGAGAGCCATGCTGTTTCAAAACAAGCTCAGCCTGTCCGTAGGTGACCGCTTGGATAGATTATTGTGTGTTCCGTCATTTCGGACGGAAAAAGAGACTGGTCACCGGCCTTTGCCATGACTTGATGGTGAATAATGTGGTGGTTGGTGTTCAAGTTCTGCACCTGTCACAATCTGCCCGGATCCACGGTTCGTGCTTCAGGGCCGGCGCGCTGTCTCCGGCTGCCAACGCCGGCCACGTCGCATTCTTGTTACTACAGTACTACTACTGTACAACGTGCATTTGTGTAAGGATCCATGACGGCGATCCATAGTTTGACTGTCTCTGATGATCGGGGCTTTTTGTAGGCCCCGCCCGTCTTATCACTTCACGTTGTCGATGTTGTTCCCGACCGACGGCGACTCTTGCATTCATGAGCTTGAGCAACTCATAATCATGCATCAGCCAGATAGTACAGCTGTGCAGAAAGCTTGCAGTTGGCTCCCGAGCGTTCAGAGGAAGGTGGATATCGATTCCTTGCTTGCGCGTCTATCTGCCGGGTTACGGGTTACATGAATCCTTCACAGGTATGACTCGTGGCATTCAAGTTGTTGAGCCATGAAGCTACAGGGATACGTCGCCAAGTTGGCACAAAAGTTGGCTCCGGCTGCATAGGATCCGCCTGCGATTGACCTAGGCCCAGCTACATATGCGCAAGTTCATATGATCATGGACATCCGATGTCATTAAATAGCATAGGTATGATTCGGCTAGAGCTCCGACCTGCGATGTGTCTCTCAGAATATCTTCTTACTAGAAGCATGGTTTTAGTTGCAGCATGGCCTTGTCGCCTAGCCGGAAGGCAACAAGCGTCCTGCATCCGGCGTGGAAAACATTTCCAGGAGACACTGGCGCCTTATACCCTTATTTTGACGGAACCACGTCCAGACTGACCGCTTCAACTTCAACAACAGGACCTGTGTACACTTTCCTCCCCCTGAAGAAGTAGTACACCGCTCCAGCTGCAACCCAGCCGACGAGCACCACAATCGAGTAATTCATGTTCTGAGGGGTGACCGGCTCGTAGCTGGGGAAGGTGCTGAAGACCATCGCGAGCAAAAGCCACATGATCGCAAACACATTGGCGATGGTCCCGCCGAGCTTGCCGAGTCGGAATGGGCCGTAGTCGTCAGACATCAGCTTCTTGCGACCGCAGACCAACATGTAGATTATCGGCAGAATGTAAGATAGATACATGCCGATAATGGCCATGGACAGGATAGCGTTGAAGGCGGTGGTGCTACCAAGGTAGATGAAGCCTAGCGCCGCTTGCAGTAGGGAGACCAAGACAATCATCCGCACCGGGACCTTGAGCCTTGGATGCACATGCCCGAAATACCCTGAAAATGGGATGGCGTCGTCGCGTGCAAACGCCCAGAATGTGCGACTGGTCGAGGTCAGGCCAGCGGCGTTAGCAGCCGTCGCGATGAGACAGATAATAAGTGACAGCACAGTGGCCCCGGCCGAGGACTTGGTCACATTGAGGTATAGCTGCATGAAAGGAAAGCCTGTAGCTGTTTCCAAGAGGGTGGTCAGATCTCCCAACGAAAACAGCAGGACCAGGCAATAAACAAAGCCGATGATGGCGTTGGCGACGACAGAGCCGACCATCGCAATGGGGACATTGCGGCTTGGCCGAGGCAGCTCTTCAGAGAGATGAGCTGCCGCATCGTATCTGTAAAAGGTCAGCCGTGCTGCCCGCAGATTTGTCGTCAACGGTAGAAATCCCATACCCGAGGAAAGGATAGACCGAACTGAGCAAGCCAACAAGCCACGCAACACCATCGTTGCTCCAGCCGCTTGAATTTTCCACTTCGACGAACACGTAATGGGCAGAGTGCTTGGGTGCCATGACTCCGAGAACAATGACAATCACGACGAATCCGACAATATGTAGGACACCTAAACGACCTGTTAGAACTGCTGAAGACATATTCAATCCTGTCCGTCAAGCAAACCGCTTACCCGAAACCAGATTTGTATGTGGTAATATTCTCGACCCCCAAATGTTCACCGCTGCAGAGTAGAGCAGCAACAGCCAGTAGAATAGCATCCCTTGCCACCGTTGAGGGACGTATGTGTCCCCGTGGTTAAGGGTGATGAGGGCTTGGTATTGTAGGCCTCCGGCGAATGCCGCAGATGCGGTGAGGACAATCTGTCCACCAACGGAAATCCATCCAGTGAACCACGACGCCAGGACTCTTCGGTTTTCAGGAGCAAGAACGGCAACCCAATGGTATTGGCCTGCTTGATTGTGAGCAGCAAGAATGGCATCCCTCGGTGGCTGTCTTACCTCCTGCAGTTGGCCATATGCTCGCAATCTCGGCCAGGGAGCATGCGGTGGCAAGTGTCCCCATGAAGGAAATTATGCTTTACCGATGTCAGCGTGAGCCCTGGAACCAAACAGGTCGGAAAGAAGACATACTAGTTGTAGAACAGACACGGTGCGCCTCCGCTGACCAAGGCAGCTGCGACGGCGGATGACAAGGCTTCCCAAGTTGCCATGAGGCACAGGCAGAGAGCGCCGAGAGACCATATCGAGAACTCTCGCCGTAGTTCTTGTTTGTGACCAAGTGCTGCCAGCAGCTCCTCATCGTTCATGTGCTGTCTGTCAAGGTGATGGCCTATCACGCCATCTTCATGAGGTAGGTGAGGGTGATGGTGATGGCCCACACCGCGTTCTTCATGACCTGAGGGACGGCCCATCATGCGTTCTTCATGAGAAACTGAAGGCTTCATGGCTTCTTCCATCGTGGCGGGAAATAGAAAAGATAAATAGCCTGCCTCGAGCACGAGGTGTAACATACAATGGGCATATCTGGGGAAGATAAGGGTATATAGTTATCTTTTTGTTCTCCTTTTCTGTACACCCTACCTCGGCCGGGCTTGATAGGACACTATGCCCCAGGTTGGTTTCGAAGCCACATCACTGATCTGAGACTCAGCATCATGTCCCCCGCGTTGCTTAGCATTGGCACCCTACTATCTGGGGTCGAGGAATGACCCAGCGCGGGCGTAATTCCAGCATTCTGCTGCAACGAGGATCATGGAAATAGGCCCCTGCAGATCGTGGCTGATGATGCACGACGGTTGAGTGGTTGCGGCAGCTTGCGGCAGGCCATTAGGGCCATTCACTGACTGCCAGGACAATAAACCCTAATAAGGGTCTGAGGGTGGTGGTGACGGGAGGACCAAATTCCGCGTTGGCTCGAGGCAGCCTCGACTGGGTGGCTCAGGCCAATCGCATGCAATTGCGCACACCCTGATTCTGTGGCAGTGGAAATGATGCCGCGTTCGACACGACGCCCAATTGACAGCTCGCTCATTGGCTCACCTACCGTTGGCATTGCAACTCCAAAGGCCTTGTCCCTGGCATTTGCGTGTCTCTGTTGAGTCTGGGCTTCTGGAATTCGCCGGAAAGCCAATTGCTATTTATTGATCTCGGTGACTCGCTCAAAGTCAGTTTGCGACCTCGGAACAGTCGAGTGCTAGTCCTACTCACGCTTTAAGTAGTAGGGCCGAACACTTCAGCGAACACTTCATCCCCGGGATGCGATGGAGACTCAATTGTTGTGCTTGATCATGGCCCAAATAGGAAGCCATAGCCGGAGAAGCCCTCGCAGTGCCAATGAGATAAGTTTCCTCTCAGCTGCCCCGTGCCAACACGAATCCGATAAGCACCCGTGATGCGTCCAAGGCTGCCTATCATCAGAATGTTCTGTCATAAAACGCGAAACTCCAGCAGTCATTGGGCCCTCAGAACTCCAGCAATCCAACATATGGAAGACACCGCTTCGGATGCGAGAATGGGCCGTCATGCCGGGGTCAACATGTGTCTCAAATAGGCAAGAGAGATTGCGCTGGACCCGTATGCTCAGGGCGTCCAGCGAGTATATGAAGTGACTCCCGTTCACATGAGTGGCATTGCAGTATGCATTGGTTGTCTGCTAACCCTTCCTCTCCTGAATTGCCCAAACCTTCTCTGAAAAACATGGCGCCCCATCCTTTAGATATTCTTTCGGTCGAAGAGACAAACAAGGCTCGGGATATCGTCGCCAGTCTTCACCCAGACACTGTTCTTAGCTTTCGCGAAATTTACTTGGAGGAACCAGCGAAGAAAGACCTCATTGACTTTCTAGCCGCCGAGCACGCTGGTAAAGATGCTCCGCGCCCCCCTCGAACAGCCCTGGTGCAATACGACGTGATCGGAGCGGACCGAATACCCCAGTACCATGAATCCATCATCGATCTGGATAAGAACAAGAGAGTCTCACATGTTGAAGTCGACAAGTCCCAACATGCAAGCCTTACGCTGTATGCTCGCTCCTTCAGAGAGGGCTCATAGACCACTAACAGCCTTGCAGATCGGAGTTTGATACGCTGGTGGAAGCCTGCAAAGCCTCCCAGAAGTTCAAGGACATTTGCGCCGAGATCCAGCTTCCTGATGGGTTCGAGGTGATTGTGGAACCATGGCCATATGGCGGCCCTCTCCCAGAGGAAGAAAACCGACGATATTTCCAAGGGCTGTGTTTCGCTCAAGACACCCGCTCTGGAAATCCTGATTCAAACTTTTATGCCTACCCACTGCCCTTTATCCCAGTTATGGATGCCCACACAAAGGAAATCATTCGGATTGACCGGCTTGCGACGGGAGGCAAGGGCGATGCTCTTGACGCTATCACCTTTACGAAGAATGTCATCGACCATTGCAAGCCAGCCGAGTATGTGCCAGAACTCTTGCCTAATGGCACACGGAAGAACTTGAAGCCCCTGAATGTGTTGCAACCTGAAGGGCCCTCCTTCTCGGTAGATGGTGGACTTATCGAGTGGCAAAATTGGAGATTCCGAGTCAGCTTTAATCCAAGAGAAGGTGAGTACCTCTATACTATTCCCTTGGATTGCGCAACAGTGGTGCGTGAATTTGTGAGATCAGCATTGACACATGTTAGGCGCTGTCATCCACGACGTCCACTTTGCTGGCAGGAGCGTGATGTACCGGTTGAGCATCAGCGAGATGACTGTCCCGTATGCAGACCCACGAGTGCCGTTCCCCAGAAAGCAGGCATTCGATTTCGGAGATGGTGGAGCAGGAAACTGCGCCAACAACCTTTCTCTCGGCTGTGATTGTCTCGGAGTCATCAAATACTTCGATGCCGTGATGGTCGGGTCGGATGGCAAGGCAAAGGTGTCACCCAACGTGGTGTGCTTGCACGAGCAGGATAACGGCATAGGCTGGAAGCACACAAATTGGCGGACTGGCCGGGCCGTTGTGACCAGGAACCGTGAACTGGTCGTGCAGTTCATCATCACCCTCGCAAACTACGAATACATTTTCGCTTACAAGTTCGACCAAGCAGGAGGAATCACAGTTGAGACTCGAGCGACGGGGATTGTCTCGGTTGTCAACATCGATCCAGGCAAGACCAGCGCATATGGAAATGTTGTCTCGCCGGGTGCTTTGGCGCAGAACCACCAGCACGTGTTTTGCATCCGACTAGACCCTGCGGTCGACGGGTACAAGAATACGGTGCTGGCCGAGGAATCGCGCCCTGTACCCTTGAACAAGGAGACGAACCCGTATGGAAACTACTACGAAGTACGACAGACTGTTCTCGACAAGAGCCAATGGCTTGATGCGGAACCAAAGTATAACCGCGTCGTCAAGGTGATCAACAAAAACAAGACGAATCCGATCAGTGGGAAGCCTGTCGGCTACAAGTTCACTCCTGCGCCCACCCAGCTGCTGCTTGCCGATCCACAGTCTATTCAAGCACGACGGGCGCTGTTCGCTCAACACCACGTTTGGGTGACGAAGCACCTCGATGGGGAGTTCTATGCTGCCGGCCGATACACTTTACAAAGCCGCGATGAAAAGGGTGGTGTCGCAGACGCCATTAAACGGAACGAAAATATCGATGATGAGGATGTTGTCGTCTGGAACGTCTTTGGTTTGACACACAACCCTCGGGTGGAAGACTGGCCTGTCATGTGAGTTCCCTGTTTTGATAGATTTGTGCATAACGACTGACTTGATCGATGTAGGCCTGTCGAGATTCATCAGCTACAGATCAAACCCACCGACTTCTTCACAGAAAACCCGGCTATCGATGTGCCTTCCAGCAAGAACGAGGCGTCTGTTCTCGCCAACGGAACCACAAACGGTGCCACCAATGGCGTGACAACCGGCTCCGCCTGCTGCTCCTAATGTTTTAGCAGGGCGCTGCTGGGGTTGATGATAATTAAAGCATCGCAAAGCGTGGACAAATATCAAATGGCTCCATGAACGCAAAACAGAGGTTGATTTTCGCGCATAGTTGAGCACGCAGCAGAACGATGAAGACATGAAAGCATAGGAATTGTAGCATATGGCAGAATAAGCGGATACACTATCCAACAAATCTTTTAAAAAGTCTACACTGTTTGGTAGATGTCTTCAAAAATCCCAACGAGTCAAGCACTCGATTCTTTTCAACAATGGCTCAACCGTGAGCACGTTGAGTTTCTTTTATTAGACAAACCTATAGCCCTAGTAATGCAACGTCTTGGAGTTTTTCAGCGAAGGAATCTGGAACGTGTGGGACTTGAACTTCAGTTGAAGAGGAGCCGAAGCCTTGTCAGCTGCTGCTTCCTTGGCCAACATCCAACCTTGAACCCGTGTAAAAACCTCGATCTCCAGCCTCAGCTCCGAATCTCAAGACTTACATCTCATCGGCTTGCCAGGAAAACTACTGGTCGAACCAGCCTTAGCCCTGGACACGAGCCTCAGAGATGAAAACTCAGAATCAAGAAAGATGATCTCACATTTTTCCTTCGAAAACTACTAGTTCTACTTCCTAAGTGCCATTCAGATGCCGTACCAGGTAAGTTCCCGAACGCCTTGACCCGACATATCAATCATAAGGTACCTGCGGAAGCAGCCAAGAGAGCGAGAGCCACGCTCCCGCCGCCACACTGCAGAGTCTGGACTTCAATATAATACTCCCTGTTACTGGATAATGGCCTCTCTGTGATCGCTCGCTACATTTATCAATGATATACCTCAAATGCCTTCTGCATGGAGAAAGCCGACTTAAATCTATCCCCTGCGTCGGAGTCGCTACGGTCGCCCCTGTCATGGAGCGACAGCATCGCGCCGCAAGCGACAAGCCGCTCATCATTATTGCGAACGAAGCGGTTACGTGAACCATGGCGGCATTCGGTATCTCGACAGGAGACCGAGACACAGACCCTGTCAAACACAGTCCGTGAATTCAAACCAGATCGCCAACAACGACGATTGTTCTTCCAAGGCGTCCTGCAGTGGTTGATCACACTGGTGCTTTGCGGACTGCTGGCGGCATGTTTGGGCACCTTTGGGCGACTGTCATGGATGACCGTGGGCCAAGTCAAAGCCTTTAATGCCCTTATCGTGTTGCTGTCGGTCTTCCTCGGGAACAATCTGTCGAGCTCGCTGCGCGAATATGCACTGATGTTAAGATGGAGGATTTTGGCGGCCAAGTATCGACCGCTAGAAGAATTCGATCTAGTCATGCACTGCGACAGTTTGCGCAAGGTCATGAAACTGTTTTGGGTGGCTAGGACGAGAAGAACCCCCCTCACCACCTCCTCCTCACAGGATCGAGGACGCCCTGTGCCCTTGTTCGGGCCCAGTGTCTTCCGTCTCAACAAGACTCAATGGCTATGTGTGCTATGGCTCGGAGTAAACATATTGCTTCAGGTCCTCGTGGCGCTACTCGGGTTAACATATAACCTCAACACGGCCGATGTGCCCATCCAAAAGTTCGGGACGATCAGCGTGGCGAATCTGACACTGATCCGCGACATCTGGGGCTCCGACAATCCAACGTTCGATGCACAGTTGGGATCAGCCAATTCATACGGGATCCAGGGTCAGGACTACTTGTTCGTCACGGGCAGTCCTCCAGGTCAAGGCAAGACGCCACGGTACGGGACACCGGGCACACCGACGATCTACACCAACGGCGACTGGAGCGTCATGACCTATGTTTTTCAAGACCTCAACATCCGCAATTCGGACCTCAGTCTCATTTCGCACCGCAACATCACGGCCCAAGCGACCTGTGAGAGTCTACCGGTTCTGCAAGGCGGAGCCGGAACCGGAGCAAACAGCACCATCATCACATATCTCAACACCACCACTGGCCACACCGAAACTTTGGACGTGGTACGCATTGGACCAGGCGCCATGACCTTCGTCGGAGTGTTAGATTCAACATGCGGACCACGATGCACACAAGTGTTGGCCTTGCAGAGCGCCAACGGCGGCACGATCCCCAGGCCATCATTATATTCGTGCCGCAACACGATTTCACCCGTCCAAGGAATTGAGCGATATATCTTCAACAACAAAAGCAACCAAACAGTATCGGCAGCAACATTTCAAATGCCCGATGAACAAGCACGCATCATCGCCGGCGCCATCGGCTGGACCGGGTTCAATTATACGCCAGGGGACTCATACCAATACGCACGCTACGCGCCCGAATCATGGTGGAGCCCGGACTCGCCGGCGGACACGGGCACAATCGCCCGCCGCATTATGGAATTCAGCATCGAGGCCGTCGCCGCCATGGACTACAATGGACCCAGAACAAATGTGAGCGGCTGGTCGCCCGTGCCGGCCCAGGAGGTTGATGTCCAATGGCGCTGGTCCGCTACTATTCTCGCCATCATCCCTGCTGTCCAGTTGGTTGCGCTGGTCTGTGTTATTGCTTGGGGTAATGCTGCCATTATCCGAGATGACTCTTGTCTCAGTACCGCCAGGCTGCTGAGGCCTGTGGTTGATAACCTCGCCAATCGCGGCTGTTTGCTTACAGGTCATGAAATCGCCAAACAGCTTGCCAGTCTTAATGTCAGATATGGTTGGCGGGATCCAAGAGAGCTGCAGGCTAATGGCACAGCGTCCGGATTCACTTTTCGAAATGAGATTGATAGCTCAAAGCCTGTTCGTCATGTCGATATCATTGATGAGACGGAGGGCTGGGGCAGTCAGGGCCCTTTTCCTCCGGGTCTTTATGATGGCTTACCGCTATTAGATGGTCGACATGATGATGCCGAGGACACGCTACAGCAAGACGTCGAGTCGAATTCGGACTCGGATTCAAACTCAGGGTCAGAGTCAGAGTCAGAGTCCTCGGATTCGATCATCAGGCAAACAATGACTGTGCCGCCGCACACAACAAGGCTGCGTGTTGCCAGTATCCGTCGCCGGCGTGCAAGGCGCAGCATGAGTCTATAGGCGAAAGTTGTGGGTTTTGATCACACGACAAGTGTACCTGCTTTTTGACCTGTGTTGTTCTGTAAGTACGATATCTATGATTCATGAGGAAGGTAAAGGAGTGAATACGAGCCATAGAGCATCAATAAGGGGACATTGTCTACTAGGAATGGATGGGCTATAGACACACTGCATGGTCATACGCACATAGCTAACTGTACGGCCCTTCATCCCGACCTAGGTACCTGGCCTACTAGTAGGTGGGATATGCTAAGTAGGTTTTGATATTATCACTGCAATAATGTATCAAGTTAATTCATTCGTATCGTTTATGTAGGTACAGTGTTACGCTTTATTCCCGGGTTAGGCCATTTCACATGCGTCTATAACTATAATATCGACCGCTTTGACTAAATAAGCAGCACACTGCAGCCTACCTGTTATGCTTGTATTGTCCTATCTTGATAGTACGTACTGCCGAATTGCCAAACTACCTGGTACATGTACCTTTGTTATCTGTATCATGATTCGCAGTAGTACCTACTACCCAGGTAGCCAACAATCAACACTCACTACTGGCAGTGTACGCATAACGTGCTCGTATCTCGTCATCTCATCCTGGTGGCGAGCTGTCGCCGGAAGAGGAAGTTGTGTGCTTGTCCCAGAGATGGCTCGCCGTCCAAGCTGGAGATACAGTCCTACTACAATAGTATCCGAGTCTGAGACGTCTGCCGATCCTGTCGGCTTTACCCCTCAGCTCAGGCTCCTCTCTCCGTCCGACCCCAAGACACCGCCCAGGACCACGAGACGGGGCTCCATTACTACCATCGAAGTCAGCATCACATGTGGCACAGAGCCGCTGGTGAGAAGGTCCATCTACTGATGATGTCCTGTTAAAGTCCACGAGGATTGATACGATGCCATGTAATGCTACCACTAGTAGTGTGGCCTAAGACCAGAGAAAGGTCGGACTCCAGATAGCGACGCCCCTCCTCCACAGCCAACACTCATTTGCCCACTACCAACCACCCCCCACACCCGGCGGGTCAAACCACCTCAGGGACAGGTCCCTTTATCAGTCCCTGCATGCCTTATCGCGCCCCATCCCGAGGTCGGAGAACCCTCACCAGTGTCGCACAGACCGCCATGTTGCATGTTGCAGGTATGCGCGCTATACCGCGTTCTCAGTCTGTTCAGGACTTCTCAATGAGAGCCTCAAGCTCAGCGGCAATCTGCTTCAGCTCGGACTTGAGCTCAGATGCCTTCTCACTAAGATAGGAGCCTGCCGAAAAGCTGTGGTTGACAGTGTAACCACCGTCATCAAGAATCTCGGTGTAGTTGGACTTGCCGCCACCGTTCCAGGCGAGCAGGTTGGCAGTGTCGCTCGGGACGTCGGTAAGGGCGCCCTGAGTGGCGATGGCAATCATGTTGGCCTTCATTTGTTTTGGAGTGATTTCAGCCACAGCATAGGCGGAGTCGCTGGCAGGCTGGAGAGACAAGAAGTAGGCCAGGAGACCACAGATGTGAGGAGAGGCCATCGAAGTCCCCGAGATGGTGTTGGTAGCATACTTGCTGCCGATCCAGGTAGACAGGACATTGAGACCTGGGGCAAAGATGTCATTGCAAGTGCCGTAGTTGGAGAAGTAGGCACGCTCATCGGCCAAGGTGGATGCACCGACAGTGATGGCCTTCTCGGCGGCGGCAGGAGAGTAGTTGCAAGAGTCGGCGTTGTCATTGCCAGCGGCGACGGCAAAGTGAAGACCTGCGTCAACAGCTGCGTTGACTGCAAGATCAAGCACTCTAGACTTGCCACCACCCAAGCTCATGTTGGCAACGCTGCCCTTGAAGCCCTTCTTCTTGCCCTTCTTTGCAGCCCTGACTGCCTCACTGTGCGCATTGGCGGCCCATTCAACGCCTTTGACGACGTCGGACATGGTGCCAGAACCATTGGATCTCAAGACCTTCACAGCATAGACATTGGCCTTCTTGGCAACGCCGAACTTCTTACCAGCAATAGTGCCGGAGCAGTGTGTGCCGTGACCGTTACCATCAACATCCTCGTCGCCGGCTGGGATAGTCTTGCCCCAGCTCGCACGGCCTTCGAAGTCGACATGCTCAGTATTGGTGCCAGTGTCAATAACATAGGCATCAACACCCTCGCCGCCATCGGCCGAGTAGAGGTATTTGTTGAAGTTTCCGAAGCTCAGGGAATCCCTGTGGGAGATACGAGCCAGGCCCCATGGGGCATTCTTCTCGAGGGACGGGGACTCTTTCATGGTGTGGACTTCCGAGTCACGTTCGATGTATTCAACCTAGGAGGCAGGTGAGCGAACATGGCCGGGGGCAAATGCGTGCGATAAGGACGACGGCGAAAGATTTGGGGAATCCAGGATACAGGGAGGAATTGTAAGGTCCGAAATCTCACAAAGCAGGAAGGAAAAGTGCTTATCGGGGTGAAACAAAGTGATCTGGGCAGATTGACTCACATCTGGGTGCCTGCGGACAAGCTCGATGACATCCTCATCGAAATGACCGGCATAGCCCAACAATCCTCCAGGGATGTTATACGTATGTCTCAACCCCTCGAAGATGGTCTCATCACCCGACAGTGTAGACTGGCTACGCTTCCGCAGCTCTTGCTTGGTGCCCTCCCGAGTCAGGTGAATGTCCTGAACCCAGTTATGGTGCACCGTGGCATCACGCTCCGTGACATGCTTCTTGAAGACAACCATGTAGGAGTTTGGAATCTCCTTCGCGTTAGAAGAGGAGATGACCGGAGCAGCATCGTTGTGGATGGTATCGACATTGATGATGGGCGAACCGGCCGCCAGTAGGGGGAGGAGTGATAGCCCAAAGAGGCCCTTCATGATGACGACAGCGGAGGCTCAACAGAGACGATGGCACCGCTGGTAAGAAGGTGAAAGCGCTGCTTGGAAGGGTCAAGCAGTGCTATGCAGGAGATGGAACAGAAAGGGGGATGAAGATGGATGGGAGGAGGAGATGAGAAGAGAAGGAAGGAGGGTGAGATAGATGAGATGGATGTATGGACGATAAGGCAAGGCGGAAGCCGAGATGATGAAGCATGCGGGTGGGATGGCGTGTGTCAGTAGCAGCGGTCGCAGTCAGTAGACCAGGTCACTGCCACACCAGGCAGCGTTGCACATGACTTGGAACTTGACACGTCCGACCTGCGACTAGCAGATACTAGCACCACTCTGATGTGGGAGAAGCGCCATATAGAGCCTACCAAAACAGAAACCACAGATGCTAGCAGCAGTAGCCGTCGGGGGCCAGGAGGGATCAGCTGTCCGCTCTCCGCTGTCCTCGGTCTCCCTGGCCGCAACCGGGGCTTGACCACAACTACCAGATATGCAGTGTGGTGAACTCTACTTCCAGGCTGCACTGTGTAGTTGTCGTACACTTCTGATTGCGGCGTGACCAGCCACTCGAGTGCCAGTGCACCAGCCCTCTGGTGGTCGAGTTGCCCGGGCGCCCCAATATATACGGAGTTGGATGCGGCAACTGGCAGCAAATAATGATAACTAGCCACAGATCTCTGGGGGTGGCTCAGGCCGCATTATGGCCAGGCTACTGTATCTTGCTTTATTGCAGACGGTCCCTCCGCCTCCAACAATAATGATGGAGATCCCATGACTAGATACGGAGCGATATGACATCTCGAAGGAATGATAAAACGATAAGACATCATCCAACCCATCTTACAATGTGCTCACAAGAATTGAAGAGTCATACAGTAGAAGCCCATAACCATGGCAGCAGTCTGCGTTGAAGGTTCACGGTCAGATACTCAAGTGCTACTAGAACAGCGGCAGAACTCAAAGGGGCAGTTCTCATTCAGGCACGTCACCGCACTTCCGTGTCGGCCACGGTATTTCGTGCCTCACTGTCATTGTATGTTACGTTGGAACGATGCACACAGTTGATGTAGAATGCGACAGTCATTCTATGATCACGCCCTTACGATAGTTGCAGCAACATTGCTGGACTTGTGCATTCCCTTCTCCTCTGCCTCTCGCTGCTCGATCGATCCTTGATGCCGTATCTCACTCCTTGCACTCAATGTGCTCGATTTGTCCGCCGCCGTTAGAACAGCATCTGCTTATCCGTGCTAACAACCCCTACGAAGCATCGCGACGCCCAAGTATGGCATGACCCTACCGCCGCATTATAGTGTCTCTCGTCTGCTATGTCTCTTTTGTTAAGCCTCACTTCAAGGCCGGGTGTCGTGACACAAGAGGGGGTCTAGACGACATGGGCCTCACCGCGAATACTCGCCTGCGTGCTGTGTCAACCGCAGATGTGCTCCGGCCACAAGATCACGATATCGCGTCGATCGTCCAAGGGCTCGACGCCCTCGATAGCAGTTCATATACTGCACTACAGAACAACCTCGACCAATCGACCCTTTTACAGCAGCTGCGGCATATTCTAAAAGATGACAATGAAGTCCATGCAGCCAACAGCGGCTTCAGACGAGCAGGCGGCTTCCAGGCATTACTCCGTCTACTTCATTCCTTGGTGGACCGCTTATCTGCCCAGGAAAACCGGTCTTCCCATGTAAGATCCTTTCTCCAGGCATTGGCCCAGTTGCTCGCTGTTCTTGGTGCAGCCCTGGAGACACACGATGGGAATCAAAAATACTTCAGGACAAAGGTAGATGATGGTGGTTGGGAGTCCCTACAGAAGATTCTTGAACGGTTTCTGCCTATTCTTTGGCAGGACGCTGGGAATGGATTGTCTGTTGAGCAGTTCTTTGGTCTCCTCTTTGCAACTGCGGTTGGCACGGAGATGGTTGACGATATCTACACTTCGATCGCAAGATCTATGAAATCAACGGATGATGGTCTTTTATCAGACGCCTTTGTCGACTCCGTACGTGCTGCGGTCTCGAAAGCCGCCTCCAAAGTCGATCGTCTGGCGGTACCGGAATTGTTGACCACGATACTTCGTCTCTGGAGTGCAAGTATCAACGCCGAAGATGTCCCGCAACGTACGATCAGAGTCGCCCTTCCTCTCAGCATCACAGGGATCCTCGCGGAATCACGGCACAATGTTGTCTCTGCCCATACTGCTGGAGCGTTCACAGCGATTCTGAGCCTAATCTTCAATGACCGTCTCTCCACGGTCGAGAGAGCCTTATTCAAAAAAGCAGCCTCTATCCTGTGTCAGGAGGGCATTTCCAGCCTAAACGACGCTCATTTTCTCTTCAATCGAGCGACGGCAACAGCCGATGCTGCATCATTTCTACTTGACTCGATTAAGTCATCACGGCAACCACCATGTATTCAATTTGACTTGTCACAACAAGGATTTGCTTCCACCGAACTAGCCACTCTAGGCAGACCATTCCCTCCCATGGACAGTGCTGGTTACACATTGAGTCTCTGGGCTCGCTTCGACGCGTTCGATAGTCAGGTACACACTACCCTGTTTGGCGCTTTTGACAAAACCCAGACTTGTTTCATGCTGGCATATCTCGAGAAGGATACGCATCACCTGATCCTCCAGACTGCAATACAGGGAACTAGGCCAAGTGTAAGATTTAAGTCTGTGGCTTTTCAGCCGGAGCGGTGGTATCACATAGCTGTGGTGCACAAGAGACCCAGGACCACCTCATCTTCCAAGGCATTTCTTTTCGTGAACGGGGATTTTGTCGAACAGCAAAAGGCGAATTATCCATCTGTCCCTCCGACTGAGCGAGGATCAAGTACACCCAAGATTCAAGCATTCTTCGGAACGCCTCAAGACCTGTCGCCGGATCCGACAGGGACAACATGCCTGTCAAGGTGGTCTTTAGGTCCGGCAGTTCTCTTCCAGGATACCCTGAGTGACGACCTGATTGCCGTTTTCCACCACCTGGGCCCAAAATATCACGGCAATTTTCAGGACTGCCTCGGTTCTTTTCAGACATACCAGGCATCTGCTGCGCTGAATCTGCGCAATGAGATGCTCCATCCAGGAAGGGAGGAGCAATCGGAGCTTCTCCTGGCGATCAGGCAGAAGGCAAGTAACCTGATCCGGGAAGACAAGATTCTACTCAGCGTCTCACCTGCCGCTGTCTTGGACAATGACGACCGCAACAACATTGATGAAACCCAACTTGTCAAGTCTCTTTCCAAGTTGGCGGCCAAGAATCTGGCCGCCTACACGCGATCGGGGACCAACGCCGTTGCCATCAACGGTGCGGTCCCATCGATCAACGACGCGCTTACTCAAGCTCGCGGTGTGCTCATGCTTATGGGTAACCCTACCGTGACAGTCCCACAGTCATTGGATGACGCCAGCTGGCGCCTAGGCGGTTGCTGCGCCGTTGGGCTGGGGTTGGTCCAGCGGGCTCGTAGCACCGATGAAGTTGCCCTGGCTGTCGATATCTTGTTGGAAACAGTAAGGTACAGCTGGAGAAACAGCGAAGTGATGGAGAGAGAAGGAGGTTACGCCATCCTGGCAATGCTCCTGAAAGACAAGCTTGCGTCCTCCGTCCAAAGCAACGGAGAAGCAAAGGCTGGAGCTGCAATACCCACCCCTAGACTGGATAGGAACGGCTTGAGCCTTCGGGTACTCGAGTCAGTCTTGTCTTTCGCCGGGTATGACTTCGAGGACCCGACCAAGTCCGTGATAAACAATCCCTTAGCTTACAAGATCGTGGTAGCTGACACCAGCATCTGGAGGGGCGGCCCTCCTTCTGTTCAGGAGCTATACTTCCATCAATTCGTGGTCTTTGCGGAAGAAAGTCAATACAAACGGTTCAACATCAAACGGTTGGCCAGGATGAGGGTAATGAAGCGACTTCTAGAAGCACTCAAGTCGGAACCTGTTGCAAAAGCTATTATGCCGATGTACATGGCGGCGTTCAAAGCTCTGTTACCTCAGTCTCTCTCTGCCGAAACGCTTCGATCCTTGGCACTGTTTGTGACATTCTCTGTAAACAGACGCCACACTGGGTTGCCGCTCCGAAGATCAACGCGCAAAGAACCGCGACGAAGAAGCTCATCAAGCGGCTCCTCAAAGGCCGCCAGAGACGACTCGAGCTCCAACCTGTCGCATTTTGAGATCGGAGTGGAGGTTCTCAGGCTTTATTCTGAGCTATTATGCCGTCCCGGTGATGATGCTATGATCAGGAAATTTGCTAAGACCGTCACCAACAAATGGCTCCTCTACCTATTGTCGGAGACTTCCCCGGAAGTGGTGGTTTTGTCGATGAGAATATTGGCAAGGCTGCTTGTTGTACATGGCGATGCATACGTGAAGAAATTCAAGGACAACTCGAAGACCTCTGGTTTCACTATCATGGCATTCCGCCTCAAGAGATGGTGGCACCTTCCAGCCTTGTGGCCTGCCTGTTTTGCGATATTGTTTGGCCTCGACGTTGGGAATCTCGATCTTGACAGAAATTTTGACCTGTTTGGATTCGTCGACCTCTTCTCGAACAAGAAAGAACTCTCCGTTGTATATCCCGAAATCTTTGAGGTTATCATGAGCATGCTGCAAAGCGGTCTCAAGACAATCGTGTCATCGAAGCGACATCAAACAGCATCCACTCTGGCACCTCCGATGGAAGATCTCAATCAGCCACCCGAAAGACTATCAATGTCTACTATGGCGCCACCAAATCCTCTCCTCACAATCGTAACGAGCCAGCATGTGGACACATTCAACACTGTCGTCCAATTTCTCGCAGATCTTCACGCGAGATCCCAGAAGTTTAGAGATTATGCTGCAACTTCCTCTTATACTCAAGACCTGCTCGCTGTCCTGTTTCCAGTGGTAGTGGGCTCAGACGTCGTTGAGGCTCGCACCGAATTGGACGCTCGTGACGCCATGCTTACCTTTGATGGAGGAGATGTCGTTTTACATCCACTCTCAACCGCCCCACCTATCATTCGCATGACTGAGACTGAACCGCCGTCTGCTGTAACCCGCGGCAAGACGCTGAGAAGGGGATCGTCCTTTGTGCTAGTGACGAGGGAACACACTCAACACAGTAGCGGCGGTAGCCAAGCCACTGATGCTGCTGGGTCCAGCTCTGCCGTAGGTCAGCCACCTGTGCTCAACGAAGGTCATTCCATCGTCCAAAGCCTGCTTGAGATTGTCATTGCAGTGTTCATCGACCAGATACTCGCAAGAAAAGACTTCCCAGGATTAGGTCTCTTTTTGAAAACTCCACCAGGCTTCATTGAGCATCAATCTTATTTTGAGACATGGATTTTGAGAAACATGGTATCGCAGCTGTCCAATCAGGTAGCTTTGGAGCCAAAGGTATTGGTTGAACCAAGGGTTTTAATCAATCTGGCCCGTTTATTTAGCCACTTCGAAGAGGCTCTTTTTGAAGGATGGTTCATTGGTGGTGCAGATGCTGTGCTTGACTTGTCAGGATCAGTCTTGGAGTACCTTCAACGCTCTGACGTTGCTAAGTTGAAGAGTGTGAGGCTCTGCGCACAGACAATTGCCGTTATTCGTGCAATCGTTTTTCGCATAGTGCTGCTGGGCCTTTCCTCCGTTCAAGAAGCAGACTCGTTGCCGTTCCTTGAAAAGTTGACCTATTGGCAGACAGTCCTGCTTTCCGCTGAAGACAACCAGTCAACATACCTACAGCTTGTTTGCTATCTGCTCTACGCCAACCTCGTCTCATGTACCAGTGCTGTCCGCGAAGCTGCTGCCAATCTTTGGAGGATTATATTAGTGCAACGGCCAGATGAGGCGGCTGCAATTCTTGGACAGGTTGATACTACGGAGCAAAAAGGTCTGGTTGCCAGCTTTCAAAAAGTGGTCGAGCTTGACAACGAGACCTTCCTGTACTGGGTTGATGAGCATAGAAATGAACTGGATCTGTTGTTCTTTGACACGCTATCCAAACAGTGGAATGCCTTTGTCGCCGCCGAAAACAAAAGAACCGAAGAAAATGGACGCATGAGAATATCTCGCCGAAGAGAGAAATTAAAACAGTGGGCTAGGGAGGAGGCCGAGCGTGAGGAACTCATCCGCCGCCATGAGGTAGCCTTCGAGAACTGGACGGCAAACATTTACTCCTCTGAATACCTCAAGCATCAGAGATTGCTCCAGGATCAACAGGATGATCTCATTTATACTGAATCCAGCTTCAACCGTATGGAAAGGGATATCACCAGGCCTGGAGGCCTCTTTCAGGTTGATAGAGTTCGCAAATGGAGGCTGGATCAGACAGAAGGAAGGAATAGAATGCGTCTGAGACTGCACGAGGATTTCTCCAAAACTGACGAGGGAAGGCAACCGAGGAGGAAAGGCTCGGACATGCCACAGTTGCGCGTGGATACTAAGAGCACGAAGGTATCGTCAATGGATGCCATAGGCGTTACGCCAGGCGGTGCTACGCCTGTTGTCAAGAGCCCTAAGCCTCTGGACAATGGCAGCGAGCCGTTTCCGGAAATCCCGGAAGGCACAAGTGAACACCAAAGCAATAGTCGGGAGGGGAATGGTGCAAGTGGCGAAAGTCTCGACGCAGACGACACTTTTGAAATGGTCGAGGACCCCAATGACACCTTGACCGAGTTCGAGGACAAGAACAGAAAAGTGATGCGCAGTCTCCATCGGGGTGACCAGGTTAAACACGTTGCCAATATTTCTCGGGTTCTGGGCCTTGAAGCTGTGGAGGGACTTCTCATACTGGGCAAAGACTACATTTACCTCCTGGACAATTTCTTCCAACGCGCAGACGGCGAGATCGTGAATGTCTGGCAAGCGCCGCAGGATGAGCGCGACCCATATGTGCGCATGATCTCAGGGCGCGATGTCGCCGACCGGAAGCAAGTCTCACGAAACGATGAACATGGCACGCGGAGCTGGAAATGGATGGACATCATCAGCGTTTCAAAACGTCGGTTCCTTTTTCGTGACGTCGCGATCGAGATCTTCTTCAGCGACGGGAGGAGTTACCTTCTGACCGTTGTGTCGCCTGATGTTCGGAATGAGCTCCACTCTCTCATCAGCGCAAAAGCTCCGTCCCCTGGCGCCCTGAGCAACACTCAGCCGGAGACCGCCTGGCGTTATGAGACGTTGACGAGCATCGATGACGAACCGCAGAGCCTTGGATCAAAGTTCGCCAACGTCTTCGGACAACAATCGAGCTCCCTGGCTGCTACCCGAAAATGGCAAAAAGGAGAAATGTCGAACTTTCATTATCTGATGCTGATTAATACAATGTCAGGACGGACATATAATGATTTGACCCAATATCCCGTGTTCCCGTGGGTCATTGCGGACTACACCAGCGAGGAGCTGGATTTCACCGATCCTAGAACTTTCCGCGATTTGTCCAAGCCTATGGGCTGCCAGACACCTGAGCGGGAGAGGGAGTTCCGAGAACGGTACCACACATTTGCAGAGATGGGAGACGACAACACGCCAGCTTTCCATTATGGCACTCATTATTCCTCGGCCATGATTGTGTCCTCCTACCTAATTCGCCTACAGCCTTTTGTCAAATCGTACCTTCTGCTGCAGGGTGGTACCTTTGATCATCCGGATCGCATGTTCTTCTCGATTGAAGGGGCTTGGAAGTCAGCATCCCGTATGAACATGACTGATGTGCGGGAACTCACGCCCGAGTTTTATTACCTTCCAGAGTTTTTGGTCAATATCAACGACTTCGATTTTGGCACCAGGCAGAATTCATCCAAGTCAATTGGGAACGTAGAGCTCCCTCCTTGGGCCAAAGGCGACCCCCACATCTTCATCGCAAAGCAGCGAGAGGCGCTTGAAAGCCCCCATGTCAGTCGAAATCTTCATAAGTGGATTGACCTTATTTTCGGAAGCAAACAGAAGGGAGATGCAGCGGTAGAAGCGGTGAATGTATTTCATCACCTTTCCTATCAGGGCGCGAAGGATATCGACACCATCACGGATCCTCTGGAGCGACTAGCCACAATTGGGGTTATCCACAATTTTGGCCAGACTCCATACCAGGTGTTCACCAAACCACATCCCGCGCGGGACCAAGTCAGGCATCGGTATAAACGTCTTGATACCGCTGCAGAGTCATTGACCCGAGTTCCGTCTACTCTGCTGGATACTGGAGAGAGAGTGGCCTCGTTGAGCTTTTCTTGGAAAGCAGATAAATTACTTTGCTCTGGAGCGTTCCGCCTCAACATTCCTCCTACCTACGAGATGTACATGGAGTGGGGGTTCTCTGACAACAGCGTCAGATTTTATTCTACGGACAGCGGCAAACAACTTGGACTATTTGAGCATTTGCATATTGGGCAGCTGTCATGTGCACTGTTCACCGATTCAAAGACGCTGGTTACCGCTGGAACAGATTGTACGGTGGCAGTATGGTCTGTCATTGAGGGAGCCAAATCAGTGGATCTCCAGCCGCGGGCGACGCTATTCGGACACCGCAAACCGGTGACCGTGTTAGCATTATCGAGGTCGTTCAATGCCTTGCTTTCCGCCTCGACCGATGGGCAAGTAATGCTCTGGGACTTGAACCGTTGCGAATTCGTTCGCAAGCTCGATGAAGAGCTGGTGGTGAACTGTGCGGCCATCAACGATGTGACAGGCAACATTGTCCTCTGTCACGGCCACGAAATCAGCGTCTACACGCTGAATGGGGACAGGCTATTGAGAGAGGAGTCGGGCGATCGTCTGCAGGAGGGCATCATTTCATGTGCCTGCTACGAAGGGGCAGGAAGTGAGTGGCTTGAGCGGGACCTCATCTTCACGGGACATAAAAGAGGACAAGTTCGGATCTGGAACAAAGTCATCCGGGATGGTCACTTCGAATTGGAGCTCATCCGGCAATTGAACCATGCAGATAACAGTCGGGACGACGGAGCCAATGTTGGGGCAGGGATTAGCTGTATCCTGCCCATGTCCCAGGTGGTGTATACCGGGGATGAAGACGGAAGAGTGGTATGTGTCGTCCTCTGATTCCTCCAGGCCATGGAATTACAGCTAATTGTTTTACAGTATGAATGGAATTGTGTCCAGAGGCACTAGGCCTTCACCACGCAAAGTCTTCAGGGTGGTCCCCGTGAAACTCATAATTTCCAGGCACAGCGAGGCGCAGGTTGGCAGGGTTGCATTCTTGAATACCATGACGATGACTGGGAATCAATCAGTGGCCGGCTCAGACCAGATGGGTGGTCTTTTCACGTTCTAAAACAGGGTCGTTGGGGATAGAAACGTTGTCTTCGAACACGGCGGTGGTGGGTGGAACAAAAGAAGTTTTTAAAAGTGATACTGTCTTTGGACAACCCCAAGATGACGGGACTCCGCAACAAAGAAATGATAAAGCCAATGTAGACCAGTTCAAGCAAGATCCTTGTGTGACACTAATTACCGTATGCCACTCTTGGATGGAGGAGGTGTCTGAATCAGCTGCAGGCAGCCCAAGGTGCGCACATGTGTTCGTTCCAGCATCGGGTTCATGCAGTGCAGCTAGCAGCTAGGCGGCTAGGCATCCGCTGGCCCCGTTCCTGGTAGTGGGTAGAACTGAGCATGTTGTATGTACTGTACTTAGTCTCTTGATCACTGTGGCTTCTGCCAGTGGTTCTGCTCGAACCGGTCGACGAGACGCGTGGACAGGAGGATCAAAGGTGCAATGAGGTGGTTAGGCACCTGCAGGCAGGAGGCCAAGAATGGACCAATCGAGGGTGTACACGCTGCTGGGTGTTGCCAACGGTGTGAAGACGACCGCAGGCGCAGGCGTGGAGCAGAGGGAGGCTCGGCGGCAGGTCTTACGTGAATGTGAAGCGGGCGAAGGGTATATGCACTGCACTGCAGTGTTGTAATTAAATAATGAAATCTTGAGGACGTGCAATTTAGTTGTACAATAAGTAGCACCTCCTCCTTGATGGCCCGAGTGGTGATTCTGGTGTGGGTTTGATGATTGTTGTTGACATCTGGAGAGATCCGAGGTGATTCCGGCTGCGTCTCTCGTCTCCGTCTTGGGTCTCTAAACTGCATGTGGCTGGCGTGGAGCGGATGGTGGTTTCCTGGCTCCAGTTGGTTGCCAATTGCCCGGCCAACTGGCGAGCGAGGCGGATGTTTGTGGTGGTTTTGCTTTGTTTGTCGCCAGGATGCAACATCGGCGGCTGTGAGTGGTCCAACCTGTGTTTCCCGCAGCCACCGACGGGCAGCACCAACCTCCACTCGGCCATCCTGCGCCCTGAGCCTCTGTCCTACTTCTACCTCCATCGTGGCCCCTGCTCTCATGCTTCTCTTCTTCTTCTCTGCATCACATTACCCTCTTCAAGGACAGTCCGTGGCATTTCTTGCGTCGTCGTGGTTCAAGTTGTTGCTGGATTTGTTGTTTGGCTTCTGCTAAGCGTGCATTGAAGAGTCTTGTAACAACCAACAACCTCCCTCTCTTCATACCACAACCCCCTTCCAAAACCCCAATTCCAGTCTTGACTCTCGACTGCCGAAAGGTACAAGAGAGTTGAGACGCCCCCGAAGACAGGCAATCTGGACTTTGACGCCCGAGTCCCCATCCCAATCAGTGTCTTCCCGTCTACGTACAGGAGCGACGCTTCTTCTCAAGAGACTACCGTCACAAAGGTAGAAGGGGAAGTCCAATTACCACCCACCTCCTCGCGCGTCGGACGGGAAGATACTCGATTCTCCAAGGAAGAAGTCGATATCACCTACCAGGACAGCCGTCCACGCCGCGACCAGTCCACCGCCGCCAGAGAAGACGTCCGTATCTTTGAAGAGCGTGACCGAGTTGTTCGCGACTCAAGGTATCCAGAGGTTGAATTGACCCGTGAAAAGTATGTGTGGTCAATGCGACAAGATCCCCCATCTGCACCCCAGATTGCCCCGTGCACGCACGCTTTGACATCCGGCACGCTCGAGCCACAACCACCACGTTTTGTGACTGACAGATGTCCCTCCGCTCCACAGGTACCGTGCACCAGCCGAATACCGCTCCGCTGCCGCCGCCGACGTTGACGTTGAGATCGACCGCCGTCAGACCTACGACCGATCCTACGAGAGTCAACTTGACATCACTGAGCGCGACTACCGCCGCCGCACTTCTCCAACCTTTGACGTCGAATACGAACGTCGTCGTCCCCAGCAGCAACAAGCAGAGGTAACCGCCACCTTTCAACAAGAACAAATCACCGTCGAACAACCAAGAAAATCCACAAACATGGGCTACTACGACGACGAGGGCAACTACCACAGCTTCCGCCGCGGAGTGGAGCGTGCAGTTGACCGCATCGCACATCCATTCTCCCACCACGACCGTGAAAGAGACGAAGTGGTGATCACGGAGCGTGAGACCAGCGGCCCCAGCAGAGTCTCAGGGGGCCGCGTCGAGCAGGTCCGCTACGTCGAGCCTCGCTTCGGCCAAAAGGGTGTCCCCATCCAATGTCACTTCATCCGCATGGGCGACATCCTGTTGCTCCAGGGTCGTCCGTGCCAGGTGATTCGGATCAGCATGTCTTCCCAGACCGGCCAATACCGATACTTGGGTGTCGATCTGTTTACCCGTCAACTGCACGAGGAGAGCTCCTTCGTCAGCAACCCCCAGCCCAGTGTCGTCGTGCAGACCATGTTGGGCCCTGTCTTCAAGCAGTACCGTGTCTTGGATATCCGTGACGACGGTACTATTGTCTGCATGACCGAGACCGGCGATGTCAAGCATGGCCTGCCTGTCGTCGACCAGGGTGGTCTTTTCAAGCGAATCGAACGTGCCTTTGCCGACGGCTGTGGAAGCGTCCGTGTCTTGGTTATTAATGACGGTGGCAGAGAGTTGATTGTCGATATGAAGATCATCCATGGTTCCAGATTGTAGATTTGAAGGAGAGGAGACAAACATGTGTCTGCGAGTAATGGGGTGAAAGGGAAGGGGCCGAAGTTGTGGTTGGCTTAAATTGGACTGAATGGGGTGATTGGGATTTACAGTTAGGATTTGAGCCGAATATACGCTGGCACACATACATGTTGTTAGAGTACAATCGATTCAATGAGGATAACTTCAGACACATCAAGCATTGCAATATCCAGGGTTGTCATGTTGTATTTCTTGTCCTCTATTTACTGAGAGTAAACAACGACCGGGTGTGAAGACATAGCTAAGCGAAGGGTAGATACATAACTCCGTAAGTCATGATTAATATGGATATATACGGTATATATAAAGTATACATATATGTGTGTTTGTATGCACATGCACGCATGTGAGAAGGTAAGAGTGGTCTCTCTTGTCCAGAGGTAGTCATACCGCACCGACATTTGGAATTGGGACAGTCGGTATCAGTATCGGTATCGACATCAGATAAATAGAATATGGAACTTGCAGCAGGCCTTTAATGGCTGGGTTAGGCTAGCCGGTAGAACTCGCCGACGTCCTTGAGCGGCTCCAGGTCTTGGATTTTCGATCACTCCAGTGCAAGATATCGCGGTAAGATAGAGGTGGCTGCGATAGCAGATGCCGGCCGCAGCATGACAGGACGTGTTTGAGGCCGGTATCGGGTCGAGTGTCATCAAGGCCAACGAAGTAGGTTCCCATGTGAGCATGCTGTGAGCCACTCTTTGTTATCTTTGTGACAAGATTCAAGTCTGGGAGAGATAAGACGGTATCGTTTCGGCACCTTTGCTCAAATTGTATCTCTCAGCGTGGAACATGGCGGTCGAAGTCATGCTGTTGGCAAGCCATGTTATGTCGGCCTGATGATGGAAGTCGAGATGCTTTGAAAGTTGTTCCCTCAGATTGGAAGCGGCGTAGAGACAATATGAATAATGAACCGCTAGATTGAAGGATTCGGAGGGTGCGTCTGAGTCTTCCCCTTCTGACTTTACGACTGCCACCGCCTGTGCCCTGGTGTCGGTGTCGATGTCAATGTCAATGTCGGTATGGTCGAGACTCCGCCAGAGTGGAACACCAGACAACGTCAACTCCAATTACCACTCGGGACTTTCGGTCTCATTTGTAATGGCGCTGGTGATATCGAACCGGGAAGGCGCAGAAGAGGTCCTAATGGTGGTAGTAATGCTACTCACTTCCTACCGCTCAAGGGCGGGTCCGGTTTGCAGTGTAAACCAAATCACCACTGCAGCCAGCATACAGCACACTCGGAACCTTTCTGATCTGAGAACCTGCGATGTTCTTCTTGAGAAGACTGAACCAGACCCTTCCATGGGCATTCTGAGCCCCCTCCTCACCGACGGCTTATCATAGCCACATCAATCCCGCAAGAACGGCCAAAGCGGTGCTGAGATAGACGTATCGACTTGATTCAAATCCAAGGCCTGATGATGACGATTCATCCTCCTTCAGCGAGGTTGTGGTGAAGATCAAATCGCTTGTGATTTGACTCGAATTGAAGCAATTGCTGGCGTTGACTTCTGGCACGTCCTCTGGATCCGCAAAGGTGATATCCACACAATTATACAGAGCGGCTCCATGCACGGCAGTCTCGATCAATTGGATAGTGGCATTGTCGCCGACATTGACTGAAATGTTGGCCGGCAGAGGGACTTGAGGTAGGCAGAACGTGCCCGGGTAAGGGTCCTTGGTCGGGCCGATGATCTGAATGCCATTCACCATCACCAGCGACATATTCGCCGGCACCGTCCCAAGACCAAGATTGATGTAGATGAATGCCGTGCCATGGCCAGGGAACCAGCCAGGTTGAAATGCCACCGCACCGCCTTTTACCGGCCACTTGGTACGATTCGTTGAGGTTGGCATACCTCCACCTACGGCAACAGTCAGATAACGTTGTCCATCACCCGAGCTGGTCCAAACCCAATGTGAAGAGTAACGCTTGTAGAGCGAACTTACAGGGATACATCCACTGCATTCCATACGGGAAAAGATATTGGTCTTTGTCGCCGTATGTCCCCAAGCCGTGGGTGTCCACCGCGGTGCCGTTGGAGTGTAGATTGTCGCCTCTCCAGCCGGGATAGGTGATGACTGTATGGGCAGACACGAGGCTGAGAAGAGAGAGAAGGGCGTAAAAGACGGAGGTTGACCGCATCTTGGCTGTCACTCTTTGTGTTTGGTGTCGATGGACGTCTTGTGTTTCTCTGCCTGAAGGACACAGAGGTAGTGTTGCAATAAGCCAAGCGGTCTCCCACCTCGAAGACTTGGCACGAAGCGGACCTCAGCCTTCTTTGTGGTTTACAAAACGAGTCTGTTGGTACTTGCGTGAGGCCGATACAAATGAATTCTTGTCTGCCCTCTGTTCTGCTGAAGGGAAGGACAAGAAACAACGCCCCACGGGCCATTGGGTCAGGCCTGACTTATGACTTGGCTCGAACGGCCCTGCATGATAATAGGGACCGCAAGACGGACGACGGACGGCGCCGCCAGCAGCGTGCAGCAACCGCTGTGACTAGGGTCGGCATGTTGATGGAATGGGATACAGTAGAAACGAGGTGTGCGAGTGGCGGCATGCGGTGTTCCTCAGACTGGGTGGCACACTGCCCGTCAATCGGGAAGAGGACAAACAGGGATCGGAGACCGAGGCAGCATGTTGTGGACGTGTGATGGGACATTTGATTCGAGACGGGAGAATTGACGGTCGAGTTGGCTTCAATAAGTTGCAGTTGATGGTTGAACTTGTGGTCGCGCCCGCAAGCCGGATGCGGTGCATGATAGGCTGCAGCCAACAGCGACGACATCTCTAAGCGCTGACACCAGCAGGGATTCAGTTCAGGTTCCTCCTTGACCAGTCCAACATGTTGTATCCTGCATCGCCGTTCCTCCCTCTCCACATTGCTTCACTCCGCAGTTCCAGATCGAGCCATTAGTCCCCTTCGTTCCGCTTCCTGTGATAGAAGAGTCGGGTCAGGATCAGGAGTATCTCCAACGCTGGCCAGCAGAGATTCGCAGCGCTTCATTCACGCCGCGTCCTCGTCTATCACTATGAGGCGGTTGTCAAGATTGCAAGAAGAGAGAGGAGCTCATCGGTTGCATCCCCATTGGTAGCATAATACGCCGAACCGAAAGAGCGAAGGTGTTGGCAACGGGCACTGCAGGCGCTCACTTGCATAGACACAAGGCCTGCGTATTTCGGGGAAGTTCAATCAGGGTGTGCTTCTGTTTCATTGGCCTCCGAGGATGGATTCTATCTCGAAATGTGTTTGAAGGGAGAATGCATGACTGAATGCGGCGTGGAGGATGTAGGCTTCGTGCCGTGTGCACATTGGTTACTGGTGGTCAAGTCTTTGCCGTGCTTTTCTTCAGCGGTAACGGAAGCCATTCTCTGCAAAGCTGACTTCTAAGCACGAGCAGGACTGAGAGCTCTGCAGAAAAACCGAATCTCTAGCTTTTACCTACGCAACTTGCTATTCCTTGTTGTAAAGTACCTATACTATGTACTAGGACCCCAGAATTCAGCCTCGCACGTCGGGAGATTTTCGGGGAAATGATAAATATTTTGGTAGAATGCAATTCTGCCAGCAACTGAAGCCTGGACAACATGGTGAGTGCCCCAGTGCAGCTGGGGGTTGACTTGTGAAAATGAGGACACCGATCTCATCACCTACCCTATGATTGCCATGTCCTCATGGCCGTGACCCTTCCAGGTCGACCATCTGCGTCGCCGGCTTGCGAATGCGAATGCCCACAGTTTAACGAAGAACGGATGCCCACCATACCTCTACTCGAACGTATAATTTCCCTGTCCATGACTGACCGCTCTGTCGCATATTCTGTCTGAGGAATCCAGCAACTATCCACCGCAATGCCGCATACCAGTCGCAAGAAAAAGGTCCCGCACAAGAAACGACAAGAGGTGGTAGATGACGATGGATGGACCAGAGTCACCTCTACGAACACTGCGCGCCCAGTTACCCACCACACGAACGCAACCACCAACGGGTCTGTGGTAACCTCTCAGCATGGTAATGACGGGGCCGTGGCTGGAAACGGAAGCGTTACATCCCGACCCATGAAACCAGCAAAGGGAATTACCGTGGAAGCCATGCGGGCGCAGTACGACAAGGTCGAAGCCAAGTGGCTCGAAAGCGATCTATGCCGCACACTCCGAGACAACCTACGTCGCAGGATAGAGGAAACACCTGATGCTGATGGACGTACGCAACAGATCTCAAACTGTGTCATCTTCGGCTCGGGAAGTTTCTGCGGAGACGAGCTACATTGGATCGACCGACACGAGTCGGCGTACTACCAGATCGCGGCGTTCAAGACAATGGTGGACACGATAGAACAAGTCCAAGGGCGGCGACCAGCATGTTATGCTCAGGAGCCCTGTTACAACGATCTCGACGGCGAGTTTCTGGCGAGTGTGAATGTGACCCGAATCGATCATCCGAAGGGATTCGAGTTGTTGGACAGGAACTCGGTTGCCTACTCTCCCGCCGCAGAGCGCAACGTCGAACTTGAGATTATACTGCACGATCCCCGGATATGGCTCCATCGGTCGCTCGATCATATTCGTCCGTCGAACAGACCCGTCAGAGACGAAGGATTGGCCCACCAAGACCCCGTAGGGCTTTTCGTTGAAACTCATGAATTCTTACAACTACCAGCATTGGACGTGAAGAACTTTCCTTTCCACGGTTCCATGCTATGGTGGCGGAAAGATGGTGCCGGTGAAGAAGAAATCAACTCCTGAGCTTGAATGCATATCAATCTATCCTCACTTGGATCCACCCAACCTCAAAGCCTACATTGATTCCCGAGATCTTCTATCCGGATCCAGCATGGCTTACTTGACCTCCGCACTCTGCAACACTGTGCCGAACGCATCTCCCAACTCCTTCAACACGGCATCCGTGACCTCAGACCCAGTGAAGCCAGGAATGTCGCGGTCGCCAATGGCATCGGCCGCCAACACGACATTGTACCCGAGGTCTGCGCCGGCTCGCGCCGTGGTGCTCACGCAGACATGCGCCATGTATCCGGTCAACACGGTCTTTTTCCCACGCTCACCCAGACTGGACAGGTAATCGTGCAGATCCGTGTCTGCAAAGCTCGAGACCTTTTGCTTCTGGATGACTTTTTCGCCTGGACGGGGCTTCAGCTCGTCGAATTCCTCGGCCAACGCTGTGCCGGGCGTGAACACTGGTGCGCCGTCGGGCGTCTTATGCACCACGTGCACAATGTTCTTGCCGTCCCCGGCCGCTCGGTACCTTTCCAGAAGCGACGCGATCGCCTTGCGAGTTTGGTCGACGTTGACAGTTTTCAAGTTTCCTTGGGCGTATCTAGAGAAGAACGAGAAGATGCGTCAGTTGGAGGTTGCCTTGTTAGATAGGCAGAGAACAGAATCACCGAGTTGACGACGAACAGAAGAACAGAATCATCATTGTCACAGAAGCAAGCCCATCCACGTCCGTGGTATGGTACCCCCAACAATTGAGGATGGGACAGGAACTGCAACTGCAGCAAAAACGCTCTCCCGGCTATCCGATGTCCCTCACCCAGGTACCCATACCAAATATATATCCCTTCGGGTTCTGGTATACCCCTTTCACCGGCCATGATCTCCGTATCGGCTTTGCACCGGTACCACAGACAAGAACATGAGATGAATAGACAGGACAAGGTCTTCCAAGAAGTTTAAGTCAGATAGAGAGGGATGGGTAACACAGTCCATAAACACCTGGAGTCACGAAGCAAGGCAAATTGATCCCCGACAAGGGTACGCAGGTACCTATATTCAAAAGAAAGGGGTGCAGGTATGCAGTATTGACATGCAGTGCACAATATGCCCCTCCGCGGTACTAGTACATACATAGATACATGTCGGTATGTACCTGTAGATAAATAGAAAAGTATAGTAAGCAGGGTTAGGTAGTTAGTACTCACTCATTCTGCGCATCGATAATGACCAACGTACTGTCCGCCGGACTCGCCGTCACCCGCGGCGCACCCACCAGGTCCCTGAACGACTTGACTTGTGTTGCGGAGGCCATGGTAATCTTATGCTGAGCGAAGCGAAGTAAGGGTAGGTATTATGACTGACTCGAAGCGTGGTCCCTAGGTACCTGGTACCTGGTAGGCTGTTGTACCGTAGGTATCGCTTCTGGTATCGATTGATGCTCGGTATGGTAGTCTGTCGTTGTTGTCGCTGTTGTCGTCTTGTACAATGGAATTAGTACCTAGGTAGTAGTGATATAAAGTACTAAAGTACCTACGCAATATAACTGTAACAGCACATCATGACCGAGAGCCCCGTTCTGTTACTGTTACGTTTATCCGAGGTCCAAAGTACAAACACTAATAGATGACAAGTACATGGAGCGGTCGAGATGAGTAAGATATTACAATTGTCTTGGTCATCATGAACCCTCCCGTGTCCTCATGATTGATGATTAATCGTTAAATTCTTGAGCCCCTTACCTCAGCTCTCAAGAGGATGACTGAAGGCACTGGAACTTTTACAGGCACCACCTAAGAGATGAATACTGCCCAGGCTAGTAGTGGTTCAATCACGGGCAGTATGGCCTCCCTACTTTGTATGGAATAGCATGGTTCTCAATCCTGATTATTCTAGGGGTTTCAAGCATGGTAGTACTCTGTACAAAAAGGGCTTGGTTGTGCTCATACAAGGCAGCCATATCCACCAGTGCATGACTCGAGGTCTCAGTATTGAGTCAAGCCGTAGAAACTGCAAAGGCTACCCAGGGTACAACTGCCTCTCGCTCTGTTCACACGGTACGAAAGTACTCGAGCAGGTCGCCAAACGCATCCATAACATCGCCACCGGACTTCTGCTGCTCCCTAGTGGAAGCTGGATCATTCCCACCGACCTTATTGCCATGTTGAGCCAGAGCTTCTCCTGGGGCTCGTTCACTTTTTGACTGGCCTGCTGGCGGTGGTGCAAGTCCGCCTCTCCCATCCGCCTCCAGAGTCTGATCATCTTCACCACTTTCAATGTCCAGAAGATCCTGGTTTCGACGAAATGCGGCGGGTGTGTATTCGTGCATGAATTGGTTTCTTCCACGCTGCATGACAGTCACTGTTTCCTTCTTCGTGGCAGGTTCTTCGTCAACTTTCACGGCGCCAAACTCCAGTGTGGGAGATGCGACCTGGAACCCACGTTGATCAGCCTCTTTTCGAGTTACCCCATCGTAGTCTTTCCCCACATCGGCTTTTTGTTTGTCATCAGCGACCACTCCTCCCTTGGCAAAAGTGGTCCAAGTTTGGCGACGACGAGCATCATCCTGCCGGCTGACGGCTGGCTGCAAGGGTGGGTTGCGCTTTGATTGCATGTCTGTCGGATTCGCGGTAGACTTCATACCTCGGTTCGCGGGGTTACGAGTCGAACACTGCTTCCGTAAGTGAGATGTCCTGCTATCTTGGGGAAAAGGCCGACCTTTCATCGCTTGCTCCCGCTTGAGGCGAGAAAAATCATCACAGGTGCAAAGACACGGTTGGGAGCATTTTGCCTCACAGCCATGTCCACATACCATGGTCTCGTTGCAAAGTTCCGGACATTCAACCTTGTCATGATCGAAGGGGTGGCAGCGGAGAGGACATGGATGTCCACATTTCAAATTGGCATTGCATGGCTTCGAACAACCCCCGTCGAGTTCCTGCCAATCGTCGGGATATTGCATAAGCAGGGTAGTTTTGTGGTTCTGACACTGGATCGGGAACACCTGTCCGAGACGTTTGGGTTTGGAATCCAACAAGGTGATTACGTTGTACCAGAGCGGACTTCCTCGCATAAGATTGTCAGCGTTGCCGAAGAGGTAGAAGCCAAACTTTGCCCGTGACAGAGCCACACAGACTCTGTTGTTGTTGGCCAAAAATCCAATCTTCGCTTCCGGGTTGCTGCGAGCTAGAGATAAGATGACAATGTTACTCTCTTCACCTTGGTACGAATCGACCGTCTTGACGGCGCAGTAAGTTTGTCTGAGCTCGGGATATGCTTTCAACTCCTTGAGGATTTTCTTGCGTTGCCCATTGTAGAACGTCAAAACTGTGATATGTTCAGGTCCCAAGCCGTTCTTGATCAAATAACGGTAGAAGCCGGCGATGAATTTGGCCTCCTCTTCGTTGTAGATGCTCTGGGATTCGTCTCGGTACTCTGACCATTGATGATCAAAGAAGAAGGACTTGATGGGTCCCATGCCCCAAGGTGGCGCTGGCCGGCCAACGACACTGGGGTGATCTGTCAAGGAGGGGTACAGGTCGGAGATGAGTCGGCGAAACTCTGGGTCCATTCGACGTTGACGGAGGAGGGTCTTGTACGGCATGTTGTTCTTGACCAGACGCTCGAAGAGAGAAATATTCAGGTTGAACGGCTCCCCTTCCAGTTCCTGAACGCTGCAGTGGCCTTGAAGTTGCTGATGATCTCCCACGAGGATAAGATGTTGGAGACTGGGAATGCATGCGACTGTGACTGGGGCTTCCAAGACCTCGGCGGCCTCTTCGATTAGGATGATTTTCGGCTTCAGCGCAGATATCAAAGGGCGATACTTGCTCAAGCCTGTGGTTGTCATGCCGATGATCTTTGCACGTGACAGGTAGACGCTGTCCTGTTCCCATTTGCCAATGAGACAGTCCTTGACAAGCTTATCGTAGACTGCTGCTGCCTCGCGAAATTTCGCAGCAATAGCCGCCTTCGCCCGTGACTGCATGACTGCGAACATGGGTTTCCGCAGGTATTCTGGTACCTTCCAAAGATCGTTTGTTGTAGGCGAATCCAGAATTTTGGCAGCTTGGACCAAGTCGGTGGAGGAGCATGGAGAGACAGTAAACCTCTCAACCACGGCTGTCCATGGACCCTTCAGCAATTCGATGTCCTCTTCGTCATTGATGCCTGTGGCATCCTCATTCTCTCTGAGCTGCTCAAATTCCAGATCATCGTCTTCGACAGCATCCTCGAAGCCAAAGTCGTCCTGCGCATATCTCACTTCAAAAGGCATGATGAATCGATCGAGCCACAGGCGAATCGCTCCATCCACAGTATCGACTGTCGAAACCCACCGAGATGCGCCGTCTTCGAGAGACTTGGCCTGTTTATCGGTCAAGACGCCTAGTTGAAGGAGGGTTTGAGGAGCAGAGGCTACATCCGTGGAATAGAGGTCAGGGCCGGGTTTTGCAAGCGGCCCGAGCAAAGCAGTCATTGCTTTGACCTGTTTGGTAAGAAGATTGTTGGTCTTGCTAAGGAGACCTCCTGGAACGAGTTTGATTCGTTCGCGCTGTCGAATTTCGTAAAGGGCACGTTGCTTGACGTCGGCATTGGTACTTCTGCCACCTAGACGGATATACTCGGCGTCAAAACGAGAGATATGTCCTAGAAGCTGGTCGAGAGCATGATTCGTCTGCGCTGCAATGATGATAGGTGGATCATCATCCTTGCGATTCTCCTGAAGGATCTGCACCGCAATTTTCGATATGTACGTCTTTCCACAACCGGGAGGACCTTGCACGATTGCTAGACGTTTGGTAAGAATCTGCTCCAATGCTTGCCATTGCGTATCGTCTAGTGTGTCCTTCGGGGGAGGTGGCCAGGGCTTTGTGACGTCGACATTGGAATACTGCTTCTTCTCTTCCGGCTTCGCCGCAGCGCTGAGGTTGAGGGTTGGGTTCTCCTGAACATAGGTTGGCGGCTCAGTATTCGATGCGAAATGGCAAATCTCATTCGACAGCGGAAAGCTAGGTAGAATCTGTTAGTACTTATGGGATTGGCAGAACCTCCCCTCACTTACGCTTCTTGACTGAGCTTCTGCAACGCCCGCAGCGAGTGACGGTATGCCTCATAGTAGCCTTGCTTTGCTTCGATCATGATCCACTCTTGTTGTGGGTCGATCTGCACGTCCGCAGGACTTCCAAAATAGATGTCAATTTGGGGAGGTTGGCAGAGTACTCCAGCTAGAGGTCTTGCTGCGACAACTGCGATCACCACTCCTTGCAAATCGGTGAGCTTGTCGTTGGCACGCACGAGAGCTACCAGCGTTCCACTTGTCAATCGCTTAGTGGACTGCCAAAGGATACGTTTACCCGCGCGCTTCGTGGAAAACTGAATTCTGGCAGCGAGACCCTTTCTGGCAAAAGTGAAGCCAAGAATGTAGACTTTGTCGTACACTGCGAACTTTTGTGTGTCACCGGTCGTTGGGCTCTTCGCAAAGTCTTGCACCGCCTCACGAAGGTTGCCGACTGCGTCCTCGCGTAACAGCGCGTACTGGGTGCGGAGGTATTTTTCTTTAGACCTCCAAGGAGCATTAACCTTGTTTGCGGGAAGAGCAGGTTCAGCTATTGCCAATTCTTCCTTGGTTGGAATTTCTGGTTGAGACAACCAAGTATCTCTTTCAGCAGACTGGGTGATTTGTTCTTGCTTTCCGACATAGTCGCGAATATCCGTGTTGAGCTTGAGGTCCAGGCCGTTGGTGAAGGCAGAAGTGTATGCATTTTGCGCGTTAGGAAAGCGGTTGCCACGTCTGAAACGTTCCACAAGATGCGTGTTCATCTCTATACGCGTGGTTAGCTTCATCTCCCAGGGTTCGTAGGCAATATTCAAAACAGGTAACTTCAAGGGCCGAGGAGGATTGGGGGCGGAAAACGTACCACCGTCAGGCAAGGTAGTTGTGGAGATTTCGGATTCTGCTGAGGACACAAGTTAGCTTTGATGACCGGTTTGAAAGGGAGTGGACAACAGCAGGATCGAAGCGCAAGTAGCAGGCGGTTCACTCACCACCCACGGCATCTCTTCCAGAGCGACGCCCTCCACGGCGACCACCAGGTTGCTCGAATGCCATCCTTAGTTGCTGAAGCGAGGACTCGAAGTTGGTGACCCGGTAAAGGAACTACCACAGAGGTCGAGAAACTGCAGTTGTAGTTATGCCGGCATGGAATGATGCTCAAGGAGGAAAATTCTGCGGCAAAACAATGCCTCACACTTGCAAGCAAGCAACACGCAACACGCCTTTTGCCTGGCGTATTGCTTTGACGTAGAGAGAAAGACTGTCACAAAGGCCACCACCGCAGGCATGTGAAGCGAGTAGAATCACCACAACTAAATTCAATTGCACACTGAGGAAGCTGCGAGCCTTGGAGCGTCAGGCCAGAAACATCACTCAGCATGCACAGAGTAAAACCACAGCTGTCTTCAGGAAGCAATGCGACTTACTGTGACCTCTTGTCAGCCGATGGCTGGCCAAGTTGTCAAGAAGGACAAGGACGGTGTATCCAACGCCCAGTGCTTCACGCCTGAGTCTGGCACTCGTGCAAATCAAGGTCGTGGTCACTGGATCAACCTACCATTCAATGAGCTGGGAAGGTAAGAACCTTAGTAGCATCATGAACAGGTTAGTTGCAGCCTGATTGCACTGTTTGAGCAGGTAGAGTGATCAGAAAAGCTCAGTCTCAGGCCGCAGTTGGCCTTCGTACTCTGGGACTGACCCGATGCGACACCGTAAACAAGCGAGAAGCATCGTATGAGACCAGACGATGTTGGTTAACGCTGATTATGGTTTTATCCTTGAGCCATGCAAATTTGACACTGTGAAAGACGGGCGGTGGCCATGGATCCAGCAGGAGAAAGCAGGCATAGAGACAGGGCAGACTTCGTTCTTTTGCATGAACTTCAGACATTTTGAGATCGGTTGGTGAAGTTCAAGAGGTTGAAGTGAATCGGTGCCGGATAAAAGTTCGGCCGGATTCCGAAGGACGCTTTTCCAGATTAAGGATAGCGCCTAATGTGGTTAGTCATCATATGTTCTGCCGCAGAACGTGAACTTCAACGTGATCTCTCGTCCGTTGCTGTCAAATTACCTTATTCACTGCAAACATCTCGACACACTCGACAAGATCTTGATTGACTCCTCGCCTGAGTTCATATCTCGAATTATATTTCTAGTCCTCTCGGTCATGTAAATTCCGCAATGCCGGCCTTTGACGTGGATGAAGACAGATCCCAGGATGGCAGTTTCGATAACGACAACGATAACGATGAGACTATGCAGGACCTCGATGAGGCAGATGGAGACGGTGAAGGGGATGGAGATGGAGACGGCGACGGCGACGGCGACGGTGACGGCGATCAGGACGGGGAAGGGGACCTAGATGTGGAAGGCGAAGGCGAAGGGGAGGGCGAAGGTGACGATGAAGACGATGCTGGAAGTGCCTCGGGTGGCAGTCAGCCTTCTGACAACGAAGATGCCTCGGGGGAGCCAAACGCCTCTCAAGACAATGCCCAGCAAGGCTCCTCTATGCAAACGGATTCCAGTCGAGGAGTAGCTTCGCATCCCGACATTGCGCCGGAATATCTTGAAGCCGAGACATATGACATTGTCCCTACGATAGCGGCACCGCACAGTACCTCCATCAATGCTGTTTGTGCGACAGAGGATATGCGCTGGGTCTTCACCGGGGGATCTGACGGCTATATCCGTAAGTTCAACTGGGTCGATTCGGTCAATTATAAGTTGGCCCTTACTGTGGCTCAACGCCACCCTTTCGTCGACAGCGTTGTGAAAGCCGGCGTCTTGATGACATATTGGGAGAACTGGGATGCTCGGCCTCAAACGTCGCGGGTCCTGTCTCCGGTATACTCCCTCGCCTGCCACAGTCAGGCATTGTGGCTTTTGTCCGGAACAGCCTCTGGGCCCATTCGCTTACAAACAGTGAGACACGATGAGGGCAGGGAGATCAGCCTGTTACAGAAACATAGCTCTGCAGTTTCTGTGCTTACCTTATCCACGGATGAGAAGAGCTTACTGTCTGGAAGCTGGGACAAAACAGTGATCGACTGGGATCTTGAGACAGGTCAGGCACGAAACACCTTCGTCGGGAGCGCTGGGCAAATATCTGCAATCGAAATACGTCCTTTGTCATCCGTACCTGTCCCAGTCGAGTCTGGCGAAGTGATAGCTACAAACGGGACCTTTTCCTCGAACGATGCCAAACCTCTCACCAATGGAATCAAGTCCGATGGCCCCGCACCGAGTCCCGAGGAGAAACCTGCGGTTGCTACGCCAGACTCATTGTTTGGGGACGGTGATGATGACCTCTTTGGAGATGGAGCCGGAAGTGTTATGGCCAACGGAGGAGATCTTACTGACACGTTTGGAGAAGAGGAGGATGCAATGACCCGAGCCATGGCAGAAGCGCCCCGCCACGAAGAACTGGTCGATCATGATACTAGTATGTTGGACGCCACCTCGCCTCGTGCGGCGACTGGTCACACTGAAGGTATTCCTGCGCCTCAAGAGACAACAGATGAGTCTCATGTTTCGTCCGAAAATGCTGTAAACGGTGTGCCGAATACCGCAGAGCAGCCGGTTGTCAACGGTCTGCCCCATGCCGATGATTTAGAAAAGCCAAATCACGAGCAGGACACCACTAACACCCAGGGAGGCGAAGCAACTCAAACATCTGACTCGACCTTCCTTGCAACATCGATTGACGGCAGCATACGCGTATGGGATCGTAGACTAGACAAACCTGTTGCACGGATTTTGCCACGGAACACGCCGCCTTGGTGCCTCAGTGCTTGCTGGTCTCCGGACGGCAACTTCATCTATGCTGGCAGGCGTAACAACACAGTGGAAGAGTACGACCTACGAAAAGGCTTGAAGGGTCCAGAGAGAGTCTTCAGATTCCCAAACGGAAGTGGTGCTGTCACCGCAGTGAGGGCGATGCCTAACGGGCGCCACCTAATCTGCGCGTCTTACGATATTCTCCGACTGTACGATTTGAAAGAGTCCCACTCTCAACGCTCAACAGTGCCGTTTTTGATCGTCCCCGGTCACAGAACGGGCGTTGTATCTCATCTCTACCTTGACCCTGCCTGTCGATTCTTATTGTCAACTGGAGGCAATCGAGGATGGGAAGGCGCTTCAACTGAAGTCCTGTTGGGTTACGAGATTGGTGTGCCGAAAAGATGATCCAGCCTTCCCGTCTCCAGCGTTCACCTACCCTATTCCGCAAAGAAATGGTCTGACCAAGAGGGCTGGGCAAGTAATGGCATGTTTTGGAAACGAAGAGCAAAGCTGGGAGTGGTCAACTGCTTTGTTTGATTGCCTCCACAGGACTTTTTCGCAAAGTCTGAGCAGGTCCGCACCATATGGTGTGATAATACAACGAGACAGCCTGTCAGTCGGGTTTCGACGGGGAAACAGAGGCATGAGGACCCAAAGTAGCCTCTCTAGCCATGCCATACATTTTTGTCAGTACCATCAGCGGTCCCAGCTCCCACCAGCCGGCCTGAGGCTTATGTGCGTACTCATATGGGCCAAAGGACTATATTCCTGACATGCCTTGTTGGCCAACTTGCTCGCTGCGCTTTACAAGGGGCTATAAGGGCCATCTCACAGGCTCGACCTGGGGGAAAAGATCACACCAGGTCCTGAACTTTCGCAGCATTTGCGACCATACGACGGTGCTTCCGGCTATGTCTTGTCCGCGAAACCACCCACTCAGCTATTGCCGTGCCCGAGGTCGTTTGAACGCTACCTTGCGGGTACTTGGCCCATTGTACCAGTTAATTTAGGCAGAACGAACCAAAAGTCTTCGCACAGCGAGCGTGTGCCGCTTTCTCGTTCAGAACAAGTCAGATTGTATCTGCCGCCATCTGCTACTCAAAGATCATTGAACAGACTTTCCCGTACCATTTTACCTCTGGGAAAAGCATCAACAAGCCATAGGGTATTCAAGTTCTCGACTCATCTCATGTCATCCCAGCATTTCCTCCATGTTGGGCTTGCTCCCAGGACTCTGGAGATGCTGGCTTAGTTCCGCCAAGCTAGCATCGACCTGTGATTCTCTGGGCACCTCGGCCCAGCTGATACCTCCACACCTTGCTTCTCTATTCCCAGACAGAATTGTCTAACCCTTATGTCCTATCGCTCGTGTCGACGAGGGTATACCCTCGGTTAATGAGCTCATCCGCAGCAATTCCGACGCACCAATCCCTCAGCGCTCCTGCCTTCGGAGCATATCTGAAAAACCCCAAGACATTTCCGTCCACGTCCCACATAGCACTACCGCATATTTCTTCTGGGAGATTATCTGCTACATCCTGGCCCATATAGCTCCAGGTTGTAGCAATCCAATTCTGTTCTGGTGGGCCATCAATAACATCGCAAGAGACTCTCTCGCGTGCCGAACACATGAGTTGACCTTCGATGAATCCTGTATCAGGTGAATCTAGGCAGACATCGCGAATTTTTTGACGTTGTGATGCAGGAAGCAGTCTCCTAAGCTGGATAGGCTCCGGTATGACATCGTTCTGGAACGTGACGTTGGAGAACGTTTCTGTGTTGGCCAACTTGACGAGGGCGATGTCTGTATGCGAAACTTCTGTGATGAGCTCGCCAATCTCCCGGTCGCCGTTGGGTAATGCGTGAAAGACTTTCGTGCCGCATTGGCTGGGGAATCCATGAGCGGCCACGGTCATGGATTCATTGCCGACTCTATCTTTCAGAAGCACGCCAGTCGTTGTCCCCAGAAAGGTATATGGGCTGTCACTGTTTGGTAAGAAAGCAGATGTCACTCTCAGCCCTGGCTGTAGATGGTCGTATTGGCTGACATCTGGGTTTCCCGGCGCAGGATCAAGAAGGCAGCGCGCATGCGGCATTGATGGTTTGACCAACTCATCATCAAAAATGTACAGGCAGGTGACTTTCGCCGCTTGGAACGGCAGCTTGTTCATGTCCGTGGTGCGGTGTTCCAGAGCAATGATCATGGCGTGTCCGACGTACATAACCTGGGTAATTGAGATTTCAAGCTTTATGAAATGATCCCTGACAAGCAGGAAGAGCGGTTCCCAGTCCTCTAGATTTCGGCCATTTTGGTCTTCTGCGATGGAGCCATTTCTCCACGAAGCAAGCCGGGCGATGGGCATTGGACCGTTCCCGAACCCTATTTCGCCGAGGTCCGGATGGAGGTACAGCGGCAGTCCAGCAATGGTCAACGGCCACGGTTTCGGCGGTAGGGTACGCAGCTTCAGACACAAGAAGAATCCATCACAGGCAATTCCAGTAGTCTCAGGAAAGACGCTTCTCAGAAGTTCTTCGTTTTCTGGGTCAGCCCAGGCGCCCATGCTGTCGCGGAGATCAAACGTGAAAACAAGGCGGCGTGCTGGCGGAGGTTGCACTTGTGCTGACATGTCCTCTTTGGGCGGAAATGGGATGTCTTTGTACAGAGATAAACGCTGGTCTAGAGATGTAAGTGAGCACTGCTGGTCTGCTATTCCATGGGAGGAAATGCTAACTTACCGATGTGAACTAATTCAGCTTGAGAAGGCCATCCGAACTGATTCGGGAACGTAGAGCAATCAAGGCTGTTGACCAAAGGACTTACAGCCCCGGGCTTAGTGATGACTGCCACTCTCTTCGGTGACAGTGCTTCCACTGTGGGCGTGATTCGTCGCTTTTTCGAAGAGAGGGCAATGCCGCCGGGCACCAAGGGCGATACAAGTAACAGCTCGGCGACAGGGTAGGGCGGGGTTGTAGAAGACGACATCTTGTACAGCGTCTGCCCCAGCTGGGAGTGCTGGAAGGTAAGAAATAGGGAAAAAATGACCTCTTTTATACTACGACTCGTGGGGGTTATGCGTTTGAGGTCCTGAACTCTAGTGACTACAACCTCCTGACTCACACGGGCCTTTACCACACCCATTGTTACTCTTGCTACGCTCGAAGTCAAGGTCAGGGTTAGAAGTTAAGCGTCTGCGCAGCTTTGGTATCGAAGACTGATGCCTTTGGAGCTTCTTCAAGTTATGGATTTCACACATAAAAGAAGGTTGTACCAAACACTGGCATCACTGTTGCCTACTAGTAGCGGCGGAGTATGAGTCTGAGTCCCCGCTGAGACTATTCGATGTCTCCACCAGTTTCGTCTTCAAGTTCAACCTTCAAATTAGGCTCCGCCGATGTCAGTGATGCCTCTGCCTCCTGATTCATCGTCTGTGCATGATCGGCCTCGCTTGTCCCATCTGGCTCCACTCGCCCGATCTGCCCGATCTGTCCCCCCACCGTGACGGCTGCGGCTGCGGCTGCGTCTGTCGCCTTCAAGTTTGGATCCATCTGACTCGGGCTTTCAAGTTTCACAACAACATCCTGCGGAAGCGAAGTAATACTCCTAGTATTGCTGCCGTCACTGCCAGGGCTGGTGCTGCTTCTGTTGCTGCTGCTGCGAGGACCCTTCACCACCGATGACTTCTTGTTGTAAGACCTGCTGCTAACCAAGGGCTTGCGCTTGCGGGTGAAATCCCACGGCTTGGATTTCTCAGTGTCAGCGATAGACTCATGGCGCTTTCGAGGGCGATCACTTTCGTCGCTTGAGGACGACTCTTCTCCGGCTGACTGATCCTCATCACTCAAGCACATATGTTCCTCTGATGTGACCTTGACCTTGTTGCCGTCCTTTTTGAACAAATCTGAATCGATAGGGCGCTTGAGTGGAGTTAGATGTGAGCCTGTACTATCGGTACCAGTGTTCGAGGCGAGAGGACTGCTCCCACTTCCCGCGGCATTTTGGCCTTGTGGTTTCTGCTCCGTTGTTGTTGTTGTTACGACCTGACCATCCGGGGTGCATAAACCAAGGTTGACCAATTTCTCAATCCCCATGTACTGAAAGACAAATCTGGCATAATACTCCTCTGTGTCATCGTAAGGACGCCACGCATGAGGCGTAAAGGATAGCTTGTCTCTTGGCTTTTCGCCGACCCCAACTGTGTGAGTGTTGTTGTCGTCGACGTCTTTTGCCGCACTATTTCGTTCACCATCTCGGCGCCAGTCACCACCCTTTTTTCCACTGCCCAGGTCTACAATGCGAGTAATACGAACTTCAATCTGTCCCGGCTTGTTTTTCTTAACTTCGGGCTTGTTGACGTCTTCCAGCGACTGAATCACGTCGTCGAGTTCCTGGTCCATGGCGTCGCTTGGACGGGTAGCAGGATCAGCTGCGCCAATGTCCATTTTGGAGAGGAGCACCTCGATGCCCACGGGGGTGAACATCCATTCTTGGATGATGACTTCGTGCTTGAGGTTTCCGTTTCTTCGTCTCCAGTTGACCGTGGTGTATCGTCCGTTCAGCACCTGCGGGGAATTGGGTTCGGTCGCGACAAATTCACAACATTCGGCCATCTCGTGTCCGTCAATGTAGACCCATACGACGAATCGGTATGGAGGCTTCTCGAAGTTTGGTTTCGGCGGAAGTGTGTTACTTCTGTTATTGTTGGTCCAGTTGTCACTCGCACTTCCGTTGCCGTTGCCATTGCCGTTGCCTCCCAGAGCCTTTCCCGATGATCTTAGATTGTACCTGGAAATACTGCTGGCGAGAGGTTTGAAAGCATTGGTGTTGTTGGCCTTTTTCTCCGGGTAAGGGAACGGCTGCTCAACTTTGATCTTCACTTTGAACTTCTCTCCGTCTTTGGCTCGAACCTTGGTGCTCACGGTTGAGCTTTTGCTGGCTGATCCGGGGAGCTTTTGGTTTCCGTATTCGGCGAACTCCTGGCCATCCGCAGTTACCAGACTGACGGTGAATCCTTGGGCACTGGGCATGGTTCTTCTAGACTGCCCTGGCCAGCCAGGGAGACCTCGATAAGTTTGTTTCTCTGTTGTGCTTTCTCAAAAGGGCCCTTGGTTATGATGGTTTAGCGATGACTGGAGACCGGGAAATGAGCTCAGAGTAAGTGTACTAGTGGTATGGTTAGAGGCATGAATGGCGAAACAAAAAGAGAGATGAACTTGTAATGAACGAGCGCCTTGTTCAAGTGCACTGTCTACCAGGTAGTTGTGTCTACAGTCCGGCAGTACAGAGGCAGAGGCAGTTGTCATTGCGCGCCTCGACGTGGGTATGCTCACTCCACATGCTAGGTTCGTGGCGAATAGTGACTCAAATGAGGTGGAAGTGACAGTAAATTGAGCAATGGCACAAAGGAGAGATCATAGATGCACCGCTGCCTGGGCTGATTTTGGCTTGTAGTTGGTTAGCAATTGCATACTGGCAGTATCTTCCTCTATTACTGGGACGAGGCTGAGGCTACGACCGGCGTGCAAGGCTGAGGCATGGCAGTGGTAGTGGTAGCGGAACAGCGAATACCCTACATGATAACCAACCCAGCAACATTGGAACTATTGGAAAGAACATCCAGAGCCGCCCGGAATTTCCTCCTCGCTCTGCGGATACCGTGCTCATGGGTACCTATCTAGATGCTCTTGGTCACAGAGGGTCAATTCGAAGTTCCAGCTGCCGGTCATGTAAGCAGGTGACCTGGAGATTGGAATCGAACAGAGGTCTAGAGGATTGCCAGTGAACTGAATGGCTACCAAGGAAAACATGGATAAAACTGAATTTGAGTCGAAAGTCGACGTGAACTCTGCCTTGTTGTAGTTTTGCATATCAGGAGCCAACAATCCAACCATCCGTAGAAACGGGCTTTAAATCACCCGTCACTGAGGTCGGGGCCTAACACTTCAGGAGACAGCGAAAAGCGAAAAGACTCGGGCTGATGAGGCCTCCCAACACATCAGGTGCTTTGCAGCGTCGTATATCCATGTAATTGTAGTGCGATGAATGGGAGGCTCCTCACTCAGCATGGAAAAGTGGTTTCAGGCGAGGCTCTACTTCTGGTCCACTAAGTACAATTGTTTGTCTGACGAGAAAGCCAGTCATTCCGAGTCGCGTCAATATGCTGGGAGACGCGTGATTATACTATCGTCAGACAGGGCACACGCGAGGCCCCATCGGCTTCATTAGTACCCACTAACCCCAGACCAGCAAAAGTCCCGTTTTAGTGCGGGCGTCAGTGGCTGTGTTTCTGTGTTTCACCAGCAACGCTGCCAAACTGCGCCGCCGACTCCGAATCCCTTTCATGTCTGCGCCGTACACAATGTGAACACCATCAGAGTTCCAAGCAGTTCCTGGGTGCCTAGCAATTTGAATGCTGATACAATTGTTCCTGCTACCATTCTGCTGCACTGCATAACCCTCAACGCCAGCTGATCTACCCGACCCAGGTACTGGTTGGTTGATATTCCATTGTTTACCGCCGCCCACTGCAGTAATCCACTCGAGCCTGGTAGGACAATGAGGTAGACTGCACACCGCAGCCTGTCGCTCACGTTGTGCTCGCTTGTCTTGCCTGCAATTTCTCAAATTCACCCATCACCGCTGCCATCGTCGCAATACCACACTCTCCTTGCTTCTTCCTGGCATCCCGGCAGGCCACTTTACCTCACGTACCAGCGCGCTGTTTCAACCTCGCCTGAAATCCTGGGTGACGTTGTGTGACAGCACCACTACTGGTGTACCTGCGCCCTTATCAAAGGACCATCCGTTCGCTGTCTCTTCACACAAACTGCCCGATTCCTGGGCTTTCAACATCCCGACCGGTTGCTCGGTTCGCCCTTCGTTCGAGTGACCCAACCCGACACGCTCGCTTCGAGAGGCAAGAGTTAGGAGTTGATACGGTCAGGCTTACAACAAGACTTTGACCGCTTGAATGCCAGGACCCTGATACTTTCGGATAGCCGCAGTTGGAACACAATGTCCTACGGGCGGACTTTCTCCTTCGACAACCATGATGAACATACTTTGACTCCGCCGACGCAGGCGCAACCTGAATACGAACCACAATACTACCAACCTTATCATGACTCTTCCTCACGACAAAACCCATCACCTCCGCCCAGATATGCCTCGACTTCACCTCAACGGCCCCTAGCAGCGGGATCTCCTTCCCCTCGGCGTCCTATACCACCGGATACGCATCTCCTCGGCGATCCTTCATACGGCCCAGGCAGACCGTATCAACAAGACTACGAGGACGTCCCTGCACCTCCTCCGCCGCCCCATAGAGCAAGCCCGACCAGACTTTCAAGAGCAGATCCGGGCTACTCGCAGTCTTATCAGACCTACCCAGGGGACGACTCCAGAATGGAAGATTTTGACGACCACCATTTATCAGCGGGGGCACACAATCTGAATTCTGGGATGCCACACGACCATGGTTATAGTGGGGGTGGTCAAAATGGCATGCCTCCAGTTCCTCAGTCCTACTCTCCCTACGGCCGAGACTATCCTCGTCAGACCAGCCCATATCGACAACAGGAAACACCTTCGCGCTTGCAACAGAGCAACCCTTACGGCTCTTCCCTTGCTCCTGCCGCTGGTGGTGTCGCCGCGACAACCATGAGTGGGAACCCCTACTCCTCTATGGAACCCGATTCTGGACTGTCGGGCAGAAGCATCCCTATGGAGGATTACCATTCAATTGCCAGTGCCAGCCATCCCGAATCTTACCCGGGCAACTATCAAGATTCGCCATATCAAAACCCCTTCAATAACCCGGTGAGCTCGTCAAGTATTATGGACCAGGCCAGCATCAACCCTCATAACATTGTTGACGATGATGGAGACGACGGTATGATGGAGGGAAAGCCGTCGAGCAGACAGGGAGGCCATACGTCTTTTGGATCTTCCGCCGCCGGAGCGGGTGCCGTTGGTGGCACTGCAGGAGCTCTTGGCGGACTTTTTGGACGTAAGGCAAAGAACTCCACGCCAAGTGGTACTTACGGCCCGGTGAATCCAGGCCCAAAGCCTGAGAGAAGCGAGTGGCTGTCACAACAGACCAAGGGAAAGCGGAAAATGACGTGGGTCAGGGTAGCGATTGGAATTGTGATTGTCCTTGCTATCGTTGGCGGTATTGTCGGCGGAGTGCTTGGAACTCGGAATTCAGACGGTTCCGGCGGCTCGTCCGGCAGTTCTTCGAGTGGTGATATCAACAACGCCGCCTCCGACACCGCAGCTAATGGAGATCTTGGAAAAGATTCCAAGGAAATCCAGGCCTTGATGAACAACAAGAACCTGCACAAAGTGTTTCCTGGTATGGACTACACCCCATGGGGCACTCAATACCCTTTGTGTTTTACCTATCCGCCATCGCAGAACAACGTTACCCGGGATATGGCCGTGCTTTCGCAACTGACGAATACTGTTCGATTGTATGGCACGGATTGTAATCAAACAGAAATGGTTCTGCATGCCATCGACCGGCTCGAGCTGACTGACATGAAGGTGTGGATGGGGGTATGGATTGACACGAACCAGACCACGACGGATCGACAAATAAAACAGATGTACGAAATCCTCGCCAACACCAAGGACCTGTCCGTTTTCAAAGGCGTTATTGTCGGCAATGAAGCTCTGTATCGTGCAGGCGAGGACAAGGCACAGTCTGAACAGGAATTGATTGACATTCTCACAGACGTCAGGTCTCAGTTCAAGACCAAAGGCTACGATCTGCCCATTGCCACATCGGACCTAGGCGACAATTGGAATGCTCAGCTCGTCAAGGTCGTCGACCTTGTCATGTCCAATATCCATCCTTTCTTCGCTGGTGTCACTGCTGAGGTGGCTGCTGGTTGGACCTGGGATTTCTGGCAAAACCATGATGTCATCTTGACCAACGGAATGGCCGATGTCAAGCAAGTCATCAGTGAGACTGGGTGGCCAAGCGCTGGAGGGACGGATTGTGGCGGAAAAGATGGTTCTTGTTCGCCCGGGCAAAGTGGAGCCGTTGCCAGCGTTGACAACATGAACACCTTTATGGCTGATTGGGTTTGTCAGGCGCTGGCCAACGGGACGGATTATTTCTGGTAAGTCCGCACTCGGTATTCAAAGGCCATTACTAATCTGAGCGGTAGGTTCGAGGCCTTTGATGAACCTTGGAAAAAGTCTTTCTACACCGACACGCAGAAGTGGGAGGATAAATGGGGCCTGATGGATCCCGGCAGGAATTTGAAGCCCGGTCTACAGATTCCCGACTGTGATGGCAAGACCGTCGGGTCATGAATGGGACGGAGATTAGACATGAATGGTTATGGTTGTTCAGACCAATGGGGCGTAATCGTGGGTTCCTGAACGAGATGAACTTGGGCCCAGAAGGGCAGCATGAAAGTGGTGGTTTCTTGATCTTCCCATTGGTATGCATATTAGCATGACAGAAGGCGAGACATTGTAGAAATAGGCACGGTTTCTCTTGGCTTTGTCGCTTCGGTGCCGCACTGGTCGTGTTTCATAAGGTATTCCTGATATCTTGGCGAGAGAGACAACTTACACGGAGGTGCATGATGAAAGTCAGGCCAGTCAGTACCTTGTTACACTCCCAGGATACGAGTACAGGTACCAACTAGGTACTTAGGCAAGTGACCTACCTACCTACAGTCAGTAAGTAGTAGACCGGTCCTACTAGGAGGGACTCCAATAGCAAAGAATGCTGTTCAGGGACCAGAAACAGGAGAAATCGAGGACCCGTGCAGTGGCACAGGGTCGAGTCATGACTGATGAGGTTTTCTGCCGGTACACTGCAGTGGTTCTAGTAAGTAGTAGCTCGGGTGTTGCGGTACTTATATAGATAGTACCTACTGCCAGTGTAGGTATTTTGTCCCCAAGTTCCACAACTTGAAGAACACTCCACTACAACTAGGTACCTTTCGAAACAAGATTCCAGGATGGCCCAAAAAAATATTCGATTTATTTTTTCTTTTTCGAAAACTCTAGGAAATAGCGTAACGTGAGCAGGCTTACGACACGAGGCCTGGATCACTGGCAGCCCCATCTGAGTCGAGTTGAGTTGAGTTTCAGTTTTTTTTCTTTCCCATCTTGATTGACTCTTAATTATTTCTGTCACCACATCTTAGGAGGGAGTCATCTCACGAGACCTGGCCCCCTTCCAGGCAACCTTCTTAGAAACCAGCGCTACATCCATGTTAGATCGATCTAAAGGAAGGCCTCGTGGACCGAAACTCACTTGCAACTTACCTGTAGTAAGCAAACCAGCCAGCGAGATTGAAGAGGAGACAGACACAAACATGTTTTTTGGCTTGATCAGACTTCTTCTTGACGATTTGCCTACAAACAAACTTGAAGATATGGCGTTCTACAACATCAAGAACAACGATCAAAAAAGATCGGTCGAGCACTAAAAAGAGAAGAATCAAATTGGCCGTCACCATCAGTCGTGCCAGCGTGCGCACTGCTTTCGCACCTCCACGCGGCAGATCTGATGGTGTTGCTATATAGAAGATTGATATCCACCATTCCCCCTCCACTAGCCTTGCCGCGCTTTTCCACACTGCAAGTACCTCTCCAAGTCTTTGTTTGTTACTCTTGCTCCATTCATTGGCAAGCCCTTCACATGGGGAAAAAGGTCGAGTTGCAGGACAAGCCCGTCGAGATACTCTTGCCCACAAGCAGCAAGCAATCTCAACACGTCCTGCAACAGCCGAGAAAAAAAGGTTGTGTAAAAGAAGAAGAAAAAGGTACACTGGTCGCAAAGGGGTATCCGCATCCGCTCACTCAACCACTACCAGTGCAGGCTGATGATCACATCCATCTCAACAGTGTGACACTGACACACTTACCCATCCATAGGTATCAATCTTCAAGTTCCCAAAAGACCCAAACCATCCCCGCAATTTGTTCATGTTCCATTCCCATACGTTCAGACACCCATCCATACAATCGCCCAGTACCCACACAATTCGCAATCAACACCGACTTTTTCTTTTCTTTTTGTCCAACAAAGCTAACATTCCCAACACATCCAAGTAACAAAAACTGGATTCAACACAAAGACCTTGCCTCCACGTCACAACCCGTCCATCCGTCCTGTTCATTTCCAGCGTGCATGTGTGCAATGAAAAAATGAAAAATCCCCGTATTTGCCCAAATCCATGTTGAATACCTTTTTCTCCGACTTTGCCGTAGCCGAGATTTCGAAGCTAAGAAAAGCGCAAGAAAGCTTGAGAGTGGCTTGTAGACATGACACAACTTTTCTTCGTCTTTTCGCTTGCAGTATCAACTATGCAGGGCAGTCGTACATCCATGTAGCTGACCAAAACAGGCCGCCTGATAATGTGTATCGGAGAATAGAAGAAAAGGAAAAGAAAAAGCCGGCTTGTACTTTGTCAGTATTGTTACAGTTGTTCAAAACAAAGAGTACCAAACACAGCCCATGGTGACCCTCTCATTCAGAGGTCAGCATCGGTGGGGTCGAAGCTTGGGTTGTGGGTCTGGTTCGTTCCATCCACCTTCTCTTGCCCGGCCGGGTCTCCAAATGCGCGGGAATCGTCAGAGTCTCGGAACCTGCTGCTAGGAGAGCACTTCGCTGTTTGCTGCGATAAGCGTCCACTGAGCGAGCGAAGTCAGTGATTTGTGCTTTCCCGAGTTTCAGCATAGGCTCTCCGAGCACTTACGAGCACGGGCAAGAAAGATGGGTCGACCAGAAAACACCCGACCCTGACCCCAGGCCATGCGGTGGCCTAATTCGTTGAGCTTCTGCTCACGTCCACGCTTGCTTCGGGAGATCTGAGGCACGTCCACCTCTAGTTCTCCGTCAGTGGTTTGAACCGGGACAGAAGTCCTGCCCTGAGTGGGGGCTCCACCATCCACCTCGTCACCTTCCTCGACAAACCGACTTCCCCGGGTCGGTTCAGGTGCAGTTTGCATTTGGAAAGGATAGTAGGCTCGCGGAAAGACGGAATTTTGCTTGCGATATGAGTCGGGAATTTCGCTCATCTCGATCTGATCAAGAGTGACTTTAACACGGACACGGGCATTTTTCTGCGTGTCTTCCACGAGGATAAATTTTCGCCGCTTGCCTTCGGGTAAGTCCCCAAATAAAGCATTGTCTTCTTCTTCTTGTTCTCTGGACGCCATGGCTGCTGGCCCTCCAGGCCGTCCCAAATGTTGCAGGCCACCCGGAAGTGTGGGGGCCATAGATGGGGCTAGAGACGTCGGAACCGCAGGATAGTTATTGTAACCAGAAAAAACATGACCTTGGCGAATATCGTTAGGACTCGTCATATGCTGTGAACCAGTGCTTGAACGGTACGGTTGAGGAGCCGTGTTATATGCCGCGGCTGCTGAAGAGTTAGCAAGCCAAGCCAGAAGAACATGACTTGAGCTCAAGGGGTTAGAGTGGCTATAGTAGCATGACACATACCTCCAATGTTATCGGGTGCCGGGGGCGGTACCTCATGCGGATGCTGTTGGATCTGGGTCGGTGCACCCGGCAGTGTACCAGGAGGTCTGGCACTGGGAGCTGCCATGGAGTTTGGACCAGGAAGCCCGGTCGGCAGAGCGCCGCCTGGGCCAGGTGCCGTACCGGTGGGGGAAGCCGTCATTTTGGACCGGTTGTTGATTTTGGCTTGACGTCTCACTCGACGACTCCTCAATCGCAGGTCCTGGTTGCTGTTCCTCCAGCTGTCGACTGCTCGCTGGATCAGACCTCGCTTCCCTCGCAAACATGGATTCAGCTGAGCCAGAGCCCACCCAACTTGATTGCAGTCGGTCTCGTAGGCCAGCCGATTGCCCTTGTACTGGTCTTTGGGCACACAGGCTCGTGGATACACACAATTCTCCGACTTGAATTCTTGTGATAGTGAATTCGAGTCCACCGACTCCACGTCACACCGTATGTGATATTCCATCTTGACCCTATCCCGGGAGTATTCAAAGGCAATCCATTGTACGCCATTTCCGTCATGTCGCACCACCAGTGGTGTCGTGGCAGGAATCGGTCCCGGGGCGGCATTAGAACCTGCAGGAAGGTTGGGGTTTGGCTGTTGGGATTGATGTTGCGCAGAGGGTTGCTGAGATAGGCCAACAGCTTGAGCGGCCGGCGCCTGATTTTGTGGTTGTTGCGGCTGTTGATGCTGCTGCTGTGGCTGTTGGGGCGGTTGTTGAGGTAATAAACCCGGGCGAGGCTGTGGTGTTTGTTGATACGGTTGTGTGGACTCGGACTTCAATCGCGGGCTACTCGATATTGTCGAGTGATGAGGCGCAACTTGACCCTGATGTAACTGGGGGGTTGTGGACTGATACGGGAGCAGTGGCTGGGAGTTGAGCTGATGTTGTTGCGTCTGACTGTGGTGTCCTCCATACGTCGGTTGATGCACCTGGTTTATAGACGGATACTGAGGGTACCCGTAGAGTGGCTGACTCAACTGGGAACTCGGCTGGGGATACATAGGTCTGCCAGGGTCGTGAGACTGAGGCGAGGTCACGGAGGCGGGCGAATTCGACTGTGGTGTGTGATATATGGGGGGATAAGGCCTCTGCATGGTCGCTGTTGCTGCCATAGAATCTGATTTTGCTGGCTATAGTCAACAAAGTCGCCACGCTTGCTCCATTTGAGCCTTCTACTCACCTGTAGAATAGTATGGCCCAACACCGCTGTGTTGGCTTCTCGGACTCTGACTTGGCGGATACTGGGTAGGAGCCTCGCCGGGCGGTTGTTGCGCTTGAAACTGAGCCTGGTTGTTCAAGAAGGGCGATTGAATGCCCTGGTGAGGCGTGTAGAGACTCGGCGAAGGGTACGGTTGCTGAGCAGTTTGACCGCCGCTTAACGCTTGCGACTCTTGCTTCACCTGATGCACCGAACCAACGTTCTGGTACGGATGTGGTGTACGATGCTGCATGGAGACCCATCTGTCAGTACAAGACTCCTTCAGATATGGGTAGATCGCAGCAAACACTGATCAAGAAAAACGACCAAAAGCAAAGGATCTCGACCGAGCCAGGATGTAGACAGGCCAGGGTTGATCAAAAAAAGGCCAAGATCTCGGCCACGGTGACTTGGGCAGGATTTGATGATCCAGTACTTGTCGCGTAGATGCAATGCACGAGCCCCTTGGTTAACGGTCAGGGCAAGGATCCATAGTTGCTCGCACGGTAAGGCGATGGCTTGACGATAGCATCCAAACAAGCAATCAAAGGGCGAGACCGCGTACTTCAAAAATCCCAAGGACCAGACAATTGGTTTCGTGCCTGTCGCCGTTGCAGGGGAGATTATTGGGCCGCAACAAGTAAAACGAGCGAGTTGTCGCACAACAACCAGCAACACTAGGATGCGCAGGATGGTTGCAAGGCTTGAAGTCAGGCCCAAAGATCTTGAGAAGATTGCCGGGGTCGAGAGTGATATTGACCTCGAAACATTGGATCGAGTTGGAGGGATATACAGGCCGCCACCTTGATGACAGACAAGCCAGCCACGAGGGAACGGGGAGGGGAACTTTGTTGCAGGGTGCATACCATGTACTGAGGTTTGTGCGCAGGGAGGGCTGGATAGTCGGTTCAAAATGACTGGGTTGCGCGCACTCTCGGGCTGGTCAAGAAGGGGATTGGAAGGACTGGGGTGGATGGGGATGTGAGGTTCCTATGTAGACGGGGTGTTGGGTGTCTTGGGGACGTGTTGATTTCGAAGTTCGTAAAGAGCAAACGCAGAACGACCGAATGGACGTCAGACGTGGCGGTGCAGGCGCTCAGAACCAAAGGAAAGTCTATTGCTCGAAAGAATCAAGTTTTGGCGAGGACGAGAAAGATGGAATCATAGACGACCGCTGCAGTCCGAGGGGTCCAACGAGGCCCTTGTAACACAAGGACGAGTGGAAATAGACATGGAGACTCGGGAGAGCCATGGGCAGGGTGTTGGTGTCGACGGGCTTGCCAGCCAAGTGGATCGTGGGAGGAGTCGCTCGACCGGCGCGGGAGCTTGAGTTAGAGCGTGAGGGCCAAAGACAAGGACGGGAAATGGGGCGGGCATCGCATCCTGGCAGGTTGGGAACCATGGTCGGGCCATCGGTCAGTCGGTCCACGGGGGTTATGATGGGACGGACTGGACAGCCAGGACAGCCCGTTTGCTGTTCGTTGCGTAGGTTGGTCGCGCGCTAAGTCGGGTGACAGGGTGGGCTGGTTGCATGCCGTCTGCATCTGCTGCTGGTGACCAGGTGGCCACTGGCTGCGCTAACGTCCTGACAGCCGAAGCATGGTGCCAGCGGTCTTTTGATGCGACGGGTGCCGTGCCAGACTGTCAGTGCTAGGGGCGGTAGTGGACCAACTGCCGGCCCCAAAGCTCCCAAAGTTCCCAGCTCGACACCGTCCGTGGGCAACTTTGTTCCAGGAGACGTGCCGGCTCCCTGATCCCGGACCAGGGAGAGTAGCAAGGCCCGCCACAGGATGAAAGGAGAGGGGAGAATGGGAGATGACCAGGACTATCCGTCCATGCTAGCTGCAGGGACCAGGGTAGCATTCACCATCCACCGTCTCCGCCCGCTGACGGCCCTAACGTCGAGCTCCCAGAGACGGCCCAGATACGCTCCAACGGTCGGTAACCAGGGTCGGTATGATGGTGCAATAATATCAACAGTGCAGGCCTGGAAGACAACGGTACATTGTACCGTCCCCATGTCGCGAAATGAAAAAGGTACAGGAGCAAAACATGAACATGCTGGGGTGCTGAGAAAGAATGGGCTTTGCAGGTCACTTACATCAGGATCTGCTTGCCCCAGCCCCAGCCCAACGCCACCACTGCCTGCGGCATTATTGTGGCCTGAGACTGGGGCCAAAGATCTAGGTCGCTGATATATGGTATGTTGTTGCACGTTATGATTTTGATGGTAGCCACTGTGATTGTCCGGGAAGAGGTGCATCGAGGACGAGGACGAGTTCGAGGTCGGAGGAGGAATTGTAGGCGTTGGCTGCTGGCTGCGTAGGGGCGAGCCTGCGATGATTGATCTTTCCGGGGCGCTGGCAGCGGCAGGCCTTTTGCTCTGGGCAGGCGCCATGGCAAGGGACGGGGGATGGGACGACGATACGCGGCCTGGACTGGCAAGCTGGACTGGAGAGTATTGGGCCGGCCGTGAGAGGGCGACGGGTTCAGCACTCGACTAGACCCCGGGCTGCGTGGGTCAGGATTGCAATAGAGACTTTGGCACGACGATGAACCTGAAGGGGTCGAAGCGAGGAGGATGCAGAGGCGTGCGCTTGTCGCGTAGAACGAACACTGGCAGCTCTCGTGCAGTGTGCCAGTTGTCTAGGTAGCAGTAACAGCAGAGGAGCCTTGATCAAGAGTCAATGGCCCAGATTGTGCCCAGTGGGTGGAGAAGAGAGGATCGAAATGGGCAACCGCTGAAAAGCTGGCGAGCCTGGCATCGAGCATTGAGCATGGCACTCAATCCAAGTGCCAGTTTCTGTACGTGGCTGAAGTTCAAGTTGTGGAAGCTCTGCACGCTGTGGTCCGGGGTTGTCTGACCGTCATTGATCATTAATGCCTGACAATGCTACCTACAGAACAGTGGTCAATTGGATTTGATCTACTAATTACTTCTGGTACCGCCATGCAGTCAATGCCTTGCAGAAAGACGCGAACGAGTAACGAAACGGCGTGGAAGCGGGACACTGGCATCGAGGTCTCGGTGGCAGACTTCAGCCACTGCACGACGGAAAAACATTGGAACACGGGCAGGCAGAAACACGACATGCTCCAACCGCGACGGTCGTTCTCTGCGCCTTCGTGTCCGCCCCGTCCGCCAGCCAACCGCGCGCAACAATTTATAGACACGTCAATCTATCATCACAAGCAGCTTCGTCTTCCACTGCCAGTGGCAGTCCACTGCATGGATCAATTAGCTCCGATGGGCAGAGCAGCGGCCGGGGTGGAATTTCACTTCAATGCGGCCTGGCGATCGGGCTGGAAATAGTACTCGGGCAGTCGGCCAATGATGGACGGCCACTGAAATATCAGGGCTGGGACTCGGAGATGCCAGTGCAATACTAGTAATGCAACGGTTTTCATGTTCTGATTGCTCGTAGTACTTCTTTCCTTTACTAGTACTAATTCTTGATGCAAATAAGGTTCTGCAAGACGCGAGAGTAGCATGGCGCTTAGGATGCCTGTTCCGATGCCTGGCGGACATTGCAAGGGCTGTTGCTGCTCCTAGTAGTCCCAGGTACAGGACTAGTAGTATAGGAGTACCATGTGGACATCTGCAGTACCAACGATATGGACCTAGGTACATATTGTAAAGGTGCTGCCAGGAGACATGTTCATGTACAGTACGTACAGTAGCATCTTCGACAGGCACAGCATCGGCTGCCAACCAGTGCAGTCATCTCTAGTGGTGGCAATGCTGGTATAGGTATTATTTGCTTGTACCTATAGATACCTAGATACGATTAGACATTCTGACCATAATCTCCCTGATCGCCGGACGATTTCTCCCATTAATCAATTATTGCAATCACTTGCATCCACGGCCGTAAATACGACCCGTTATAGGTATGCTTTCCAATGGCTTCGAGCACCTCCCCACGGACCTCTGTGTTCCTGTACCCAAGTGTTGCTTACAACATTGTAGACGGGACTTAGTAGTAGTAGCAGTGGTACATGCTGATCTAAGAGTGCCGCAGAACTACGACTACTGCAGCTCCCGTACCACAGCCAGCCGCTAAGTTATGGGCACGACAATCATCAGCACCGACCACCAGACACCGGGCGACATTTGCTCGAGCTTTCAGCCCCGCCGCTGAACTTGAACTGAACAGTCAAGACGCCGGGACGATCAATCCAGATATCCTCAACTTGCTGTGGTACTAGTATCACCTGTGTTAGGACGGTGATAGCGATGTCTTGGTGTCGCTGAATACGGCTACAAGACGCGCGTAAGATCGGTGTCGAGGTTAGGCTGCTGTAACGTCGTCTGATGCTCGAATATGGCGATGAGGTGCGCAAATCATCACCACAGTAGCGTCCAGCATTTCTAGCTTTTGATATCGCAAACTTGAAAGGCAAGCTGCTGCCTAGGGCAATTTGCCTGTAGTCGACCTTCGAGATATTGTAGTGTACAGAAAATTGCAGTGAGTGTTCTCGACCACGCACTGCATGCCGGGGGCTGGTTCAGGGCTCGCGACCACCCCTGCAATCTCCAACTGGATGCGCCGGGGTTTGACTGCGAAACACGCCCAGCCCTAAAGGCTTCCTGGTACTAGATCCGTAGTGGTATAGTGCTGCCAGTAGTCGTAGTGGCTCCGCAGTAGGTGATTGCGGTAGCAGTGCTGCTAAACCCGCGACCATGTCCAACACAGCGAACGGCGTCGGCGATCATCAGACGTAGGCTGGTGGCCGCAACGCCGCAGAGCGAGCATAGCTCCTCTTTGCTCACCTCGGTCGCCAAATCTCACCTGTCGTACGTCAATTCGGGCGACGCTACTGGCTGCCACTGGCAGTCGGACCGCAGAGTCTCCCTTCTCGCATGCCGCAGAGTCTTCTCTCATGCCCTTTCCAAAGAACCGCATTTTGTCCACCGAGCCAGACCTGTCAATCACGCAGCCTGTGGCCCAAGCGCCCTCCCCACCCAGGGTGAAGCTCCCACCACTGGCAATCCCGCTGTTCAAATCGCGGACCCAGACTGACAAGCCCTCCTCGTCTGGACCGCCGCCGAATGCCGTGCTTGGTGCAACTGCATGCTTAAGGATTCCATCACAACACCGAGAGATCACCATCAGCTTCGATTTGACACCACCGTCCACATGCCAGCTCGAGGTGCTGGAGGTTGGTGGGTGCCCTTCCAAAGCAGTGCCTGTGCCGACGGGCTTCTTGCAGCACAATCCGCGACATCGAGGCGTTCATCTCTTCAATCGCGGCTTCAGCCTCCTTAGCCTGAGGTTCTCGCACTCTCCCGCCCGATGCCCAGGACATTGGTGATCCCTGCGACTAAACCCAGATCGGCGCTAGACCCGCTGTGCAATAACGACCGTCTTTGACTGCCATGTGTGGCCCCGGCGTTGATCCTCGATATGGCTGTTGGCGCGGTCGATCACCGCATTTCTGTGCGCGCTCTAGGGCTGCCACCGCCGTCTACTCGACTGCCACTACTGAACTGCAGCAGTCACTGTTCAACCCCCTCCTGGGCTTTCTGACCGAAATGTCTCTCGTGACTCAGCTGCCATCATTGGGACATGCTTATGCACCGCTGACGCAACCACTACCTCTCGGTGGGCAACAGCTCGATTGACATTGGTTGTGAAACCGTGCGCGTTCAGGACTCACCCACCGAGCCGGAAGAATGAGGCAAGCTTATCATCTGAGCTGCCGTTTGTGGACCCGCAATGCAAAATCTCAAAGTCGGTTTGAGTTGGAGGCGGCCACCGTCAGCCGTAACTCGTCTAGGGGCACACGCCCTGGCACACGACTGGGGCCTCCATTCGTTTGGGGATCGAATCAAGGACTGTCGTGCCCCATGTCACCCCCGAAAGCCGTGCAGCCCAGGGTTTGCGTTGGCCTCCGTCTGCCTGCTGGTAGCCTGTCTCTTCTGGCGCTTCTCCTAGTTGCTGGTCTATGCGCCTCCCGCCCGTCGCCTCCATCTCGCCTACTCATGCCTGCTCAAGCCCTCCATGGGCTCATGTTATAACATAATGTTGTCACATATCACATATCAGAATGTTTATTTGTTTTGGTTGGTCACTGGCAGGAGGCCATAACGACATCAAAGGATAAGTTCTGTAGCAATGTAGATAGCGTACCTCAACGCATATCAGGGAGCCTTTTCGATCTTCATCGATGATCGAGACTGACATGATTGTGCTGATCATTCGCTGTTGGGTGTCGCGGACAACTTCGGACGTCCTCGAGAAGTCTCTTACCAATGTGGGAGCAACATGATTAATAATACCAACTGTGGCGGCTTCTGATCCATCTATTTCCAAGCATGGAGTGCAGGGAAAAATGACAAACTGCGCATGTGCGCGGACTTCGTGTTTCCTGCGGCGCTTCTCCTGCCGTGTGCAAGACATCTCTGTCTGCCGCCATGGCGTCGTCCGCTGGGGCCAGGCTTCGGATACCATTATTACTGCATGATCTCTTGGTCAGCCGGCTCCCTTCTGCGACTGTTCTTGTTCTTCTCCGCTAAGCACTCCGTGGCGGCGCTGTTTACCCACTTGCGCCGTGCTGGATGCCGCTCTCTTTATGCGAATCATTGGCCGCTGGTTCAGATTTCCGTGTGCTCGTTCATGCATGGAGCATGAATTCCCCAGCCCGTCCTGGATGGCAGGCAGGTCGACCTTAGGCAGGTTTTCGGATTCTACGTTGAATGAGGAGAGACTGGGTCACTAGCGCTGTATCGTGAGGCGTTGTCTTCTCCCGGGTCAAATACTAGGATTGTTTGTGATACGAGATGTCTGGCGTGATATGAAATGTTTGTCAAGCTTGGGGTGCACTCTAATTTCGGTTGTCTGCACCTCTCATGCACGATTGAGACCATATTCACGGCTGGAGTTGTTCCAACCGCAGAAGTCCTTCGATCTCGAACAGTAGTATACAAAGTCCCGGTCGGATGGCGGATGATGATAATCTTTCGGATGTGCAGCCATGGGCTCGTTGCGGATTGAATGATTGATTGCAGGGTTGGCTGGGTGGACCGTCTTAGACCCTGGTCTGGTTAGACCAGCTGGTGTACACTTTACCGGTCCCAGACTGCATGCTGTTGGGAATGTTAAGATGCTGCCAGTGCTAGATTTCTGTGTTTCAGAACCCAACATTATCTGCGCGTAATCAAGCCACCGGCGTCCGAGAACGGAAGGATATCTGAGACCCGCTCGGCAGGCTTTCGCGAGTTCTTCCCAGGGGCTGGCTCTGCAGTGACATGTGCCCTTAATGAGCTGCCAACTATACCTACCTGTGGCACATACTGCGTGTCCTAGTTGTAGGATCAGCAGAGCCGCAAGGGCAATATGTTGGCGAAACCACTGTCCGGATAGGCGCGACCTTTGTTTACGCCTCTTTCCACTCGAAGGCGGACTGCAGTTATGGGGCAGTGTTGATGGATGCCCAAAGACGTGCTGAAGCATTTTCCTGATTGCTCTAGATCCCCAGCCTTCAAGGGCTGTACAGACAGAGACAATAGCTGTCGTACCCAGGGTTGGCTTTTGAACAGCAAACTTTGTCTTCTAGAAGATGATCCACCACCGGCCTCTTCCTTGAGACTGCTCCAGCGTGCACCGTTGGCCGCAGTCAATTTACTCCATAGCAGTCACTGGGAGCGAGGAGGAGTGAGCACTGGGCAACGTTAGCTGGAGGGAAGACCTACCAGACAGACCCTGAGGATCAAAGAGCGTGTTGTCTGCCGCTGTCTCTAGACGACGTAGACTTGTCCAATGTCAGGAAGATGCTCGATGGCGAGCATAACGGACCGATGGAAACAAACAGGTCTTCTCGCCCATCATGTGTAATTGAGCAACCGAAGTCGCGAGGTAGTGAGATCGGACACGGCCTCGCACGTTTGAGGCATTGGTCGAAGACCTTGGAGCGGAGAAAACGACGATCCATCCCATCCGAACTAGGACATGTCAATCGCAGCCGAAGTTCATGGATGCTGTCGGAGGAGAGATGCTACCGAACAGATCCGCCTTTAGCTCGCCCAGTGGTCGACGCGGTGTCAGCAGGATAGCTGTATACTGCAGTACGCGTCGACCCCGAAAACTTCGGCTCCTGTTGTTGTTACAGGGTGACCTCTTCGGATAGATAGTGGTCACGCCAACGGAAGACTGTCAGCATAACAGGAAATCTGATACCTAGGTAAGAAAGCCCTTACGTATGTGACATCGTCCTCCTCGTTCGAGAGATAGACAGGGAATGGTCAACATTGAGTAATGCACGCGTGTCACAAGAGACACCCCGAGGAGGGCTGTCTTCCCTGCGTGCCAACCACGAGTTTTGTTCCACGAGAGGAGATCGGGGTGCAACGGCGGCGTGCGTCCAGGTGGTGTTTTGTACTCTGGGCAAGTTGCTCAAGGTGAGAATAAGATCTTCAGGTACTAGCCCGGCAGTTGCACGATGCGAGTTGTACGGATGGCTGGGATTACAAGCAAGGGTACGTGAAGACAACAGCAAGGACGGTAGACTGGCGGCCGAGAAGGGGGCGCAGGCGGCAGGCAGGTACAAGAAGCAGGTACCAGGTACTAGGAGTCCACGATTGATTCGAGGATGGCTGCAGCAAACGCCTGAGGGCATGTGCGCTCCCAGCATGGCGAAAGAGACAGATTGGATTCGATGAGGCCGTCGGACTAGATTGCTGCTGTCCTAAGTTGTGAACAGAGCTGATCGCAGCATGCGGCAGAAGGTATCGTCGGTTTAGACAAAGAGAAGCTTCAAGTTTTGCATAGATTTTCGCTTTCTGAAGCAGTGCTAGTTACCCAGGTACAAGCGCAGGTAAACAATCCGCAGCCATATTATTAACGCAGTTTATACGTGCCAGTCCATAACAAACCTCTGCAAAATATTTCCTGCCATCCCAGTATTATCGTCTACCTTTTTCATCCTACCAAGTCGATCACCACCACAGTCCAAAGTCTACAGGTGTGCCAGTCTCTTCTGACCACGGCTTTCACGGGCGACTGAGTTTCCACACTTGATGTGATTGCGGTTGACGGTCCCAACCGTCCACAACTAACTAGTAAAGGCTATCATGACCGGTTCAATCGACCGTCTTCTTGGTGACACTTTTGACAGCAAACGGTCCTTCATCGACAGACACCTCGCCCGTCTCCAGATGTCACAAACTCGAGCCGTTCCTTTTCTCCTGCTCAATCCTCCACCGTGGAGTGCCCTAACCTGGTTATGTTAACAACAAACTTGAACCATCCTCCACGCATCCTTCTTGCGTTCTGCTTGCCGAGTTCCGCTTTCCGCTCCTGTCATCTTTGCTCACCATGTCCACGAGGTGAAGCAGGACTGGCTTACTGCAAGGGAGAATTAGACACATTGTACGTCAAACGTGATCGATGACCAACCACGGGAGCCCGGCCTTCTGGCGAGGTCGCATCTCGTTCGCATAAGGTGTCCATCGGTAGGACTGTGACTGGGTCTGCTACGGATCGTTGGAGCCAGTGGATCATGCAAGCTACAATGGAGCCACGTTGGAGTCGGGCCTTCAAAAACGTCGGAATCGGCTCGCTGCCATTTTGGCGTCTGGTCCATGAAATGAAGCCGAAACTGCGGTTCGAGCAGGCCACACACGTGCCACTTCCGTATACTGCCAGTGTAGGTGCACATTCTGGCGTGGACACCGAGACGTGGCCACGGCGCCCGTGTGGAAACTCATCCTCGTCCTTTCTACTGCTCTGATAGGCCAAAGACACCAGTCTACCAACTCTTGCTTGCTTGAGGACGTATCTATTCCAACCGGTCTCGGCATTCATTCGTCATGATTTTATTCAAGTATCTCAGGGGCAGATCATGTGACAGTTGAAAGTTTCAATGTTGATTCTTCCATACATGCTTATGCTTCAGCCATTCTTCGCAATATAGTTTCCCTGGTCAGATTCGACCCTTATATCTGGGATGGGCATCTGCTGGGACTGCGATGGTGGGGGAGCTGCAACGGGAGAAGCTACTTGTGGCGCTGCTACCCCAGGCTGTCCTGGAATGTTGACAGAAACAGGAGCGGCATCTCTAGATAGTTGCTGCTGTTGTTGCGCGAAATATGCTCGGGGATCTCCTTGGATGGGCGGAGCCTGATCGATCGCGAGGCGTGGCCTGTCTTCGTCGTCCGTGTCGTAATTCTCGTCCTTGTAATCTCGGGCCTCTCTAGGTCGTCGTCGTTGCCGTTCAAGCTCAGCTTGCCACTGCCGTTCACGAGCTTCTGTTGGGCTTTGTTAGCAAGTACTCCAGTATGGGGATAGAGAAGAGGCTGAGCACGTGGATGAACCATCATGTCGGGTTGGCACCACGGGGAAAGGGGGGCACATACCTCTGATCTCTTTAGTCTTTTCGGCGAGCTTCATGATCTCCTCTCTGGATATGACACGCAATACAATCACATAATCATCCCGTTCCTCAAATCGTTCATGCGCCTTCTCCAAAGCCTCTGGATTTACCAAGGCTCGACTGATTTTCGTCCACCGTGCATTTGGCGGTATCCCGTCCTTGGTTGCATCTTTAAGGGGAGCAACACCCTCACGCTCCGGATTAGGGTCCTCTGGGAAAGGAACCTCCCGAGGAGGTTTGAGGATACCTTTTGGCTTGAACTCCTCTTTCTTTTCCACGGGTTCAACAAGCTGTACACGCCTCGGACGAGTATCCTCGTCTTGAAGTGGAGAAGAGGTATGCTTGTCCGATGAGGATGCCGCTTCCCGGGGACCGTCACGAGAGGGTGTTCTCTCCCGTCGTACATCGGAAGGCTCGCGTAGTTCACCCTCCCTCTCCTTTTCGTACTTGCGTCCGTGATGCCCCCTCCCGCCCGAGTCCTCGGTTGATTCGGACTCGTCCTCGTCGCGAGCCCGATCTTTATGTCGCCGACGGTGTCGCCTCCGCCTATCATATTGGTCATCACGCTCACTTTCCGCGCCGTCACCTTTGCGATCGTCCCTGCGGCGGTCGTGAGGCGCACGCTCTCCGTCATTCAAAGTCAGATCACGCTCGACGTGACTCGCAAGCTCGTCTGGGCTAGTTTCATCGTCGGCATGGTGGCGTCGCCTTCTTCGGTGCCTACGACCTTTATCATCGCTTTCGGACTCATCACGGGTTTTCTTCGCACTTTTGACAGCCGCGCCAGCCAGAGCTCCTGCAGCAGCTAAGCCAGCGGCTGTAGCGAGGCTTTTCCGGGGACCAGAGTGCTCTGGGCTGACCTCACGGCTTCGAGGTGGACGACGGTCATCAGGTCCCCTAATGTTGCGGTCGATTTCTCGCAATTGATCCCGGTCGCCAGTTCGTTCCCGGTCTATCTCTCTTTCTCTTTCCTTTTCCCTTTCCCTTTCTCTCTCCAGATCGCGATCTCTGTCCCTGACACGCTCAGATTCGCGAGGCAGCGCACGTGCACCCTCTCTGTCTCTTTCATCCCGATATCTAGCCCTTAGGATTCTGTCGTCGTCATCGATCCGATCATGGCGCTTGGCTGCAATACGGGGGTTTCGCTCCTCCCGAGTCAATGGATAATCATCATCACGGTATTGATGCACCACCGGGGCTCTCATCGACCTCGTCCGGGAGACAATTTCTGCCGGACGATCGTCATAGTCACGAAGTCGAGGAGCACTAGTTCGATATGGGTCACTCCTCTCGACTCGGTCTAATGCACGCGTCGAGGAGGGTGGTGGCACATCTCTTCGTGGGGCTGCTCTGTACTCGGGAAGCCCAATGACGCTTGTCGGCCGTTCTCGCCGGCTGTAGCTGCCCCGTCTTTGCGGAGGCCTGGACGACTCCTGAAGAAAATGCTCTTTGGGTGTGGTATATGAGAACCCCTCATCTTGTAACGGTGCATTGTAACCACCACGACGGTGGTATTCCGGTTGTCTCTGGCTTTTCGCAGGGCCGAGACGGTCCTGCTCCGCGCCAGTCGCACTAGAATGGCGGTGATGATGTCGGGAATGTGACGCAGCAGGGACAAGGTATCTTTCTCCTCCTGCTCCCGCAGAGGCTATAGCAGGACTTCGTGGATCGTCGCGTGCCGAAGTAGTGAGGACGGTTGGTCGGACACGTGGAGGCGAAGGATGCCTATTTATGACAGTACTGACCGGCCTGCGGGATTCCGAGCCCACCGTAGAGTTGTGTCTTGGGCGGACAGTATATTCGGTCCTGATTGTAGATCCACCACCGGGATGGTGGTCATCAAGATATGTTTTCCTTGCAACGCCCTGCGTAGCATAGACACTGCCATGTCGCGACGCTGGCACCGAGTCGAACCCCGAGCGTGGCTGTGCATAATAGCGAGGGTCGAAAGACGAGGAGAAGACCATGCCGGTGGACGCGCGAGGATCAGCGTACGAACTGGGACGGTACCTGTTCTCGGCCATGTTGAGGACAACAAAGCAATGGAGGCCTAAAACTCAAGACATCAAGTTCACAGTGGAGGAGGCCGAGGAAGACTGTAGGCCCGGCGGGCCAGCTGAAGAGAAGGCTGCTGTTGAACTATGCTGCAAGTGAAGAATTGACTGTTAGTGCCAAGTGATGAGATTCGAAGGACAACTCCTCTGCTTCATATAGGACACAGCCGGAGGGAGACTGGTGATGCAGCAGAGGTGAAGGCGGCGGATTTATCTCCAGGGCGGACAGCGAGCGCTGCGCTGACATGGTGAGGGGCAGAGACTCACAGACTGGGGATTGGTACCTTCTGGAATGGCCAACACTCCTGGCCAGGATCAGAAACTTGAACAGCACAATTCGCCAACACGTTGCAGCACCGGGCAGCTGTAGCAAGAGAGATGTTGATGCATCGAGTGGAAGGGCGAGGACGAACAACAAATAATGCCACTGGCAGGTAAATATGGGAGACGGTTTGACAGCGAGAGACACCGCACGGGCATCTCGCAGCTGCGCCGAGCCTAGTATCGCAGCGCATCACTAACCGACACTAATATGTACTAGTGTCGCCAACGTAGCGGTTAAAGCCTTGTTGTACGCCTATGGCTATGCACAAAAATGCCACTAGTCTGGCTAATGCAATACTAGTCGACGTCATGCTGGCATCCTCCACTGCATCTGGCCCTCGACACAGATGGTCTCTATTACTCGTGCTTTTGGTACAACACTCAGCTCCGAGTTCCTTCAAACTTCACTTCCTGCTCTTCATCTCTTTCGCCTCATTACAATGGACTCTGCCTTCTACAGCGATCACCACCCTCTTGGATGCGTACGGAGTTTGCCATCTAGTCCGCGCTACCAGCATCGCTCTGTTTGCGCCGTTACTCAACTCAGCACTGCCACCGTGGGCCTTGTCTGTGGAATCGAAAACAGCTGCCTTACTCTCCCCACAAAGCGCGCTTCCACTGCAACTATACCTCCTTTCTGCCCAACCAACCGGGGTAACCGTTCTGCTTTTCTACCAGGAAAGTGCCGATCGAACATGACTGATGCCCAACTACCTGTGTCTACTCTTTTTAATAAACAAGCAGCCCGCTCTGGCCACGATTTCGTATCGCGGTAGTCCCTCGGCGGTGGCGCTGATGAACGATCGATATGTCAAAGTCGCAGCTCGATTTTGTGACCAGTCCATGGATGCCTCGTGAGTCTCACTTTTCCGGGTGTTCAGCATTTAGCAGAAACAGCTAGGCACATTTACTCATACACTATCAAATCGGGCGCCAGGCTATCTCCACTAGCTCTCGACAGCAGTTTGCCTGTGCCTTTCGAGGATTCGAAGGCCGGATGCAGGTTACACACAGACACCATGCGCTGTTACAGGTTCGTCCGTCCGTCTACCTCGCCTGCCACAATGCAAATGCCAACCCCGCCTCATCTTTGGCCTGGCCTTCGAAGGAGACAGGTCAAATCCGAGTTGGAGGTGGCAACAACCTACTACCAGCCCTCTACAGGTTCTGTACATTGTGACACCTCGCTGGTTAGCACACGACCAGTACCCCCACGACCACGGTCCACAAGTTGGGATCGTCATGTAATGAGTGTACCTCGCCAACATGAAGCTCTTTAGTCGAGATTTTGGTTTCGAACTTTGGTGCGTCTACGTTGCAGTCGAACATTAACCCATGGTTCCATGGTTTCAGCGTATTGACTTCGGATGATCTATCTCACAAATGAAGGTGCTGTATGTATTTTCATGGCTTTTTAATGAAACTTTTCAGGTCCGGAAATCGATCTCCTCTGTCAGCCTTGCTTGATCACGTGCAGTTTTTTCGGTTCCGTTTCCAAGGCAATCTCATCAAACACGATTTAAGGCGCCTGCAACTTCCGTGTTTTCCTTCAAGATCGTAGAATTGTGGCTATGCATCTTCAATACAGACTGAACATCTGTCTATCATTCTGCGAGCGGCTACGGCCCTATCTTCAGTGTCTGAGAGGTGATAGCCTCATTCACCAATTTTTACGAGTGGAACGCCATACGAGGACCGATGGAATGCCACTGTTTGGCATGTCTTCGCCTACAGACCAACCGGGAAAGATGATATTGACATACCAGGACGCCTGTTGACATAGCCACTTTCCGACAAAGCTACCAGGTAGGTCTATGAAGTGGTCACATGAGATTAGGGTCGTCGACTTGAAGGCTGGTTTGTACAGTCCTGTCAACCAACGACCTTCATGCTAAGCTCGGGCCTCGCCATGACCTAGCATTGTCAACTTACTCCTCAATTGACATGTTAAAGCAATGGCAACTCTCAAGCCAATTGCGATGTTCAAGCAGAAGTCGGGCATGAACGAGAAAGTCGTCTGTGTCAAGTGACAATGTGATCTTGACGGAGCAGCAGGCGTCTGAGTACAAAACTTCGAGGTAGATGATGCTGCCATTGGGTCCAGTGGATCTACCTTTGTTGCTGGCAGTGGCCACGCAAAGCTGCACTCGTTCACGAGAGTTGTTTTGTTTTTAAGGCGAAATGGGTACGTGGGAACCGTTCTCCCTCGGGAGTACCTCATGAATGCAGCAAAGGACAAGATATAAAGCAGTCTCTTTGCTCCTCTGACCGAACCGTCATGCATCTGCTCCGCACCGACTTCATCCTACAGCACAGTCTCTCAGGGCTTCATCCACTATTTGAAAAGTCTTCCAATTCTCTTGAAACGTTTCTCAGTCAATTTCCTCCCGACAATGCCACTCGTATCGCAACGCCGTCTATGCGATGCCAGGCCTATCCTGACCGCCCTTGTGAAGATACATCTCGAAGGTATCAATACGAGACACTCTGATCATGTCATTCATGGCAATAAGACCCTTTTCCCGAGATATACTAAGTCAAGCCTCGAGTGCCTCGATCCATATGGCGCGAGTATGCACAGGGCTCAACTTTCGACATGGGCAAGACAGCTCTATCGGCCTTTGCGAAGTCCTTCAACAGCATTCTTACCCGGGTCTAACACCCCCAAACCGTTTAACAATACGGCTCACGACCTTGCAACGCGACCATCTATGGCTGGTTGGTGGGAATGCCACAAATGTGACCACCTCAACAACCCGGAACTGGCATCTGAAAGATGTACAATATGCAATCACACCCGTTGTGGGTATTGCCGAACTCGTCGTCGTTGAACCGAATGACATGGAAAGACAAAAGGCATTCCTTCCGGCGTTGGGGAAGGTCTCTCTCTACTCTTCAAACTACTGTCATTATCGACATGAACGACTCGACAATTTAGATTAGATTCAACTCTACTCAATTCATTCTGACAAGTTTCCATTTCCGACCAGATACGGTGTTTTGTTTCTACTCTTACCATCCAGTTGTCATCCCTGCTCTCAGAGAGTCTGAAACTTGTCGAGTTGATAGTCCTAGCTAGACCCGAGGGGACCATACCGTGCCACGCCACGCCGCCAAGTAGATGCGAGCAGACTAGACTTGCGCACACTTATCGTAGCAACAGGCAGGCAGGACAGGACGAGGGCAGGCTTGTTTTGGACTATATGATACGAAATGACCCCAAATGTGACGAGATGTAGTCGTAATTAATCGTTCCGCTACCATTCGGATAGAAACAGATTGAGACACTGCAATATAGAGTATGGACTACACACCATCACATTTGAATCTATGAAATGGCCGCTCCGCCTAGACTTCGAGCAGTGTTTGTCAAAAAGTATAAGTATACCTGGTAAGTTTTGCAAATTGTTCAGTAGTCAGGCAGGCAGTAGTACACTGGTAGTACAACTGGGGTGGATGAGGCGAAGGCAGAGCCAGACCCAACTGGGCGCACAAGGCTGTGGAGAAAAGGGGCGCCGAACACACACCACACACAAGCAGCACGCTTACACACCTAGGTACCCATTCCACCTCCCTCGCGCTCGGCATTAACCAACTGCCGGTATTACTTGTGTCTGTGACCATCCCTTTGACTTGATGCTATATCCGAATACCTCCTATGAGGGGGTTTTTATAATACTCTGTCTACTCTCCGACTCGACTGTCGGTGCTTACAAGAAATGGCTCCCCTACCCTCACTCATCAATGCTGGCTTTCTCATATCACCTATGTGAGAGATAAGATTTCGCTTTTTCTAGAGCAAATGAACATAGTACATTGGTACAAGATTATACACATTCAACGACAGTACTGCAAGGAATTCAACCAGTACTATCCTACCTACCTACCTTGAAGCAGAACGTACTGTAAGACCCCTTGGGCCACGGCCAACTATGGTGGGACCGTTGGTCTGTGAGGTTTCTCACACTTATAGCCAGAAAAGAAAAGCCAGGAAGAAGTACTGTACAGAGTCCCCATCACTTTTAAGGAGTATCAGCACCCAATCACACCACCCTGCAGGTAAAACACTGTCATTCCGCTGTCCAGTGGACATGAAGATATTTATCCAGGCCAGCCGCCGCCGCCGCCGCCGCCATGGATCCGATATCATTCATCCCTGAATTTCGTCATGGGATCTTTGATGTTTCGGGCTCCGTTTCTGACCTCCTTCGCCTTCGGCGCCGGTGATGGCGCCTTTGCTGTCGTTTTCGTCCACTCCCCCTTTCTTCCACTTTATTGTTGGTTGTGTTGACCTGAGCTTGTCCACTAGTAGGGTCATGCTGCCCATGGGGGCGACCATTGTCTTCTCCATCGTCATCATCATCTATACCTGCCTCTCTCTTCATTTTCTCCACCAGAGGACCTAGCTTATACATACTGGTTGGATCGCCATGGTCGACCAGCGGAGACCGATGGAGTGGAAAGAACCAATCCAGCCAGAAATACCCCATTACTTCTCTGAAGTTGTTGAATGGACCGATATCCCAGGGGTTTTCACCGGGTTTGGTTTCGAGAATGGCGAAAGTGCGTCCTTTTACTCCTCTCGGGTCCGCTGAGGTATTCCCGGTGGGAGACTGAGGAGAAGAAGGCGAATATCTGTCTCTAGCGTGGTACTGATGGCGAGTAGCAGCAACCGCAGAAGGAGCTGTGTTTTCAACCGACGCCTGGTGAGGATCAGATGACTGCTGTCGACCCTCGTCAGAGTTATTGCTCGTGGGCAAGCCGCCGACCTCCGGCACGACATCCTGCTGACTATGATCATCCCCATCAACCTTTGCTCCATGTTGTTGCAGGATCTGAAACTGTTCCGACGGCGGCCGAGGGTACGAGATCAATCTCAGATCGGTCCTCCCCGAAGAATAATACCTGTCAAGCACCCTTTCGGGTATGTACACTGCCAAATACCAAACTTTAGTTCTGCGACTGAGATTCTCAATAGTCGAAGAATTCACAAATGCAAACTGCAGACTAGATCCGCACATGCCTGCACTGAAGACGAAAAACAAAGCAGCAAACGCCAGCACCAGGATCCAATGGACATTGATGAAGTTTTCATCGCGCCTGCGCTGGGCAAAATAGTACGCCACGACCACCAACGTGTCCAAACAAAACAGAGCGGCCCAGAACGTGAATTGAATGAAGAACTTGAACGAAGTCTCGGAGACTATGCCGCCAACCCAGGGACAAAAGTGGTCCATCTTCAACACGCAGCGGCCCAGTTCCCGGCAGTGGTGTGCACGGTCGGGTTTATAGTTATAACAAGTCGAACAGAACGGTGGTCGGCCATCCCATCCGCAGACAAAGACGTCCTTGTGCCAGAATTCTTCGGGAAGATAACCCCCACCCCCACCCCCAACTCCCTTCTCTGCATCGTATTCCCTATGACGGTTGTCGCCATGTCGTCGTAGTCGCGGCGTATAACCTTCGGTGGTGGTCGCGCCGTACTCGAATGCCTCCTCCTTATGCCTAGCAGTCGAGTGTTGCGCGCTCGCTCTGTTCTGCTTTTTGCGCTCCTTTTCAATGTACCATTGTGGTCCGCGGGGCACGAATCCTGGGTCCGTCACGATCGTATAAAGGAGCCGACCGAAACATGTCAACGTGATGAGTAGTAACAAATAGAATATGATGAGGATGGCAATGGCGGCTCCAGTCTGCCGATGGTGGACTGGAGGGAGGTCGGTTATAGATGTTTCTGCTGCCGATGTTGATGCTCGCGGCGGATGGAGCAGATAGTCGATGCAGACGTGCTTGGTAACCACCCATGATGAGTACCCGATGATGCCTAGTAATAGAGCTGGCACGATTCGCGCAGTCACAACGTTCCCTCTCTTGTTGGCTTCCCCTGGGCGCATCACTTTCATGGCGCAGGCGGACCAGGGAGTCGGACGGCGCCCTGGAGGCGAGGGGACAAGGCGCTGCTCAGCCGGTGGGAAACGATGGTAACATGTTGACTTGGGTTATGGACTGTCTATAACGGGTTCCATCGACGCCGATGACCCGCCATAGGTACCGGTGGTCTTGTTACAGATCAAGTTGCCCTGTACCTAGGTGCACTGGCAGTACTTCAAGTCAATGGCAAACAGGTAAATACAGCGACGAATCACTTCAGGAAAAGTAAGTATGCCGAGAGGGCCTCTTTCAGCTAACCACATGAGTACTAGCTTTCTCTAACGTGGGAGGTAACTTATGACGCAGTGTTTCGCCACGAACACTGCATGATCTATCACGAAATGTACATTGCTGGCAACTTGAACCGGTGACTGAACAAGTTTATGTAGTCTTGTTGAAGGATATTCTATTTACAGCACACCAAGTCGATGAGATTGTTTGCGGGGATCATACACTTTCGTAGGTGATCCCATTCCTGGAAGCGTACAATGTAGTCAAGATCAAATTGCTTCATACCCTGCATCTGGCATTTTTTGGGTCCATTCAGTCATCAAATTTATGCCTTCTCAATCTTCTCCCGGAGGATGCCCTTCAATGTGACAGCATCGGCGGCGAACTTGCTGATACCTTCACGGAGCTTCTCAGTGGCCATCTGTTCCTCGTTGAAGTCAAAGCGGAAGGTTGGCTCATCGTTGATGTATGAGCGCTTGGGGATGTCCAAGTTGGCAGCCGCAGAGGCATCCAGCTTCTTCTCGACCTTCTCGGTTGAGTTGTACAGCTCCTCGAGCAAGTTGGGGGAAATGGTCAGGTAGTCGCAGCCAGCGAGCTCGGTGATCTCACCGACGTTGCGGAACGAGGCACCCATGACGATGGTCTTGTAGCCGTGCTTCTTGTAGTAGTTGAAGATGCTCTGGACACTCTTGACACCGGGGTCTTCCGAAGGCGAGAAGTCCTTCTTCATGGCCGCCTTGTACCAGTCGAGGATACGGCCGACGAAAGGAGAGATAAGGAAGGCACCGGCTTCGGCGGCAGCGATGGCCTGGACCAGGGAGAACATGAGAGTCAGGTTGCAGTTAATACCCTCCTTCTGCAGGATCTCCGCGGCCTTGATACCCTCCCAGGTGGAGGCAATCTTGATCAGGACACGGGATTTATCAATGCCGATGGATTTGTATAGCTGCAATGTGGTCAGTCGATCCGGCTTTTGCAGCGTGTGTCATGATGAGAGCTTACCTCGATGATGTGGCGGGCCTTTTCAACGGATGCTTGGGTATCGAAGGAGAATCGGGCGTCGACCTCAGTAGAGACCTTGCCGGGGACAATCTTCAAAATCTCCTTGCCAAACTCGACCAGCAGTCTGTCGAGAGCGGAGTCGACCTGTTCGTCGATGGTTTTGCCCTGGACACCGGATTTTAGCATCATTGATGTCTTGTATCAGTGCGGACCCGAACGTACGTTTGACTTGCCGTATTGGACGGCAGCATCCATCAGCTGAGCGTAGTCTGGCTTCTTGGAGGCGGCGAGGATGAGGGACGGGTTGGTGGTGGCATCTTGCGGCTGGTACTTCTTGATTGCTGCAAGATTGTAAGCAATTGACAAGCTACAAAGGCATGGGGGTGTAGGAACGTACTGTTGAAGTCGCCAGAGTCGCAGACGACAGTCTGTTGCACTGGTTAGCTGGGTCAAATTCTTTTGCACTTGTCATGGTGGGATGGCGGGGTTGAGCACATACGGTGCCGGTGGCTTTGAGCTGGTCCAGAGAGGAAGTCATGTTGGCTGTGGTAATGATTATTGACTGAACTTATGGATAGAGATGATGAACAGATCCTGGATGGGCTTGGAATTGTTCAAGGTGTTTTTGATTTCTGAGAAACAGAGAAAGTCGGCTATAAAGCGGAAGATGTTTGGGATGTGCAGTGAAATAATGGCGCACTGGCAGCTTGTCCCTCCGGCTTCTGGCTGTTCTTGGGTGACGAAGGAGTGGAATCGGGGGGCGACCTGCCCAGTGGCCTCCGCCTATACCACGACAGGAATACAGCCTACATCCCACCATTGGACCACTTTTCCCACCACATTCACTCGCACTTCAACTTCACTGCCAGTCATGAACGTGGGGCGTCATCTGTGCCACGGCCCTTCTCATCAATTGGTGGCCGCCGGCGGAAAATGGCGGGCAGCACTGCAATGCTAGGGAGTAACAGCTGTCCTCTAAAAGAAACCCGGCGAAATCTCCCAAACTCAGTAGGAGCAGCAACAGTTCAATCATCAGAGACGCCACACTGTAGCCGTATCCAGGTCAAGAGAAACTCTCATCACTCCCTTGACCAACAGTAATAAGTGCCTCCTCTGTACCCTGTCTTCCCCTACCGGCCATATGATCCCCATACGTATATCTGAGATCATCTTCTCGCCACTGCAGAATAGTATGATGGTAGATACAGTATCATGATTTGCAGGCATGCCTTAGCATATGACACTCTCTTTGAGGCTGTTCTGGATGAAGCTTCCCATGCCCATGCCCCTGTCAACATAGAAAATTGGGAACATTGCAATCTTTTTGCCGTCTGTAGCCTGTCGGCCGTTGAATACTACTACCTAAGGAGTATGGAGTGCAGGTGTCCTCTCGCCCTCGTATTATTCTGCCGTTCTGGATAAGCATTTCTCCCCCCAACCGGAGCACTGTAGTCCGGGGCAGTTGTTTATTGTCGAGTTCTAGCCTGGATAATTTCTCCGCGAATTTTAATGTAAAGAATAATCGGCACTACAACGTGCACGGCATGACTACCTACCTACCCCTGACATTTTACCGCCGCTGCGGTGCGCCGCACGGTGCTGTAGCAATTCAGTTGAACTGTTCTCCGGCCAGCAAGCTCCTACATCGAATGTCCTGTAAGGGCCATGGCGGCCAACACCATACTCGTACCAGTTGACGAATGATTGTGTTAAAATTATATATTATGAACTATCTACCGTTGCAGTGAGTCCCTCCCACAACACATGTATGGACCCTGTGATAAACCTCCCGGCTTCCCTGCTCTCAAAACACAATCTTGACATGTCCTATACTCCACGCTTCATGTACTGTGTGTCGTACATGGCACATTATAATCGAGCAGGACCCAGAAGAGAGAAAATTTAGATCCGTTCACAATAAGAAATGTTGCCAATGAAACCACACGTCCAGTCACGGTCCAAGGCAATACTAATCCTTCAACCCGAAAGCTTTCCGCAGCATAGGGAATTTCTTCTTCTTCCCACTTCTACCAACCGCTTCAATCGGTGGCTCTTTCGGTCGCATGCTGCCCTGGGTGAGCCTGGTCGATCCGTTCCGGAATGGTGCTCCATCCGAGGTGCTAGGTCGAATCGTGCCGCTTTCTTGGATATTGGGTGGCGGTAAAGGCCACGAATCGCTCATCATCCGGTGCGGTTGATGCCGTCGTTGTAATTTGGCATGAGAAGATGGCGATTCGGCAACAGGCTGGTCCTTTGCTGCCTCGAGCTTCGCCCGTGTCTGCTCGATCACACGATCTCTCTCCGCAGCGGATGCAAACCCCAACTGTGACGGCTTGCTCGCGTCTACCTTGGGAGCTGATGGAGTCGAGTTGACCGAAGGCAAAGATGGCTCCTCCTTGTGTTTCTTGCCTCGTAATCTCCCGAACAGGCCACGCTTCTTCTCCGTAGTAGGAGACAAAGGAGGCTCTTCACCAGAGAGTGCCGCGCTATTTGCCGGGATTTGAAGCTTAGGAGGAGTTTTCACCGTCGGTTTCTCTTCCTCAGAGCTATCTTCGAGGTCCGTCGAGTCATCGTCGCCTGCTCGCCGGGGTATTCCACGGACTGGCGTAAGGTGAGATGTGTCCACTTCGTCATCACTGTCGTCCGCGAACCGGGAACGGAATTTGCTCGTCCGTGGAACGGCATCTTCATCATCTGAGTCCGCGATTCGAGACCGAGCTTTGTGTGTAAATCCGACAACTGCTGGAACTGGAGGTGGGCTTTTCTGCCGACGCCCGAAAAGAGAAGATGACCGCTTGGTCTCCGTTGGCGCAGCACGGAGGGTTGGTACGCCAGAATCCATAGATCCTCTCATGGATGTTCGCATGGAGCGAGCGCCCATCGTCGGTGAGAATGGTCGACGAGGCTCTGGAGACTGGGAACGAAGGTGATCGTGTCCAGTGTCTCGCAATGTTGGCTCAGCCGCCCCACGCATACTGCGACGCATGGCGTGCTGGCCGGGAGTGGCCGATTTACGACGTCGCCGTTTTCGGAATGAGCTATCCGAATCACTGTCGTTGGCGACGATGGGCATGGGAGGTAACCGTTGCGCTAGAGCAGCGGCTGGCGACACGGCCGCTGGCGCTGGCGGAATATGCTTCTTTTGCAAAGCGGCTCGCGGCTGTTGAGCTGGGCTAGAGGTCATCAACTGTGATTGTCGCTGTTGCTGTCGTGTCGCACCGGAGTCAGTCATGGACGTGTTCCGCATAGATTTCCGGAATCCGGCTTCAGGCTCGGTAGGCGCATTGCCCCTCATGGACTGTCTGAAGGGTGCCGCTGCGGCGGCGGCTGTGGCTGCCTTAGCGGAGGACCTTGGTTGACTGACCGCCGTCGTTGCAGAGGCTGGTTTGTTCGTGCGTGGTGTAGATTGTGGATTTCGCTGCACAGCGCCAGCAGTGGCAGGAGCTGATGCTGCCCCAGCAGCGATAGAAGCCTGAGTTTTCTTCTTGCGCCGAGGCTGGCTAGCCTGTTGCCGGGGAGGTTCTGGTGGAGGCTGAGGCCGTTGGGCCTGTGGCGCGGCCTGACTTGGTGGTGGAGCGCTGCTTGGTTGTTGCTGTGTGACTTGGCTGTAAATCGGCTTTTGGGCTGCTGACACCTGTGGCTGTTCAGATGCAGAAGCATCCAGTGCTGGACCTTGCCGAGTCTGCTGCGCAATATTCTTCCAACGTGCTTGGGCCTCTTGCCAAGATGATTCGCGAACAGGCTCTTGACGTTGTGGTTGCGCTGGGCGTGCGAGTGGGCTTTCTGGAACAGCTGTCGCCAGTATGGAGGCAACAGGGACGACAGGACTGTCAACAATGGCGTCAATTGAGCCAAAACCAGTGCCATCAAGCTCCGAGGGGTCTTCTGCTGCGTCACTGTAGATACTGTCATTGTCCGAATCCTCGTCGCTGGTCGAGTATACATCACGGCCTTCTTGAGCAGAAGTACTTTCGGCTGCCGTAGACGTAGGAAATCCTCCTGGTATCTCGACAATCCAACCATCATCTGTGGCGCCTTGTTCGAGGCCAGGAGTGGGTGGAGAGATCGACAGGACAGGCACATCTGGCCGAGAAGTTGACTCGCCGTTTGATTCTCTTTGCTGAGCCAAAGAGGACGTCTGCTTTGCTCCTTGAACTGTGTCTCTTTGACCCTCAGCTTGCCGATTGACGTCTGAAGTCTCGGTCCTTCCCCCATCTTCCGAACCCTCACTCTCTGAATCTGAAAACGAGACAACTCCTTCCACAGAGGTGACTTCCGGCGGCAGTGGCTCATTTGTGCGGCCTTGACTTTGTGGTTGGGGCGACCTCTTCGCTTCATTTGCCAGAATAGCCCCGACTGCATGGTCGCTTGAGACACCGGTTGTATAAGACGTGGAATCGCGGACATTAGCGGAGGCTTCTGATGAGGTTGGGCCTTTCTCCTTGACAGGGGCCGATGTGCGGGCTTCCGCCGACGGCCTCGCTGGTGGCAACGAAGGTGACTCGCTCGTCTCCCGGAAGCTTTGTCCCCTGATGCTACCAAATGAGGGAAGCTGAGGCCGGGGCTTCATCAACTCTTCCATATCATCATTTGATTCGATTGTGTTCAAAGCTGGTCTCGCCTTCGGTAGCCACGTTTTCTTCTCGGGCTTGGAACTTTCTGCACTAGACGCGGACGCGGCTATACCGACGACTTCGGGCTCAGACTCGAAACTCACTCTGACCGACTTCTTCCGCCTGGGTGCGCCATCGGCAGATATGCTTGAGATGTCCGAAGCCTCACTCGGAGTAACGCTCGAGCCACGGGCATACGGGTCACTTGGAGACATCCTTGGACTGGGGGAATGATGTTTAAGCGCTGGTTTTGCAGGCGATACTGAACGCGGCGGCGGCTCGTGCTTTTGTCCCGCGGCCAGGTCAGATGAAAGCCGTTCGGAGAACCTTGTAGATCTTGAGGGACTAAGAGAAGTACCTCTCGCTGGTCGTGGCTCAACGACTCGCAGATTTCTTGAGGCGGCAGATTCTTGCTCCCGTCCAGCAGGTGTAGTGCCAGCCTGAACATCGGAGGTAACAAGCTGATTAACAGTCTGCGACGGAACATTGGGCTCCTCAATCTTCCTCGAAACGTTTGCGGCGTTGACCGAACGCTTGTTCGGAAGAGTGCTTGCAGAATCCAAATCCTGGTCCAAGGTCTGCGCTGGACCAGCCTCTTCGTTCTGCTCGCCTTCCCAATCCTCCCGCACAATAGAAGGCTGCTTTGTCAACATGCCAGATGCTCTGTTGGCACGTCGGTCCCTCGCACTACCGACAGTAGAATCCGAATCCGAGTCTGTCCGAGAGGAGCTGTCAGGCGCGGCATGATATCCATCTTGTCCGGAAAGCGCGGACTTCTTCTTTTTCTTCTTCTTTGCCTGCGGCGGCTGTTCAGTTGCGTTTTCCCCTTGGGGTTCGATGACGGGCTCAAGAGGCGTAACCACCGGCTTGCTTGCCATTGTACCGCCATGTAGATGACTGCCTTCCGTCGACCCCGGGGCAACCTTCTTCTTTTTCTTCTTCACGGGCTGATTGGCACTTTCTCTCAGATTATGCTGAATCTCCTCGGCCTCGGCTGGAGCTATGGCGTTGGCGGATACACTCGTAGGCGCACGTTCACCGTTCGTCAGGCCTGAGGGCGAGCGTGGAAGAGGAGACAAGGGCCTGGAGAAATTTATGGAGTTGCGGCTGTCCGTAGGTTGAGTTTCATCCGTAGCAGCGGCATTGGTGTTTGGAAGTGGCTGCTCGGGCTGTCGATAGCGGTCTACACTTTGTCCTCTGTTGACCGGTCGCGTCGGAGGCGGAGACACGACCCGAGTTGGAGGTGCTCCCTGACTGACCGCGCGAGTCTTCTTCGGCTTTTGCGCAGTAACATTACCGGCGTACTGCTGGGGGATGTTTGGAAGGGGAGGGTGCTCTACCGGTTGCGGTCGCGATGGCGGTCTCGAAGGCGACGGTGACGGCGTTCTAAAAGTCCTCTCAGTCATGGACCCAGCGCTGGTCTGCCTCTGCAGGCCTCCTCTTGACCTGCCGCGGCCAGAGCTTGACAGCGCACTTAGAGATGCTTGCCTCTGTATTGTACGTTTTGTCTGGACATTCTCGACAGGCGTAGGTGTGGGGGTCATAGACCTCAATGCTGCCGCTGCCGCAGAGGCCGAAAGGTTCCCCTGAGATGTCCGATTGGCAAGAAAGGCTTGAGTCGCAGCCAGATGCGCGGAAGCGGACGCAGGAGTCTGGGGCCGCTGGAGGAAAACAAAGTCAGCACCTGCAAGTGTTACAATGTAAGAATCTGATAAGGGCTCGACTTACAGAGGCCGACGCAGACCTGCTCCGTCTATGAAACATGCTCATGGTTGCGATAGTGCGCGACGACTAAACCAGACAAAACTTGCCCGGGCGAGAGCCCTTGGGGAAAAAGAAGTTTTGCGGCACGATGACGAAGGTGCCTATCGCGCGACGTGCTGGCAGGGATGCAAAGCAATATGTTTCCCCATATCCACGCGCTCCAGGTCGGGGTATCTTTGGGAAAAGCGAAGATCACTACCGAAGAATAAGAGCGCAAGGTGGAAGGTCGAAAAGGAGGATGGAGAAGATGCAGGTGTTTTGGTAGCGTGGATCTTTTGCAAGTTGGGATTGTGATGAGGTGGTGCAGCTCAGAACGCCTGGAGCACCGAGAGCCAGAAACAGAGCCCGAGCCAGGCCTGGGTTGCTAGTAGTTGTAGTGAGGAAGCGAGGGAAATGTGGCTGAGCTACAATGGCTCACAGTAACAGGGATCTCCAGCTTGAACTTCGACTTCTGGGGTCTGTGCAGCGCAGCCCAGATTTGCTGGTGGGCGACTGTCCAATCACTGCTCGCACTGGACGTCACTTCGACCCGTTTCACGTACACAAAAGATTACATCATGAACTCTCTCGCCCGTCAATAAAACGTCACTGAGCCGCCGTGGTATCGGAGGCACGTGATCAGCATCCTGTCCCAAATCACGCCTCGACACTTGTTAGTCAGCATATGCTCTACCCATTCAAGTTCACCCACCGTCGACACCGGCTCATTATTGTCTGGCACCTAGTGGTTGTCAGAATTGATTGCTAACCCGATATTTAGCCGAAAACGTGTTTATCAACACTACGTACACAGTTACTCTTTCTCAACACTTATGGCGCCTCAAACACGCTCAACGTACCGTCCTAGTACTCCTGATAGGAGTACTAGTACTAGGAAAGAAGCTGACACCCTACGAAAGTCACGCTTTTTCAACGTATACGACGAAAACGCGCATAACGAGAGCCTCAACTCAATTACAAAGCGCTTATACGTACCTTAATCGACGGCGCGCTACTGGCTACGCTAACGACAAACCCTAGGCTCTCCTGCCTATCGACATACCCGATAGCGCGCGCTAGTACTAGGACGTAAGTCTCGAGTCTTAAAACGCCAAATACAGCGCTTACTCTCGCCCTCGAACCTCGTACGAACTAAGCCACTCGAGTGCCAGATTAAGATACATTAATTAAATATCTCGACGCGACAGTTAAGACGTCGACTTACGCAAGAGATAAATTAAGCGCAGCTCTATCGCGCTGTCTATCGAAAAGACGATTTAATTAAGAAATAAGAGAAGGAGCGTACTACGTTTGGCGAGAAGTATAAAGGGAAAATAGTCAACGAGTTCTGGCGTTTTATATACTAGACCGACGAAATATACGTGGATTAGATAAGACTCTTCCCTCCGCGTATTCTACGAGAGCGTGGTATACGCTATAAGCGTAAGAATATCGCAAATCGTGCGCCTCCTGAAGGAGTAACTCTTCACTGTGCCGGATACGTTAGTTACGACGAGAAGATCCCCGAACTTATTATATATAATAATAAAAACGCTTAAAACGCTAGCGTAGAGGCAGAGAAAGTTATAGAAGAAGCCGTATAAGAGGTACGAGTAAAGAAAAGAATACGAAAGCCTCGCCGTCGACCTACGCGCGAGACGAAAGAAGAGTACTAATAGCGTCTCGCGGAGTAGGAAGCTACTCTTCCTCCTCCTATAGAAGTATAGCCTCGTGGTAACTTAATAATGTAGTAGTACTATACGGAGCGTATTCTTTCTATATACGTAAAGACTATTTAGCGTACGCGCTTAAGATATTACTAGTCTATCTATCTCGTCGAGGACGGTAACTCTTCTTACGGCCTAAGACGTCCTAGGATTACGTAACGACTTAGGGACGCTAACTAGATAGTTAACTTATCGCACCTCGCGAACTTACCTAATCTTAACCCCCAAGAGGCCGCGTGGAATATCTGTAAATAGCGTTTAAGGAGTACGCCTGGCGTTACTAGTATACTACGAGAGTAACTAGTAGATACGCTCTAGGAGATCTAGCGAAATATCTTACAGGACGAGATCCGCGCTCGTATTGAAAAGCTGCCGAAGAGATGCGTAGAGCTAGTAGAAACGGGTGGTAAACGCATAAAAGGCAGTACTTGGTAGTATATAGAAGGGAATATAGGTGTGTAGGCAATTCGGCTAAATATCGGGTTAGCAATCAATTCTGACAACCACTAGGTGTCTGGGGCTCCGTCCAAAACGACAAAACACCAGGCACCTACCGGTTCTTGAGGGCCCCTTTGCACAAAAGCACCCCCAGTATACAACTTAGCCTGGATAAGAGACCATACTCCAACCAGGTATAGGCGATCAAGCGTCGGCTTGCTGACTCGGGTTGCATTGTATAATCGTGTACACCGTCCCGGCGTTATACTTGTGCCTAGGTAACTTGAACCAGTCCAGCGACCGCCCCGCATCTTACGGATTTTAGGAGGCACTGGCAGGTAAGATGAGGTATGTATGTATTCCAGACATCTACAACTTGTCAGCGCATCATCCTGTTACATCCTCAGCAACACAGGAAAGTCTTCCTGACCATTGTTGTACCCCTTGACACATATAGATATGGCATATACTCACCAGAACTCGCCCTCCAATGCGGTTGATCCCACCACCCTCCCTGCCATTAATCTTCCTCTTGGTATCACATCTCGCTTTGTGGACACCAGTCCCCACAGTCTTGTTTTCCACATCCTCGAGTCTTTACCGGCGAACATCAACCCATCAGGCCCTCAACCTGAATTGATTCTTCTATGCCACGGCTTTCCAGAGATTGCCTACTCATGGCGCAAGGTTCTTCCTCTTCTTTCAGCACAAGGCTATCATGCCGTGGCCTTTGACCAACGAGGATATGGACGCACATTTTCTCGTCAACCCCTGGACGCCCAATCATTTCGCCCGTTAAACCTGATCAAAGACGCCGTGACTCTGGTTCGGGCGCTGGGCTACACAACAGTATCGTGTGTCGTGGGACACGATTTCGGCGCCGTGACCGCCTACCTTTGCGCCCTGTCGAGACCAGACATGTTCCAGCGGCTTGTCTTGATGTCCCATCCCGCAAAGGGCCCGCCCGAGCTCCCACTGCGCACGTCTCCGTCATACGGGAATCCGTCCCCACCGCCACCGCCGGCCCCAGACATGCAAAGGGCCCTTGCGGAACTACCCCGGCCACGGAAGCATTACAAGTGGTACTACTGCACATCTGATGCCAATGCCGACATGACGTACCCGACAGGTGCAGACTTGCATAGATTCATGCGCGGCTATTTCCACTTGAAATCGGCAGATTGGGATGCAAACGACCCCCATCCGCTGCAGCGCTGGTCGGCCGACGAACTGGCAAAGATGCCCCGATACTATATCATGGATCTGGCGGACACGATGCGCCAGGCCGTGGCACGGGACATGGAAGTCGAGGACCAGGAGACGGTCTCCTCGCGTTCGTCACGCTGGCTGTCCGACCAGGAACTGGCAGTCTACGTGGAGGAGTATAGTCGTACTACGTTCCAAGGTGGCCTCAACTGGTACAGGGTCCAGACGCAGCCAGCAATCGCAGCGGATCTGGAGGTCTGGTCAGGCGCACTGATCTCGGTTCCTACCTTGTTCGTTGCTGGGAAGCGTGACTGGGGCACCTTTCAGGAACCCGGCGCCATAGAGGCCATGGAGAGCGGTAAGAGTGTGCGGCGGGACATGTACAAGGGCACTGTCTTGGTAGACGGTGCCGGCCATTGGGTCAACCAGGAGCAGCCGGAGAGGTGTGTTCAGGAAATCCTCAAGATAGTCGGCGAAGGAATATGATGAATTATCTGCACAAGGCCATAGTCCGTTACTACGGAGTGTCTTTTGTGAGCACCACGGGCGGCCCGACCCGGTATGCTTACGCAAGGCTATCTACGAATGTATGCATCCGCAGGTACAACCAGGCATTGGATACCGCTTCAGGAGGAAGACAAGGTCACGCCCAATACAAGTGCAGTTGTATCACAATCACGAGTGGATATCATTTGCAAAGCTCGATAAGCTATGTGCACGCCATAACGGTTGGTTCCCACCGCTCCTTGCACGCCACTGTACAACAATCCGGTACGCCTCGCTGAACCGATCTGTGGGACGACGCTGCTTGCTACCGCCCCAAATGCTGCTTCAGAACAAACCACAATGCCTCATGCACCTGGGCCGGTGAGTAACGCCTTGAAACGCCTGCCACGTCGAACATCATCGCTCAGGCATTGGGGCCCGTCATCTCAGAATCCACCTGATCTTCCCGAGCCTTGCCCTTGGTATGTTCGGAATCGTCCCGGTCTGTATCATCATAGAACTCCTCGTCTTCCGTTGAATTGTTCAACTCCCGATCCGATTCACTTCCGTTGGCAGCATCATCATCGAAGTCATCAAAATCAATGTCATCGCCCTCGCTATCATTCCAGAAGTCGTCGTCGATCTTCTCGATAACCGGTTTCGTGGATTCGTGCGTAGGCAGGACGAAGCCCGCCGGGATATCTTTCTTGGACGCTTCCACATCTTGTCTGACTCGAGCCTTGTACGCTTCCTTGTTGTCTCTGAGCATCACGCTGGCGTCGACATTGGCGGGCGAAGAGATCTCGGCATCGTCCAAAAGAGAAAGGATGGAGATGAGAACAGATTCGACACGTTGTGCGGGGGACCAGCGCTCGCCGGGATTCTCGCCAGACATGGTGTCTTCGCCCGGTGGATGAAGGATTGAAATACACAAGCGACCGTCGGGATAGATGTTGGGATGCCACAACGACTTGTTGAACTTGAAGTCTGCCCAAGTTAGCACCAGTCAACAACTGGCAGTTGCCGATCTACTCACCAGGAGGCTTGTATGGATAGTCCTGGGGAAAGTTCATCTGAGCCTTGAAATAGCCACCATAGTACAGCGAGTCCGGATTAAGGACCATCAAGGCCAAGTTCCAGTGGTAGATGTTCTCTTCATCGACCTGGCTTTCATCAGTGTCTGCGCCTCCGCGATGGTAATGATGACTTACGTCGATCTGAACCCATTTCTCCTTGGCCAGAGCCTTGTACTCCTTCATGAGAACTGCCTGAGACATCCTGGCCTATTCCACTTTGCAGGAAATCAGGAAACGGATCTAAGGCTAAGGGGGTGTCGACGACAGTGGATGCTCTCGGTGCGCGGGAGAGAAAGGATGTTGTGTATGGCTGTCGCTGGGATCAGGCCCTGCGCGGCAAACCAAAAGCCCTGCGTGGTATTGTCTTCACTAAGCCTCCTTTCCGCGAAGTTGTTCAACTGCTTAGATAGCACTGCTATTGACTGTACATCATTTAACACTGTAGGCGGGTATCTGAGTTGCAGAACGCGGCGGCGGCGCGGCAGACAGTGAGCGCAGGGAGGAAGGCAGGTCTAGTGAGGAGAACAGATGTTGGAGTGCGTAACCGGCTCCAAGGAGTATCAGTAGGAGTTAGGAGGAGTCTTTAGGTGTCAGGATTAGGGGAGGCTCTCGTGTCGGATCATAGGAGGTGAGTTGAGAAATACATCTCAAGTATGAGGACGCGGCGGTGACGGTGATGGATAAGTGAAGCAGTGAGTACCTTAACCGCTACAGGAGGCGATGTCGGCAACAGTCGCGGTGATAATTGCGCGAGTTTAACACAGTTCTAGGGTGAACTATAGGCGGCTGCACCCCAAAAGAGATGCGAATGACGCATTTTGGCCTCGGCGCTGTAATGGCGGCATTTGACGGTACTGCAGCGTATTTTATCCTACAAATATGGCTTCCAAATGCTAGAGGCCCTAACAGTCATGGAAGTTACAATGTATTGACGATACACAAATTACACACCTGCACTCTACCGAATCTTGACGAGGCAGGTCCATCGCTGCTGTCAGTGTCTGTGCATGGCGTGTACCCGCAAATTGACTCCAGATTCGCCAATTGCTCGCTCTGTACAAGACAACAACCGCAGTTTGTTCTCATGAATTTCTTTTACTTGCTGGCGGTCTTTTCGTGTTGCATTTGAGCCTTCCATTACAGGTCTTCTTGTACATACAGCATCATCCAGATCTTTACCACGATATGAGTGCAGGGTGCCCTCCCCGCACCTGAGCGGACTTTGGTGGTTGAGTGCGCCTCGAAGTACCAGTTTTTGTATTTGCCGCCATGTTTGCACGGTGCAGAAGCCCTATATGGCGGGTCGATGACCTGAGCCCTTGCTTTGAGGCAGAGTATGTCCTTATTTCCATTTTATGATCTTGCTTGCTGATTTTGTACCAAAAGCTACCTTCAGACCCTCTTTCCCCTTCTAGCATGTGCTATATCGGCCTTGCTCCTGGTCCTCCAAATCGTGCGTCAAAGGACTAAACAAAGACATCGCAAGAGTCGTACTCGCAGTTTGTTGCTGGATATCAGCGACGATGAGGAAGGAGATTCTACAGAGGAAAACGAGGACAGCCTCGCAAGGCTCACGCTACAAAAGACCATCAGCCATGATGCTCATGGGTTGAAGGATGTGGACAAGCCAACCGGGGAAGTCTTCCTAGTCACGGCCGAGTTCTTACTTGTCTTGGGACAGTTCGTGGTTAACATTATCGGCACTCTGCATCGTGCAGCTGGGAAAAGGCATTCAGCAGTAGCGGAAACGCTGGTGTCTGCATACCTTGTCCTTCTTGCAGGCGTCCGGTTGCTTTCCTCAACGACACGGTGGAAGTCTCCGATAAAGGGACTCTGGGACCACACTGCAGCCCTCTATATCACCCAGTGGTTACTCCTGGTCTGGGTCTTTCGATCTGTGCTCATTCATCCTACTAGCCGCCTTTCTCAGCAATTGACGATAGCCTCGTTCGCCATCACAAGCGTTCTGGTTTTGATCGTACTGTGCTCTCGACGCGGAAACAAAGAGGTGGTCCTGGAATATGAAGGCGATATTGAACCATCTCGCGAGCCTCTGGCCAGTGTCCTGTCCTTGATTACCTTCGCTTGGGTGGACCCCATCGTCTGGAAGGGATTCAAGAAGACCTTGGAACTGTCTGATGTGTGGAACGTCGCACCTTCGGATAAGGCTGAGGTCGTGCTGGACGTCTTTCGTCAGATTCAAAAGACACATTCACTCGCCGTACGGCTTCTGCTGCATTTCAAAAAGGAGCTTCTCATACAGGGCGCTTGGTGCATGCTGGCGAGTGTGTTCATGTTTCTACCCACGTTGCTCCTAAAAGCTGTCTTGGAATACCTGGAGAATACCGATCGCATCCCCGTTACTGCAGCTTGGTTATACGTTATCCTCCTTTTCGCCACCGGAGCGGTGCAGGCTATTGGCGATGGCCAAGCTCTCTGGATTGGAAGAAAGATCAGCATTCGTCTCAGGGCCATCATCGTTGGTGAAATATACTCCAAGACTTTGCGTCGAAAGGCTGCAGCAAACACAGATTCAGACATTGGAAAGGAGAAGAGCCAGGATAAGCAGGCATTCTGGGCCAAGGTGAAATCGTCCTGGAAGACCATGAGAAGCCGGCATCACAGTGAAGCCACGAAGAGTTCTGACCCTAAAAAGGCCAGCACCCCACAGGCCAATAACGGCACGGTTATCAATCTTATGTCTGTGGACTCTTTTAAAGTTGCCGATATCTGCGCATATCTACACTTCCTTTGGGCTGCCGTGCCTGTTCAACTCATCATGGCTGTGAGCTTGTTGTATAAGGTTTTGGGGTTCAGCTCTTTTGCTGGGATCGTGTTGATGATTCTCATTCTGCCGCTGAATCTTTACATTGCAAAGTCTTTCCAAGCTGCGCAGAAAAGAATCATGGCAGCGACCGATGCCCGGATCCATGTGACCAACGAGGTGCTCCAAAATATCCGAATAATCAAATACTTCGCCTGGGAGCAACGGTTTCAGAATAACGTCAATGAGAAGAGAAAGATCGAGTTGGACGCGCTCTGGCGAAAATACGTTTTGTGGGCTTCGGCAGCGACAATCTGGAGTGGTGTTCCGATCATCATCACCTTCACTTCATTCTTCATCTACACGAAAATCGAGAAGCGACCTCTTGTGCCTTCGGTGGCCTTTCCCGCGTTGTCGATGTTTTCTCTCCTCCGTGTACCTCTAGACCAGCTCGCTGACATGGTGGCGCATGTACAAGAGTCTAAAGTCTCGGTTGACCGTGTCGAAAAATTCCTTGAGGAGGAAGAGACCGAGAAGTACATTCAGCTACGTCAGAGCAGGCGTTTCAGTGTCCCATGCACCCGCATTGCTCTGGAAGACGCCACGTTGACATGGGGAACAGCCGGTCCAGACGGCCCAGATTCCTTCCGCCTCATCAATATCAATGTCGATTTCGAGATAGGCAAACTCAGCGTCATTGCTGGTCCCACCGGGTCTGGGAAGACGTCCTTGCTCATGGCCCTGCTCGGAGAGATGCAGTTAGTCCACGGTCATGTTTACATTCCGGGCGGTTATGCCCGGCAAGAACTACGTCCGGATCCTTCTACCGGCCTGACTGACAGCGTGGCCTATTGCGCACAACAAGCCTGGCTGGTCAATGCAACCATCAAAGAGAATATTCTTTTTGCAAGCCCATACGATGAGGACCGGTACCTCGAAGTCATCTCAATCTGTGCTCTTGAGCGTGATCTCGAAATACTCGATGCAGGGGATCAGACACTAGTAGGAGAGAAGGGAATCTCTCTTTCGGGGGGCCAGAAGCAAAGGATTTCTTTGGCAAGAGCGATATATTCGAATTCCAAGCATCTCCTGCTCGACGACTGCTTGAGCGCGGTTGATGCCCATACAGCGAAGCACATCTTTGAGCAAGCCTTGACTGGGGATATGATGGCCAATCGAACCTGTATTCTGGTTTCTCACAACGTTGCACTGACTGTTCCTCTCGCCAGTCAAGTCGTTGTCCTCCAGAATGGCAAGATTGTCGCCCAAGGGTCGCCACAACAGATCGTCGAGAGTGGTGCCCTCGGAGACGACCTTTTGAAATCACGGCCAGTATCCCGAGCGAATTCGCAACCACCTTCTCGGGTGCCTTCCAATCTAGAAGAGGAGACATCCAAGTTATCGGGTGGTGACGGACATGTGACCCCTGGTTCCCGTGGAAGAGGTGCCAACAAAGCCAGGTCAAAGGTTAATGTACCTGAAAAGCAATTCATCGATCATAGACTCGAAACAAAAGCCACAGGGAGCGTCAAGATGTCGACGATCAAGATGTACCTTCAGGCTATGGGCCCTTGGTATTACTGGATCTTTGCAGCGTTCGGGTTCACGGCCACGCAGGTAGGCTCCGTCGCTACCAACTTATGGATTCGAGAATGGGCCAATGCATATCACCTCCGAGGGACACGTTCGGCGCACGCAGCCGTTCATGCCTTCCACCACACGAAAGGCGTTTACTCAGCAACTGGTTTCGGAGGGTCGTTTGTCCAGATACCAGACACTGCCGGCAATGCGAGCAAGGCATGGGTTACCAAGACACTCTCCGACGTCAATGCTGGGTATTACCTAGGGGTGTATGCTATCATTGGCGTCGTCTACGTGGCAATCTGCTTCTCGAGAGAGCTTATACTCTTCTGGGGTTCCCAGCGGGCTTCTTGGCGCATTCACGAGAAACTGCTCACAAGCATACTGCGGGCAAAATTCCGCTTCTTTGACTCGACACCCCTTGGACAGTTAACGAACCGGTTCTCGAAGGACGTTCAGGCTCTCGACCAGGAAGTTGCTCCTGTGGCGATAGGCATGCTTCACAGTGCAGCGGCCGTCCTCACAATCGTGATTTTGATCTCTGTCATCACCCCAGGATTTTTGATCCCGGGATTCTTCATCACCATTATGTATGTCTTGACCGGGTGGTTGTACATCCGTTCGTCTCGAGACCTGAAGAGAATCGAAGCCGTTCAGCGGAGTCCTCTATTCCAGCATTTTGGCGAAACCTTGACCGGTGTGGTTACGATTCGGGCGTACGGAGACGAGGCACGATTTATTCACGAGAGTCATGTGCGAGTGAACACGCATAATCGTCCGTTCATCTATCTATGGGCGACGAACAGATGGCTGTCATTTCGGATCGACATCGCAGGAGCTTTGGTTTCATTCTTCTCGGCCATGTTCCTAATCGTCAACGCAGGCCGCATCGACCCGGGTGCTGCTGGTCTGGCACTATCATACGCCATTACTTTCACGCAGAATGTTCTGTGGCTTGTTCGACTGTACGCGGCTAACGAGCAGAACATGAATGCCGTCGAACGAATCCAGGAGTATGTCGATGTCGAACAAGAAGCACCTGCTCATAATCCAGATACGAAGCCGCCGGCAAATTGGCCCAGCCAGGGAGCTGTTGAATTCATCGGATACAGCACGAGATACCGGCCTGACCTCGACCCGGTCCTCAAGCATGTGTCGTTCCGCGTTGAACCCGGACACAAAGTTGGGATCGTAGGCAGAACTGGGGCCGGGAAGAGTTCGCTCGCACTGGCTTTGTTCCGGGGACTGGAAGCCGAAGAGGGCAAAATCCTGATCGACAATGTCGACATTGGACTCATTGGGCTGCAGGATTTGCGTGAGGCCATCACGATTGTGCCTCAAGACCCAACCCTCTTCAGCGGCACATTGAGGAGCAATTTGGATCCGTTCGAGTTGTTCACTGATGAGGAGGTCTTCACTGCCCTTCGGCAGGTTCATCTTATTCCTGGCGCCCATGGAAGCCCGGATCGATCGGTATCAGAGACACCACACGGAGGCTCCAGTAGGTCGCTCACACTCCGAGAGAATCCTACTCCCAATGGTGAGCAGTCCACCTCGGCCAACGGGACGGTAAGATCGGACTCGACCTTGGTACAGTTTGCAAGCAATAGCAAAGACAACAAAAACATCTTCCAAGACCTATCATCGCCGGTGGCAGAGTCAGGCTCAAACTTGTCTCAGGGGCAACGGCAGCTTCTTTGCCTGGCGAGGGCGCTGCTAAAGGCTCCCAAAGTTCTGGTCATGGATGAAGCGACGGCGTCGATTGACTATGCCACGGATTCCAAGATCCAGGAGACCTTACGGGAGCTGAAGAACAATACGATTTTGACCATCGCCCACCGCCTGCAGACGATCATTGATTACGATCGAGTTCTGGTGCTTGACAAGGGTGAAGTCGTTGAATATGCTGACCCATATGAACTGATTCAAAAAGAGGGTGGTCACTTCAGGGCCATGTGTGAAACAAGCGGCGATTTTGACTCACTGTTTGAACTGGCCAAAAAAGCATGGTTGGACCGGAGACTGGTTGATGACTCTGTTTGAGAAAGAATCATTCGTACGCGGTCGTGTTTAGACCAGGAGGGTGGCATGTTTGTTGACTTTATCTTGTACTTTTGACGTGGGAGGATCATCTGCTTTTGATTCGTTTCATTGATAGCCAAGGGCGGTTGACTCGGACTGTTCTACACTTGTACACTTTTTGGAGTGATGGACGGGACGGTGGGTGTGTCTCTGTCCAACGTTGCACATATATTCCAGACCAGGAAACACCTTATTAGATGAGTCGTCGCCAGATGGCAGCAAATAAAAATACTTTTCCTGTGTCGCTTAATACAACACCTGCTGGCTTGACTACCTGAGTGCTCTCCTCTAGCAAACTGCATCTCAGGTACGTGAAAAAGCGCCACTGATGGCAGATTTCTCGTGTTAGTGTTGGCGCGGGTTCAGAGCGAGAGCGGAAAAGCGAATGGGTCCAGCAGTGGACATCCGGATTGAGAAAGGAAGATTTACCTGGCATACCCTACACTGGCAACAGCAGTCACAGCCTTGTCTTCCCCACAGAGTTTCCCCCTTTCTTCCAGCGAGCCAATCATATACTGCGAGGCTGCCACTTTTGATACCGAGACTCCTAGTACCTGCTGTCTTCACACCACTTCTCCTACCACTGCTTATTCTTGAGTAGTTCTGGGCGCGCACGGCGGTGCTTCAAAGCTACACCACTACACCAACGGGTCGTCGCCATGGGTTGAACGCACGGGCGGGCCTTCCCCGGGCGCGTGACAAAAAGGTTCCTCAGTCCATTCCGGAAGGCGACGAATGTCAGGTATGTTCGAACCAGCCTGCTGCCTGTGAACTCGGGCTGACCTGTGATACTGACCAGCCTGAGATCCAGTTGTCGATGAAGGGCTTCAAGTACTTGATTCACTGGCGTTGGCTTGCCGGGACGTCGACCATGTCTTGCAAGTTGTGCACAAGCTGGATCACAGCTAGCCGGGGTGCACGCCTGAATCTGATCTTTGCACCTCTCCCTCGCCGCATCGTTATGTCTACGGCTTGACGGTAAAGGGTACCTGATATGTAAATATTATATATACTTTACCAGGATTCAACTCAATTCTTGATCTTGACGGTGTTAGCTAAGCTTCCCGAACGTATCAAAGGGGCCCCCCCTCGGGCCATTGAATTTGGTTTCAGGTATACAACTACCTAAGGTACGGCGGCCGCTTGGATGGTACCTATATGAACGAAACGTCGCCAAAGGCAACTTTGGAAACAAAAGGTACTACTAGGTAGGTAGCCACCTGTTCAAATTTTCCAGTGCCGGTGGGCCTTGGGGGATACAGCGCAACTTTGAACGCAACCGAATCGTCACGCGGGGGCATGGCCGGGCCAATCGTATCTACAAGCAAAAAGCCCTCACCGGTTTACATTCAACGAGGGCACTGCGAGGGAGTCGTGGGTGCGAGTGCCCGAATTGGTTGATACAGGGCCAGAACCTTGCTAGTGCCGGGCTGATATATGCGATGCAATGCGATGCGCTGCGCTGCCCATGAGACCCTTACGGACTAGACAAGAAGTATGAATTGTCAACGAGAAAATAAAAGGGGGAGGGGATGCTTTTGAATTCTCTCGCCTATGATTTCGCCATTCTGAAAAAAAAGCCAGACACCAACTTTCACCACTTTCAGCGGTTACAATTTCCAATTTACACTCCCGACTTGACGCCTCATCACTGCCCATTCACTGGCAACCATCTGTGGAGAATTGGTTTAGGATGCACCGTCTAAATGAAAGAATAACCGACCAATAAATCATTGTTAGTGGTCTGCAACGCATAACATGGAAGAAGAACAGAAAATCAAGCAAGACTTGGCCAGAGCCTTGTCGGACCAGACAGCAGTCCTCTTCCGGTGACGCGGCCAAAGCGAAAAGAGCCTAGAATAAAAGAGAAAAAGAAGCAAGAGAAAAGGCTGAAAAGGACCAGGTTAAGCAGGATCACAAATAGGACATAAAATGATAATCTCAGCCCTCCGACTTTGAATCTTGTTCAAAAGCTTGCCGTAATCGTCGATCATACTCAAGCTTGTCCTCAACCCTTCTTCTGACAATGTTCTCGGCGTCCGGATGCCAGTAACGAGCTGCAGTTTTTGTAATGTCGGATGCAAATATCGGCTCAATATGATTCAAGAAGACGCCATACAGGCCCGTCAAGGAATCCAAGGCCCGGAAATACCAGATGCGGCCCGTTGCCCAGTTCTCGCGAAAACAATTGGCGACTGAAAAGGAGCAAGGAGGCCACGATCGCTTCTCCTCCTCTTCTAAGATGAGGAAAAACTCGTCGAGCGCGAGCTTGAGATCTGTCAATTTTTCCTCCACCAAACAGTCGATTGCCTGACCGGTCAGCCATAAAGGGGGCCTCAGCATCTCGATCGGTCTGGAACAGGCCCATTCTAGGTCGATGATGAATTTGATATGCCAATCGTCATCGACAAAGATATTGCTTTGATGGAGGTCCGTGAGAGTCAAATAAAACGGCCCAGAACGTGAATGGCGATTGACAAAATCAGGAAAACAAGCGCGCATCAGAGTCAAGGCTTCCATTTGATCAACGGCATCGTCCTTTGAGATGACGGAATTGGGCTGGTATCGAATTCGATTGTCGTGATATTCCAACAGGTCAAGAACATATGGCTCGACCGTACTGTAAATGCAGCTGCGGTTCATGACAGGTGGGCAACTGTCGTTTTCTGCTTCGGGAATGATGATCGATAATGGTCGATTAGCAAGACTCACCACGCCTTGGTCGTCTATCATCCACGAGCCTATGTGAGGCAATGGCCTTCTGGTCAAAGATAACCAGATCTGGGATAAATCTCGAAAGAAATTCGCCTTTCGCGTCGAGTCACTAGAAAGTGTATCCCACGTGGTTGAAAGCATACGGCCTTCCTCCTCTTCGACAAAATCCATCAGTAAATAGCCAACCGGAAATGGACAGTCGGGTCCTTTACGACGAATGTAGGGAGAGCGGGTCGGTTGTCGAAATAGCAGTCGTAGGGTGTTCTGGATGGCTGAGAGGCATCGCAAATACCATGGAGCATTTTCACACGCGGTGAACTGAGCCCCCCGGCTATTAGCATATTACCGAGAGTCTACTGGAAGACTGGTGCGCGCACATGTAGGTTCTTACCAATTCCGAAGCCCCATAGGTACGGGGTTGGTATTTCCGGGCAGTTTTGTTGCATCCAGATATACGTTGCTACTTCGGAACGCACCTTCTCATCCGTGTTTCCAGGGTTCGATGATTCTCCTAACTTGTATGGGAGTGGGAATCGAATCATGACGCGATTCCTTGGACGGCGATTCCAGTTTCGTATATACACTGGAATACAGACGTTGAACGTCCCATGCCTCCATTCCGAGAAGTCGCCTAATTGACAGGCTTGATCAGACCTTAGTCCCATGTGACGAGCGACAATCTCTTTGATTTCGTCTTGTTTCTGAAATAGCTGGAGGAAAAAGTCGATTCGTTGGGACGGATAGGACAGCTGTAAGAGCATGTTGCTTTCAGCCCCGCAAGCCGATTCATAGGAAATGGATTTGTGAAGGAGCTTCTTTCTCGGCGTCATTCGGGAGCTACAGTGAGATGCCATCTCCTTGAGATCTATCATGGATGTGAGGATCGTCTGGAGAGAAATGAAGCTTCAGCGCCATCCAAGGGAAAAGAAAACGAGAACGCATTACCTTAGGTACTGGCGGAACATTCTTTGGGCACCTGTACAGCAAGCATGTACAAGTTACAACATTTGTGTGTGACAAGCTATGACGGCGAATTGTCACGCCTATCTCGTTTTGTCAAGCTGACTTGACGCCGGAGATCCTCATCCTCCATGCACTGGCCGTAACATGTAGCGTCACACGGAAGAGAATGGGCAAGCCCCCCTGTTCAAGATGCAGCTGTGCGCAGGCAAGCCATTCAAGTTGGGGGCCAAATACGCGTTGAAGGCCCCCCCAAGTTTCACGCGTCAAGCCGACGTCCAAAACGAAGACGCAAGCGGAACGTCAAAGGTCCCCTATCCCCCCGTACGGGCTAAGGAGGCGCACCTTAGCAGGCTCCCTAGTAGGCCTGCACCGCCACAGCTCGGAGTGGCTTAGGCTTGACTCGAGGTCCGGTCCAACGGCGACATGTGTACTACTACTACAACATTGTAGGTGTTCAAGGTGCAATGCCAGATTTCCGGTTGGATCTCGTCGAGGTCAACGAGCTCGCTTGCCGCTGTCTCTTCACCCTCACGGAGTCGAACAGGTTAAAAATCTGTAACGCATCCACCCTTTTTTATGACGAAGCGCCATGGCTCCAGGAGTCTTTCTCGGTCATTGTCGCCACGAACGGGGTGTACCTTTATCGGCCTCCATGCGCTTGAGGATTATGATTTTGTTGATATGGCGCCTTTTCATACTCTTTGCCTAAGTGCTCCTTGACACCCTCTTTGATACAGCAGGGGCAATGGATCTCTTCAATATGCGTTTTAAGATCGAGTAATAGAATGAACAATGTCGCAAAGTTGCTCTTCACATAAAGTCACGGTGCCTCCCTCAGAGAAAACATTTGCCAAATCCATCACAAGCGGCGTTCCGGTCCGGCTCGACTGACTTCGTCGTACTACTTTTGAGCAGGTGGATAATTTGGAGCAGGTGTGTAATTTGGTGGTGCGGATGCGAAGCTATTCTGCATGACCATCTGGTCTTGTTGAGGTTGATATGGCTGCTGGGTCATGTCCGCGACAGGCTTAAGACGAAACTTGACCTCGTTATCTTGCTGAATGACGGCGCAGCACGGGCACCAGTATGCTGTGCAGCAATCGCCGAAACTGCTTCCAGGAATGCCAAACTGTTCACGGATCTCGGTCCGTTTCATCATGGTGAAAATCCAGGCCAGGCCAGTGAAGACGGACAGAAAGCCATGGATCATGCAATCGCCGTTGATGCTCTCAGGATCTCTCATGGACGGATCCCTTAGGCGTTCCGAAGTACGGCCAACGACTGTAATCGTGTGATCAGTACACCGGGCCCAATTCTCGAGTTGGCAGAAAGATACGCACGCAAGCACGGCACGCAGGTACCGATGATGCAGCTGCCGCAAGAACATTCGCAAAGACCGTTTTCCCAGTCACCCCCTGCGACTGGTTGGCCCATCGGTTGGGTCATCGGATTTGCCATTTTGTCGAGGATTGATGTTGTGAGATAACTGCCCGTGGGTGTTGCTAATGGTCTTGATACCTTTTTGTTATGGACAATTTGATTCTGATCCTGGCAAAGCTCTCGAAAGGCGAAGCGACGCGAAAAATGTGTGATCGAGGCTGGCGACTTCGCTGCCAAGTCAATAATGACGATGCTTTGGACCTTTTGGTATTATTATATCCACGTCAAACGCTCCATATGCTCTTGCAAGGCACACTTGGCCCCGTCGTGACAAGGCTTAGAGCGAACATCCCTGGTAATACTCGTCGTTGGTTGGTGTCAGGCTCGTGAAAAGGGGGTCCCTTCTGTGGAGAATGCAAGATCAGTTTTCTCGGCATCTTCCCCACGGTGGTTCCTTACAACCCTTTTTGAGAGCAAGAATGCGGATCCTGGGCTGAAAGATGTCGAAAGTGTACTATTATTGTATGTGACATGGTTGGTGGCGCGGTGCCAATTGGACTGGAGCAATCAATATTCCCGACACTCCCCGACCCGCTTGGACCAACCCTACCACGGGATTGTGGTGGCTGCGCAGGAGCCGCCATCTTGTCGTACGTTGTATGTTGATGAGATATGGTAGAAACGTATGATTGTATTGAGTAGAAGAGAGAGAGAGTAAGTAGAGATAACAGAACTAAGTAACATAAGGTGTAACATGTTAGTGCGGGGTAGGAGCGTTAGAGCGCCAAGAGCGCAGGAGCGTAGGCATTCCTTCTCAATATACCCCCCAATAGCTATATTCCCCAGAACCCCCCGAATACTATTAATAAATATATTCTTAATACCCCTCGAATACTTTTATACTTATATAGTTCTATATATTATACTATAATATCTAGCTAAGAGAGATTTAGCTAGAATCTTCGTATATATATCTACTATATTATTACCTAATATAATATAGTCGACGATAAAGTTAATCCTATTCCTTTTACGTACGAAATAGAAATAAACTACTAAATACTTAGACTTAGTCGAGAAGCGATAGTTTTAGATAAGATTTAATATAGACTAGTTATTATAGAGTAGACGGGTCTAGACCGTATTAATATTATAGTAATATAGTATAGCTCTTTTAGTGTATTTTTTACCTAAATTAGCTACGAGACGATATAGAATACGACTATATATTCTACTTCGTATATAGATTTAGCTACGCTTAATTATCGCTTTATATTCTAATATACGAGACTTCTAGTAAATAGTAGTATAAAACCGCTATATAATCTTATAGTTTTAGGATTATTAGTAAATAATATATCTATAAATATCTTAAGCTAGCTCTTCTTATAGGACGTCGATAGACGGCGCTTAAAAATTAGCTTAATATCTAGCGTTCCTTTAAGAAACCTTAGTAGTTAATATATAGCGGCTATATATATAGTATTCGGCTTTAAATTAAATATACTTAATATAGTAATAGAAAATACTAGATTAATACGCGTTCTTACGATAAGAAAGTTAATAGATTCTATAATTTACTAGTACTCTTTTATATTCGCGAGATTATTATTATTCGTAGTCTTTTATAGATAAGTCGGATCTAAGGGCGTTTACCTCGTATTATATAATTCTATATAGAATCTTTCTAGTACTCTATATATATAAGTCTACTATAAGATAGTAATTTTAGAATCCGTTTAGATAATCTCTAAACCTAGTAAGTATCTAGCTATACTAAGATTCTTATATTTAAATCGTATCGAGATTATTTTCTTAAAGTTTTTTATTTTAGTTTAGTACTCGATAATTAGTAGGTCGTTAATATAAACGCTAATAATTAGGTTTTCTAAAATAAAAATATATAAATCGAAGCTTACTTCTTTTAGACTATATTTAAGTAGGATTATTCTTAGTATACTAAACTATTCTCGTCTAGACTATTTTAGTCTATATAATACTTTTAGTATAAGTAGAATAGTATTTAGATCGGCTAAAAGTAATCCTTAAGGGTAGCGTATATATACGCGATAAGATAGGTCTAAATTTAAGTAGACTATATCGAAATCTATTTAGTATAATAATATATTTCTTAAAGTAGCGAGTTTAATAATAATTCTTAAGCTTTCGTATCTTACTATAGATAAATATATATTATCGTAATTTATACTATATGTTAGGAACGCCTAAAGGGAATAGGCAGAGTACAGCGATAAGTCTTTAATTAGTATTAAGTGCTCCTTAACCCTATAGTTATATACGACTCGAAGCATAAGAGAAGAAAAGCTCTCTTATACGGGTCGCGTATAGTTTATATCTTTTAGCTCTATTCGAGTAGCCGAAGAGTATAAGTTATCGATAGTTAGTAACGGTAGTTAGTCTCGATATTCGTAATATTATTCTCCTCTTCTAGGTTTCTCGTCCTCGAGAAAGCGATAGTATTATATACGAGTTATATACTTCGTTACGTACTCGGTACTTTCTTTCTTTCTAACGTAGTCTTACGTAGCCTTATAAGAGTATCGTACGCTTAGAATACGACTTATATAAGTTCTTAGCGATATATTCGCCTACGCCTCGTAGCCGTAACGACTTATAAATAAATAAGAGTTAGATTTCTAGAGTTCTTTATATTCCTCGCCTCTTCTAACTCGTACTCTTCTTTTATATAACTTATTAATTAACTCGTAATCTTCTCTTATCTAACTCGTTAACTTTCTACTATATCTTTAGTAAAGTAAGCCTCGATTACGCCTAAGAGAAGATCGCCTTCTTCGTCTCCTTCTTCTTATAAGCGAGTTCGATTCGTCTCGCTAGAAGACTATAATAAGTTATCGTATATTTAGTATATTCGGTCTCTTTAGAATAGTCTATAATAACTTAACTATATCTATTTATCTATATCAGCAAAACTGCCAGCCCTGCCTAGGAAGCCCAGGCTAGCCTAGGGCCTCCTAGGCCAAACTACCACAAATTAAGCCTATAAGTTACTATAGTATCCTTACATAATAATAGTATTCTATAGGGACTACTAGGCTTATTATATACTAAACTTAGGCTCTCTAGGTTCTACTAGTTACCTAGTTATACTACGGTCTACCCTAACTTACGTAGTCTATAGTATATAGAGAAGATAATAAATAACCGATACTCTTCGCCCTTCTATAATCTTATAGCCTATTTACACTATACGTACTATATACGTTACCCGTTATCTTCGTCTATATTATCCTACTACTTATATCGGTAATATTATACCTAAAGCTCGTATAGGTATACTAGTCTCTCTATAGGCTTAATTAACTTAGATACCTTATATTACCCTTAGTACTATAATATCTACTATAGCCCCTAGTACTATAATAACCCGTATACCTATCGGAGCTTATCGTACTATAAGATTATATATAGCTATAATTAATACTATCGCTCCGTATACTATAATAACTAATATATCTACCGGAGTATATCGTATTATAAATCCTATTCTATCTTCGAGTATTATAATTATATATATATCTATCGAAGCCTATTATACTATAACTACTATAATTATATATAGTACTCGCGATTCTCTTTTAGATTATAGAGCTAGACTTTAGTTTATTATCTAGCCTATCCTACCCTCTTCTTAACTAATCTACCTCTTCTCGTCCTCTTCTCCCTAGATCTTACCGAATCTAGCTATTTCTATCTATCTACGTACTTTCTCTCTCTCTATTTCCCTTATCTTATAAGTCTTCTTCTTCTATTTCTCTTATTTCTTCTATCTTCTTTCTTAATAGTGTCGAATCTAGCTATTTCTCCCCTTCTCTAACTATATCTATATTAATAAATTATTCTTCTACTCTAATAGTCGATTATTTATCTCGATATAGCTATATTCTTATATTTTCGCTATAAATACGTATAGCGTTCGATTATTAGTAACGGTCTTCTTAGATATAATATTCCTATTCTTACTATCTATTTAAAGATATAGCGTTATACTTTTCGCGTTAACTATATATTCTAGTAGATAGTTATATACGGTATTAACTAGTATATTAAATATCGAATTACTATTAATCTTATAAATATTAGGTAGCTCGTTTAGCTTAATATACTAGTTAAGAGTATACTTTTATCTACTTATAGCTATTAATTAATTCTCTAGTAACTAGTTCTATAGACGAAATTTAAGTTAGCGATTAAACTAATATCGGTCTATAAGATATATATATCTTATAGGTAGATCCTAGTCTTCGCCCCCGCTATTAGAAGATACTATTAGTTTAACTATACTACTCTCTTTATATATATTCTTATATATCTATATATTATTAGACTCTACTATTACTTCGCCCTAGTTCTTATTTTTAAGTTTATACTTCGTATAATATACGAATAATACTACCTTCTTAACTACTATATTCTATAGATTATATAGTAGGAACTTTTTATACGCTTTAAGCGTACTTAGATTATTCTTATAGAGATTCTACTTAATCTTACTTTCCGATAGACTATTATCTAGTTAACTAATATAGTCTTTAATACGTCCGGTTAGGATCGTATATAGAATATTTTGCTTAAACTTATTCTATTACTTCTATAGAAGCTTAAAGCGGTTATATATATCTAGATAGTATTAGTTATATATAGTCTAGTCGGATCTCTTAATTTACTTTTAAATTCCTTATTATATTATCTTAAAACTCGATATCTAGTAGAGTACTTATTAATATACTAGTAGAGATAGATTATTATATAATAGATCGTCTCTTATCTTAGGAGATCGAAATATATATTAGTCTCTTTATATCTTATAATTCTAGACTCGGTCTTTATAAAGAAGACTCTTCTAATTAGACGTATAATTTCTTACGATATCTAGCGATCTTTTAGATCGATCTACTAGCGTTAGCGTATAGTTCTATCGGATTAATAATACTTATTATATCTTTATTAGCTTAAATTCTACTATTATTTCTATATATAAATTAATTATTTTCTAGTAGTATTCGTATCTTATTAAATATTAATATTTTATTATTATT